TATTATGAAAATATGATCCAAGATCTGTTATGAATGAAGAAATGATCGAAAAAGTGAGTGCTTAATTGAAACAAAAGAAGTAAAACACTCAACATTTTAAAATCCCTTAAAAAATAAGAGAGTTGCTCTTGTAAGGACCTGCAAAATCTAGTTGGTTAACACCTGAAGAATGCTGGGGCTAAGGAGTGTCCAAAATAAAAAAATCAGTGATCACTTTGTATACCAAAAGTCTTCAATATTTGGTAGTTTGGTAAGGGCATCATCAGTCCATATTTCCAAGACGACCAATGCAGGAGAGTTCTTACTGCGAATAGTAAAAGTTAATATGAAATACAAAGGCTTTTCGGCTGCAAGAATTGCAAGAATATCAATGATACATTTCAAGAAGAATGTGATTCCAGCATTACTAGGCCACTTGCCATACTTCTGACTTATCAATGGATACAGAAAACAAATTATTTCTGAACAAAGTGATTTATGATAAAGACACCATTATCTAGCCTCACAAGGGTCCAGATCTAATTCCTATTGACTATTTACTGTGGGATACCTAAAAAGTAAGATATACAAGAATAAATCCATGAATCTTATGCAAATTTTAGATCAGAAATGGGGCAATAACGGGAGCAGTGTGTCAAGTGTTGTTACCAAATATATATTTAATAAATAATTGTGCAGTACAGTGTCTGTAAATACAACATAACCCAGTAGTTGGAATACGAGCTTAAAAGAGAAAGAAAAATATCTGGGAAGCAAGAAACTAGATACACAATCTACACACTAATAATCAGGTCATTTAGCCAGTGAGTATCATGACTAAATAAAAAAAGGACTCCAAAAATTAGCATAGGAGCTTTGTGCAAAAACAGTGTTAACAAGGTTTTGACAATGGAACAAAAAGTTAACTTTGGTTGGCTTTTCTGTTCCATCCAATGTTAAAACATTAAATTAAATGAAATTGAAAACCATAGAAAAAACTACCATATAGCGATACATAGTGTATTTAGTTCTCAAATGGGAGCAAATAAAATAAATAACTTACCCAATTACTCTCTTTAGCTCTGTATCAGCTAAATTAGCAACACTAAATCTAGTATCTGAAGCTGCAACCACCAAATGAGCTAAAATTTCTTCATTGCTAAAAATCCCCTGTCCCAAAAACTTGACAATACCCAACTTAATCTAAAAGCATATAAAATATTTATTAAAAAGCTGCATACTAAGACTATGTTTCATTTAAAAACTATATGAAAACATTAAATCAAGACGCCTGCCTGCTTTGAGTGTGATTAGTTGAAAAACAACCAGATTTAAACAAGAAAAACGGGATTAAATTATTCTGTCATTTGTATTTGAAGTTATACCAAAAATTGTGTTTATATATTCAGTGTGTATTTTCATTTAATTATCGATGTCACTAAAGAATAAACTTTTAAAAGAGCAATTTTTCTTTGTTGTTTTTATATAAGGCATATTAATATATTAAAAATTAATTTCTTATAATCAATAAAGTTACTTTGATAGGATAGTGTTATAGAATTCAATGAACATACCTCTTCTAGAGCCTCTGGTTTCATAGTAGTACTAGTAACTCTTTTATATGATGTTTCGCTCATGCAAGGAGGTACTGGAAGTGTAACATTGTTTGACTGATTTTCATTATCCACTGCTTGAGGTGACAAAGCACTGCAAATATAAAAATTACATAAAATAGGCTGCTTATTTATTTATAATAATAATTGGATATAAATGAATTATCAATAATGATGGAATACACCTGTTGGCTTCTCTAGCCAACATATATATACACACACAACAGCCAACAAATAATCATATACACACCAATATCTTTACATTAATTCTTTCAGGGTAATCCTTTTTTGTAAGTCATGACATGTTTCAATCCTGTGGATCTCTAAAAAAAAAGATTTTTTGACATAAATGAGAATTGGCTATGGGGTGGAAGATCTAACTTTGAATTATAACAGCTATATGCAGATCCAGATATTGTGAGATTGCTAGGATGTCCTAGCAAGACATCCTAGGAAGAGGCCAAGATGTTTAAATATCTAGAACGATCCTATTAACTTAAAATCAATTAAACTACCTTTAAATCTGATTTTAATAAACAATTTCCTTGGCCTTCAAGAAGTCTAAACATAAAGTCATCAGCCAACAATAAACATGGGAATTTGAAACAGTTAAAAGTGCATTCAGAAACTAATCAAATAAGGTAGATTCTGAGGTTCTAGGTTACCTAATTTTTACCTGCTAAATAAAAATTTAAAAATAATATATTAATTGAAAAGCCAAAACTTTAATTTTTCAAATAATAAATTGGGGTTAACCTTATCAAATTCTTTTGTGTAACCTATTTAAATTACATCAATTCCTGGAGATCTGGTGGTCTCACCAGGGCATTATAAAGTTTTATAATTGTGCTTATTCTGAAATTTTTGCTATTTTTAATGACCAAAGCATGATAAGCTCCGTTAGTTATTTCATAAAAGTGTATATTTATATCATATCATGTTGATATATATCAACATATGTTGATATTTGTTGTATATATTTATTCCAAATCAACATGATATGTCACATATACAGAACATCCAACTGTTCCCCTGCCCCAATAGCCTTAGCAATATGTTCAGAGAGAACACAGATATTAGTTACTGTTGATTTGTCTCTTACAAAACCATGCTGGAATTTGCTGATTTTACTTTTAACATGCTCATATATATCATCACAAAGAATACTTTCAAAAATCTTAGCAATACTATTTAAAAGGCTGATAGGCCTGTGATTTTGAATGTCATTTTTTATCTTTTTTATTTATTGGAAAAATTGTTGCCACTTAAAATATCTGGAGATTATTCCTGTTCAATCTACATATTAAACAAAAACGACAGAGGTGTAGCCAAAGGTTCAGCCATTCACTTATAGATATAAGGTGGTATTTCATCAGGGCCTGTAGATTTTTTGGGTTTAAGTTTTTTAATATTATATACAACATCTAATTCTGTGATACATTTAAAGGTAAAAGAACCCCACTCAGTACTTTGAGAATGACAATGTGTGCAGTCAGATGTATCATACACTGATGCAAAATATTTAGCAAAGGAACTCGCAATGTCAAAAGGTGTATTAAACTTGGAGTTGTTTAATGTCATTTCTATGGGAATTCCACTATTCTTATTTATTTCGACTTAAAGAAAGTCCAGAATTTGTTTGGGTCAGCAAGTAGATAGTTTTCAAGTGAACATTTGTATAAGTTATGCTCATATTTGGTTTGGTTTTTAATATCAGTTCTTGAAGGTTGAAATTTAACACTCTTTGGGCTTCCTGAGGCTATATTTAAACACAAATGATGCAGACTATTTTTCTTTTTAATTTTGAAAACTTGGAAGTAGAGTTGCTGGCACTTTTTTATATGGAAAAGGATGGTCAAGAGTCCCCTTTATAGATACTGGCATGAATATAGCTAAAGTATTTATTTAAATATGTACTACTTCAGATAATACATTGTATAATAATACAATAATTTTATTTTTATCCATAATTATATATTATTAGTATTTCATCTGTTATAAACTTTGCTCATTAATTATTTATTTTAATGAAGATGATTGAGATTGAGAATTGTAACTGTATATTAATGGTATATATTTAACATATTTACCAGTACCATATTTAACAATTTTTCTGAAATGTATAAGATGTAAATGAAATAAAAGTAAACCTTACCTGTATGGCAACAGAATCATATCCAACAAAATCTCTAGCAGTTGTATCCTAATATGAGGTCTTTCATTTAAGCCAAAGAAATTTAGTTTCTTCTCAGGCTCAGTAGGTATTTTAACCTTACCCAATAGAGGAACAATTAGCAAAAGCAATCCATCAATATGTGACTGAGGTTTGTTATCCAGAGCATTTATCACAATTGGGACCAACTCAATTTGTTTGTCTAATGTTAAACGGGGAAATCCAGTTTTTAGGTAAATTATAGTGAAATTCTACAAAAATATTAAACAATTTTATAAACATTCGTCCATTTCTATTATAAAAATGTTTAACATTAAAGAAATTCTTTTCTAGAGCTAAACAAAACATATTTTTAATGGCCTTCATAAAATACTTACAGTAACAAATGATGTTGCTGAAGGATCTTGATACTGAGTTAGTAAAGCCTCTATTGGCAACTGGACTTGTGGCCTAGATTTAAGTCTCCTATTAACATGTATCAACAATTCCATTACCTATAATATATATATCAAAGAATTAATTAAGCACTAGAGAATCAAAATGTAATAAAAAATAAGAAACTCTTGGGGAAAATAATATAGATTACTCCTTGTTTTATAAAACTTAAATGGAGCATAAATCTCTATTCAAATAATGATATGAACCAAAGTACTTATATTTGAAGGTATGTAGGTAAAACTGTTGAAATTTACCTTTTTTCGAACTCCCTCTTGCTGAGATGACAATTTAAGTAATACAGGGGGTAAAAATTTACACAGAATATTCTGTAGTTGTTCATCTGTTTCTGCTGAACCTAATCTGAGAAATACTCTCTCCAAAAGCACTAAAACACAATTTGATAAATACATCAAAGAAAATTATTATGAAATATTTTGAATATAAAGGTATGATTTGGATATTATAAAATGGTAAACAGTGGAAGATGATAATCCATTTTCTATAGGAATAATAATTAATACTTACTTAACTCATCAGCGGCTGCTGCCATGTTATTAAATTAAAATTTTAATATTAAAGATACTACACAAAAATCGGAATTTAATCCAGAATAAATTAAAATATAAATTTCCAATATCCAATTATATTAAAAATATTAGAAATTTATAAGAAAATCCGCAAATGTCAGAGTTCTTGACATTTATTGATTGTCATCCACATACACAGGCTAAACAAATCTTCTTTCTTGACTTGAATTGAAATATGTTTAAAAAAAAAAGAAGAAATAGTAAGGTTATTTTTCATCCCAGCTGTTTCTGTAGTGTTGTTGTTCTGTTTGACAACAAAATTCTTTTAATTAGTTTTGATACAAAGTATGTATGAATTCAATTCCAAATTTTTAAACAATACTAATATAATAAATTTTTAGATTATCTGAAGATGTCTATGAGACCTGATGATCATCGACGAAAGTGGGACAAAGATGAGTATGAAAAACTAGCAGAAGAAAGAATAAAGGAAGAGAAATATCAAAAAGAGGAAGCAGAAAACAAGAAAAAAGGACCTCCCGTAAAAAGAGAGCTCCTTAAAATCCGTGACTACAAAGTAGATCTTGATTCCAAATTAGGAAAGAGCATTGTAATAAACAAAAATACACCTACATCACAATCTGGTGGCTACTACTGTAATGTCTGTGATTGTGTGGTTAAAGATTCTATCAACTTTCTGGACCATATCAATGGTAAGAAACATCAAAGAAATCTGGGAATGTCCATGAAAGTGGAGAGAAGCAGTTTAGATTCAGTTAGGAAAAGATTTGAAGCGAATAAGAAAAAAATGGAAGAAAAAAAGAAAGAATATGATATGACATCTAGATTACAGGAATTGGCAGAAGAGGAAGAAAAGTTGAAAGAATACAGAAAGGAGAAAAGGAGAGAGAAAAGAAAAATTGAAGAGGAGGCTGAAGAAGAACCACAAAGTGAATTAGCTAGCATAATGGGATTTTCTGGATTTGGTTCATCTAAAAAGAAATAAGCTACTAGTTAATTGTTTATTTTGTAGTGTAACTTTTCTTCTCCTGAGATATAAAATATTGTTTTACTTCTTGGATCTTTATTTATAAATGCTTAAATGTACAAAAAAAAGATTTACAAACAATCTGTTAAAGTTGACAATACCTAGATGAACCTTCATTTAGTTTGATGGTATATTTCAACTTTTGCATTGTGTACAAAAGTATGGTAACTAAGGTAGTTACTATTGAAATTGTAAAAATGTATGTAAAAGTTTTATTTACAAAATTATTACAATACACTTATTCAAAATCAGATATGTTTAATACATAAAATAGAATATTTTAATCAACTAGCCTACAAAACTTATTTAAAACACATCTACCTAGAAAGAAAGAATTAAACTACCTTACTATGATATCACAGCCAATGAATAAACTGAAAAGTAATTTGTTTTTGGACCTTTTTTTTAAATATAAATTCTGTGAAATATATTTTACTTTAGCCTTTCTTTCACACTATTACTTTTCAAGAGCATGTGTGCAGTGATTGTGCCATTCTCTTGACAAAAAATTCATTGCACTAATTCTCAGCATCTGATAATAAAGAAGTGATATTCTTACAGCCAAACAAGCTCAATTGGATTAAGATCTGGATCATCAGTTCATTCTTAAATGTGAATTCCCTCCATAAGTAATTTTTGATTATTTTTTATTTTTTGCCATGGATAACCCACAGTATTTATGATTTTATGTAAACTTTCTCTAGAAACCAACTATCTTGAAGTCTTCTTTAATTTTTTATGTAAGAGTATGTGCTGCTTCTTCATGTATTTGTCAATTTTAAGGAACTCTATGAAGTATTTTCATATCCATATCATTTATACTGATTTTTTCTGTCTCATATGGAAGGCAGAGGGTTCCCTTTCTTTATCCTTACTTGATAATTTTCAACTGTATCCTTGCTTTTACAAGGCTTTCATGTATTTTTGCCAAAATAATTAATACCTCTCCACATTCTGCTTCCAACATTAGAAATTTCAAAACATTGCTTAAGATTTCATGCCTTTGTGCACTTAAAACGGAAATGTTTATGCAAAGATGAGTGGAATTCGGAGCTGAAGTTGTGTATTATAGTTTCGAAAAACGTACTTGCAATCAAAAATAGAGTTTTACTTGATAAGATCGTTTGTACTATGAAAATTTAAATTCAGCATTTTTTCTAGGCATATTTCAAATGCTTCATATTTGTTGCCAAAACTCAATATCGAAATTTCGTGCTATAGATATTAAAGAATAGATTCTAACTACTGACTTTATTTGCGGCAATATGCAAAAATTGCATATGAAAGCTGCTTTTTTTATTTTTGTCGCTAGGGCACTCTGAACAAAAGATATGGGAATTTTTACCGTAGAGTTGATACAAATATTTTATTATTTAAAACATTGATTCCACGCGCTTTATTGACGTTCAAAACCAAAACAATTCCCCAACAAAAACATAAGAATGATTGGATTGTTTAGGAACAATTTTCCTATTAATAAATAAACGCATATAAAAAAAGGATACAATCCTTTAATTTAGATTTCTTATTTACTACCAATGTTGAAATGCTTCTACTGGAAGCAGATCTATGTCAGTTTCTATTACATTGTCCCAAAGAATATTCTTCTCCTTCAACACTCTCTAGCTTGTTAATCCAGTAACATAGCTACGGCACCTACGGCTGCAACTTTTAGGGGGTGATAGAACGTCATTTCAATTTATAATATTAAAAATGGTAGACAGAATTTAAATTAATGGACTTTGATACCGAAATACTCTTTTTTTATACAATTATTTTAACCATAAATCCAAACAATAACCAATATAAATTACAAAAACTATGTCTGATGATTTAATTATTATTTTAAATACACTCGTATCAGTAAAAAATGCTTTTTTTTGGCCAGGAGATTATCCTACTTTAAAAAACCACTCTTAAAAATTCCATGTAAATATCATGGGAATCAAATGAAATTTCAAACATTTTTACACTTTTTGTCCCCTCATTTGTTTCAGTTAGCGGACAAAACGCACACTAAACTTTATTTTCCCGGGTTCTACATATATTATAGGTTATAATTACCACATATATGTTCTTGTCAAAGGTGATTAAAAACTCTATTGCTTTATTTTATATAAGTATACTTAGTAATAACACAAATTATATTCACCAGGATAATATATTTTCAGTATTTTTGCGTTTTAGTTTTAACATTCTCACTGGAGCTGTCTCTAGATTGTTGTTTAACAGTTCATTAATTTTCTACATAAATACAATCAGGAAAAATAATCAGTAGTTTATTTTATAGAAGTATTTAATACAATAAAAATAGTATAAAAATAATGTATAAAATTGTCCCAGTTTTTATTGGCATATCAGGCCCCAGCATCTAGAATTAACAAAATATATTTAACAATAATGTCTGATATAGATGTGCAATATTTATACTCAATTAAGTTTTAATATTAACTAGTAATAGACAGCAATTACTCTAAATTACAAAACAAAAACAAGAAGTACACAACACCTTTTTAAAATTTGAAACGAATTTTGATGTCTGTCAGGCAACAAATGGCTAAAACTTGGAATGAACATATATATAATAAGAATATACTAAAGGTAAGGTAGTATGGGCCATGGGTACGGCATAAGGAACAAATTTGCATCTATGCTGTGCTATGGCTCCCTCTGTAAATAGAGGTCATGGTTTCTTACCTCCATGATAAAGGCGTAATACCAATAATCACTTTGGGTAGTTTAGCTATCTTTGTCTGTCATACGCTCCTGTTTTACCAAACTATTATCATACATATAATAAGAATCTTCTTACTATTATGTCTATGACTAATATTCGCGATGAGATTTGACTCTACCTATATAGTGGTAGAAACAGTGAAATACCGGTGAACATATAATACTGGAGGTAGCGTTGTGTTTTCTTAGGAATTTGATCCGGAATAAATTTTATTTTTGGCAGCTAAATAGTGTTCAATGACCGCCATGGATCCAGATTACGAACCCACAATGAACCAGTGATCTGATAGCAGGTAAAGAAAACGTAAAATTTGCAGCAAATCGGATCGTCGGAAGGAAAGAGTTGCCTAAAAGCACTGGTTGGTTCAATGCTGAAAGTGAGCAAGTTACTACAAGAAAGAACAACCATGCATAGAGGCTTATGCAACAAAGGAAAACACGAACAACTATGGAATCTTATAAATATAGATATTTTAGAAAATATAAGAAACATGTCCATGAAAGAAATATAAGAAAGTTTGAAACTATAATGCTAAGAATTCAGAACGAGACAAGAAACTCTTATAGAAAGATCTATAAAAGTTTCATATCTATAAGTGTACAAGAAAAGAATTTAAACCGAGATTAAAGTTGTATAGGGAAAAAGGAAGAGAATATAATAGCTAATAAGGGGTAAATGCTCAAGCGATGGATGGAACATTTCAACGATTTGCTTTGGAGTAATAATGATAATGCTCTAGATATGCAATTAAACCTTAACCTAAATGGGAATGAAGTAGATCCACATAGCTTAAAGGAAAGTAACGAGACAATCCAGAATCTAAAGAACAAATAAAGCGCCAGGAAGTTATAAAATTGTAGCAGAACTCTACAAATATGGAAAAGAACACTTAACAAAGTCCAAAAAATTATAGCAAGAGTTTGGACATAATAGCAAATGTCTGTTTGCGAGAGAACAATGTAATAATTTCAAACAGATGATCCTCTTGAATAAAATACATAAAATATTCTTTACACACGCCTGAGTCGATAATTTGAAGAAATTCTGTGTGAAAAATATTCGTATTAAGATTAAGACCCATCCTTATACACCCTGAATTTGACTTTTAAAGCAGCTTAGGATAGCGTAATATGAAACACGTTATGTGAAGCAATGTAAAACTTCTGAATTCCTGTTAAACTGATGAGGTTGGTAATATAACAATATTAAATAAATGTCATAGTTAAGTAGAGTGAAAATCCCAAATAGCTATTCTGAAGAATTTAACACAGACAGAACTGAGACAGAAAGATACGCTGGCCTGCCTCCTTTTTAACATTGTACTAGAAAAAGTTAGTTATAAAAGATACCAAAAACCAAATAATCAGATAGAACCAAATAACCGTGATACAATATTGAATAACCAGATATCGGCTTATTTAGATGATTTAAATGACTGATGACTCCAAGATGTTCGCTGCACTCTCACTGAAGTACCAAGTTGCAAAAAATATGACTTAATAGATAAATAGGTTTAACAACAACAGATAAATAGGTTTACGGATTATAAACAGGGAAAAGCTTACCTTTGGTGAATCTCCTTTAATATAACTCTCAGGCATAATGTCTTTTACAACTGGGAATTTCTTAATACGTTTGCAACTATGTGTAATCGTATTCTCTATTACATCAGATATCAAGCTGGTTATAGTCAGAGCAGCGTCCTTTCCACATACTTTTGCTGTTTTAACGTAGTAACAGTCCAAAATCGCCTTGTAATTTCTGGAAATAAATTAATCAGAATTAATTAAACTAGTGATAAGATCCTGCGCTGGCTCTGCCAGTCAGCAATCTTACACTTTTGGCAAAAAAAAAACACATAAGCGCGAACGCCCAATACTCCACAATTAGGGATGGAACTATAGAGTGATAAGATTGGATAAGATCCATAAGAAATGGTATCTAGATCATTTAGTGCATACGAAGTAAGTCGGAAACTCAGTCAGTACCTTTCTGTCCACATGTCGAACAACAGCAAACAACGGGGTTTGCATTAGTGTATAATAGTTCGTTAGTTATTTGCACTTTTGGTTTGTCAGACTCTACCCGACTATTCCAGTAACTTTTGTCAATTCGACAAGTAAAATTATTTTCCTATTTTTTTCTGTAGTGTAACCTACATAGCAACCTACGGGATGCAATACAACACCTAAAAAATAATAAATCTCCAGGAAGTAATGGTATACCCGCAGAACTTATTAAATGTGGAGGTGCTACTATGACTAATCATGTATATAAAATCATATTGAGAGCCTGGAATGAGGAACACATCCCGGAAGAATGGTGTATTGGAATCGTTTGCCGGTTCACAAAAAGGGTGATCAATTAATTGATCCAATTGGAATGTAGAAACTATAGGGGAATAACCAGCGGCGGCTCGTGGCCTAAAAAAGTGGTGAAGATGAGGTAAGCTTGCCGGAGCCAAAAGGAGATTTGGTACCTAGGGTCGCGCCCAAATCTCATTAAAAATTCGTTTAAAAAATGTAGGTATAGTTCTATAAAAATTAAACTAATAAATACTATACTATACACTATACTATATAAAAAAATGTCTATATAATAGACTAAATTTCAAAATATTGAAGAAGAATATATCGAAGAATGGAAGAAAGAATTGGAAACAGAATTGGAGGAAGGATTGGGGAGGAACCTGCAACTTCAAAATATTTTTCAAAAAATGTTTGGACAAGAAGTTCTAATTTAATCCCATACTTACCAGGTTCAAAAAGGAAACGCTCGTCAAGCAGATGATCCTTTAGAGTGTTGAAAATGTTTTATTGATGATAATATTCTCGAAACCACTGTACAGAACACAAACATATTTATTTCTAAATTAAGATACTGTGAAAATAAAGGCGTTAATTGGTCTATTATACCTAGCTGGGGTTTTCAAAGTAAGCCGCCGAAATTGCGAACATTTTTGGGCTGCTGATGGAACAGGCGAAGAGGTGTTTCAAGCTACTATGGCTCATAAGCTAAAATTCGGTAAAAACAGAGAACTCTGGCTCCGATGCAACATTTGCAACCAATGGGCACACAAAGACTGTACCAGTTTCAAAGTGGCCACTTTTACCCCTTGGCAGCGGGTAAATGTGGAGACCTGCAGAAGTCTTATTTTTTTTGTTCTGTTTAAAAATTTTCGTTTGAAGTACTAAAGGTTTGAAGTTTTATTTACTTTAACAGTATAATTTTTTAAGCTTTAATCTATGTAGCAGTATATATAAACCAAAATGGTTAGGTGGCCACTATTCCCCCTTTCCCCTATCTCTTACGACAAATGAGGAAACCGACTTCCTCATATTGATGCCGCACCCTGTATATACATATAAATATTGTGTATATATATATATATATATATATATATATATATATATATATATAATATATATATATATAATATATATATATATATATATATATATATATATATATATATATATATATATATATAATATTGTATATATATTTATTAAGACACAAAGCTACTATACCTATTAATATCTTTTAACGGAAGTAATTCCCATAAATCATGTGTTATTCCCATAAATATAAAATATTCAGTGAACCAATTGTTTACTTTATTTTTCTGCTGATCTATCGATTTATGCATGTTTTATTGTTCTAACTTTCGGGGAATTCCCTGTTGTTGATTAAATAATATCACATTAGCAATATGAAACTATAGTATAGATTATTTATTATTATTAGATACGTTTCTGTTTACATGTACTGAAATTTCACCACTGGGGGCAACGCGGCAAGACTTCGCTCTCTCTCTCTTAACGACATCTGTCAAAAAGGATACCAAGTTTGCGCTGATCTCTTATTTCTGCGCTAGATTTCGTCTTAACAATTTTTTTCTGACAGCAGATAGGTATCTGTTTTAAAATTCTTGTCACTCTCTTGTAGTAGGGTGGGGAAAATATTTTGTTTACCAATGTGAAGTAGAAAGTAGGTATTTTAAAACTAAAAAAAACGTAAACTTAAAGAAAGTTTACTAACAAATACATTTGAGTGTTAATAGTGAAAGATCAACGCAGGGAGCGTCTGTTTCATAGTACTGGTGAATGGTGTTGATAATGAATAATTTAAACGAGAATCAATACGCAGAACCAATTTCAATAGTCGTAGGTTCACCCGATTGGATGACTGTTGCCTCTGATGATAATAATAACTGCGTATCACCAGGGTCAGCTCATGATGAAGGATCCGATCTCATGAGTGCAATCATGGAAGATGAAGTTACCACACAACTTGCTGCTGCAGGACCAGTTGGTGTAGCAGCAGCAACAGCCATTGTTTCATCGAAAAAAAGAAAAATGCCACATTCATTTGAGACCGATCCATCGATCCGTAAGAGGAAAACCACTGGGCTGCTAAGGAAATTGCGAAACACAATCGACGAATTTACAACTGTAGGTGGTAAGCAGGCCATAATACTAGTAGCTACACCTGATTCTTATGAGGTCTTCGGTGCTAAACCTCTACAAGACGTAATTGAAGACCTCAGGGGTAATATCATGGATAAACTGGGCGATGCTCTTGCGACTCAAGCGCTCAAACCGATTAAGCAAGACCCTACACTTTTCACACTACCTCCACTGATTATTGATGGAATTCCAACACCTGTTGCAAAAATGAATCAAGCAATGTTGCGAGCGTTTATTCCTTTAATGCTTAAGTACTCGACAGGAAGAACAAAGCCAGGTTGGGGCAAAGAATCTATGAAACCACCGTGGTGGCCTGAAGAGGTGCCTTGGGCAAATGTCAGACTGGATATTAGAAAAAAATATGAAAAACAAAAGATATCTTGGACACATGCCCTTCGGCAGATTATTTTAAACTGTTACAAGTTTCACGGTAGAGAAGACCTACTCCCTGCATTTACAGAAGAAGATGAAAAGGTCAACAAGGAGACAACAGCTAATGCTGATGTTACTATGCTGTGTATACCAACAGTACTTCATACTATTACCAACTCAGATGACATATACACTACAGTAAAAGTTGATCATAATAATCCCATTAACACATTACCAGACAGTACTACTGCCAATTTCCCTGGAATGGCAATGAATGATGGAAATCAGGTTCATGAAGTTCAAACAATTACAGAAGGTGATACCTTGGGTGAAGACATTGACTTTAATTCTGTCACAGAAGCTACCTTAAATTCCGAAGGGCAGATTATTTTGACAGAAGAAGATGGACATAGTAAGTTTTTCAAATTTTAGTCAATATATTATATACTAAAAGTAAATAATTCAACAGTTAGCGGCATTATCAACAGATTTGCTACAGTTTATCGATCTATGGTGGCCAGGATCCAGGCCTCTCATACAAACGGTGATGGCACTATTTGTGTTAATCGTGTTTTTGAAGTATCAGAAGAACAATCCAAGGCACTTAAACAGTAACTTCCAATCACATTATAAGCCATTCCGTGATGATTCAGGTATCAGTGGGTAAGGTTCCACAGGTGATTCAGGCTTCATCTCTTATGGATGCAACAGTGTCGACAAAGACAATACAAGGCTTGGTTGATGTTAAAATTGAAGAAACTATTATATTTTATAAATTGTTTTACTTTTTATTAAAGTTTTAACTAAATATGATACAGCATTTAGGTCTAACAATATACTGATGTTTCATTGCTATTTCTCCTCTTTTATTGAACTCACAAATTCTGTTGTCTGTGTAAATTAAATTCAATTTCTTCAAATAGTGTTTGTTGAGTTTTGTAGATGCATCAACATATAGATTAATAAGTATAATGGTTATCCAGGAAAGGTAAAAGGGCAATGAAAAGAAAAATACGAAAAAGATCTACCACATTTAACTAAAAATAAATATAAAACAATTTATTGTCATTACTTGCACAGTTTCTCAGTTTGGCTTTCCTCAGTCCAATCTGGTGGACCATTGCACTCTTCAAAATCGTCCCTGAGTTCATACAGGCAGGGATGGTAAATCAAGAATTCTAAAAATATCCATAATATTACTAAATGTGGATAACTAGGTATCTGATACTTACGTCTAAAAAATTGTTGCTCAAAACAACAAACTTTATCATTAAGTGCTTTTACTCCAGCGACTAATGAAACATATAAACTATGGGGATACTGTTGTTTGCAAACTGTGTAGTACTTTTCAACACTCTTAAGCTTTTCTTCTAATTTACTGCAAAACAAAAATTTATTAAGTACTTTTTAATTAAATAGAATAATAGTAAAACTTATGTTTTACTATTATTACTGACGATGTATTGTATTCGCACGGAGACAAATCATTATAAAACCTTACGATTACAGATTGAAGTCACCACTGGCACTTGATTTCATTGATGTATCTTGACTGTAGTCTGTAGCATAGAGAAATAAAAATAGTTGCTAATTGAGCATGTGTTGAGCAGATTTGTGTCAAGACTACATTTGTTCAACATTCTGCGCATACCCGAAGAAAAGATATACAGAAAAGAGTATACACCATATATTATATAGATGGTAAACATACTAAAACCTGGAATATGCCAGAGTGATCAATAACTTAACGATATCACTTTCATATATGAATGTATTGGCTATGCTGCATTAATAGATGTAAGGATGATTTGGACCTATAAGAATAGAGGAAAATATAACAGGACTACATCAACGAGGGAAACACATTATCCACTGGACAACTTAAAGAAAAAGACAGAGTCAAAGAATACTTTTAAAGGAACATTAAAATAAGTATCTACATAATGATATTAAACAGCTTGAATCTCATACTTGCAAATAGTTTCCTGTTCGATAATAGCTAAATCAAAAATACTTTCAGGGCTCCAAACTTGTATACCAGCCAAAAATTCCAATAATTTTTCTTCCTCGCATGTGACAGTGCATATTACATGTTTTATAGTTAATTCGCCTAAATAAGGAAAACAAATTACTACAAATTTTGGCTTAAGATCTTTTCTCACCTATTAAAAATATAAATATAATATACAGCTTTAAATTAAATTCTGGCATTCTATTTCAAATATGAAATCTGTCAACCAACATTCAAGCCTTTTACCATGTAGCTATTCCAACTAAAAATTTTTAAGAGCAAAGGTCCAAGAAAACACAACCCCCAACAGGATTCTGTGGTGCAATCTGTGCTGCTAAGGGTTAAAGAAATAAACGAATTATGCTAGAATTGTCAATGTCAATAAATGTAAAATAAAACAAATTTAATTTTAATATAAATATCAAAATGAAGTATCTCCCATATAAAATATTATTAATTTGTTTTTTAAATTACGGTTTATCTGCATTTGCTTTTGGACCGGATCAATGCATAAGTATTTGTAAAAGTGCAAAATTACCCACTTTAGAACTGGTAAGTAATTATTTACTAATAATTGGATGTTTGTTATTTACTGGATACTGTTTTGTTTAAAAGGATTTCTATGAACAAGTAGTTTGCCAAAGGGGGTGCAGATTTTTTAACATTATCAAGTACAAAGATGTACCCAACATAAATCAAACAAGGAAAGAATGCCACATCTGTAAGTACTAATATTAACAGATTACTAAGTAGCTGGTATTTATTAATTTACTATTGAATTTTATAGCATGTGAAGAATCATATATTGTTAAAGAGGAGAAGGATATATGCCAGAAAGGATGTAATTTGATGGCAAGAGAACAAGAGGTATGTTATTAATTAAATAAATTTAACCAGATATTTTAACTCTAAAATTGTTCTCGAAAGAATATTTTAAAAATTGTTTGTAAATGATAAAATTTGGATTTAGAGAACAACTTCTTTATAGAGACTTCCTCCAATTTTGTATTTTCAATTTTATAGAGTTGATTTGAGGACAAATAATAAAACCAAGTATCAGGTGTTAAAATACATTTTCTAAATTTGATGAGAAGGTAGTTGGGGTAATTAAATTATAGTCTAGTTGGTCAGCTCCAGAATATATTGACAGAGATTCATTGTCAGAAATGTACAATACAAAAATTGCTCCGGCTGACTATTAATAGCTCAAATGAACTTACTGTTTCAGACTTCTTTTACCGAAAAAAGAAGAATAATGTTGAATAATGGGAGTGTATATTCATTAATGTTTATAAAAACTTTCCATTTGTAAAAAATAATCTATAAACCACTCTAAAATCAATGCATGCAGTTTTATTTTGGTAATCAATTGCATATGAATATTATTTTGTTTAAATATTGGCTATGAGTTTCCCTGTATAACATGAAATGTAAATAAAAAATGGTCAAAATTAATACCTTAATCTCGAAAGATTGAAAACCCTGAACACATACTATTTAAAAAAAAAATCCACAAGGAAAACAATTCCTGTAGCTGGCTGTATACCGCGTATCACAAAAAAAGAGGTTAGTCTTCATAAGTGGGTATATTTATTTAAAAACCCTTAAAAGGGCTACATCAAAAAAACAAATGTTTTCGGACTAAACAGTCCATCATCAGGTTTAAAATCGCCTAAAATAAGTATAAACCATTTAGTTAAAACAAATGTGGTTATGAAATTTTGACTATGGTTAAAAAGCAAAAATGGTTATACTTACTAGGTTAAAATGCCTGAGCCACCAAAATACACGGTTAAAAACCCTTTAAATTACATATAGTTATAAAAGATTATACATCTTGATGTTAACAAACTGTGATGTTCAGTATTAAATTAAATATGACTTCAGGTAACATACATTGTAAAATTGAGTTCCAGAGCCGGGGAGAAAACCTCTACACACGGAGAACAACTGGAAACTGATTAACAATATAGCTATGAACAGTGTCAAAAACAAAATGTCAATGTAACATGGAACTATATTAGTTATACCTAGTATTACTACAGCCAAAAGATTCAAAAATTATTTTGATGATTTTTAAAAAATAATAACAGCAATCTAGGTGTTGGGATTTAAAATTTGGGTTATAATCGATGTGAAATCACCAATGGTGTTAAAGTCATGTTTAAGAGGATGACCTGTGTATTAGGCAACCTATTAGGCTAAATACTTTTTCAGGGAAACAAAAATATCAATTGCAAGGTAAATAACATCATAAAACATGTTGATCATATCATCAAGACATATGAGATTCACATTTAAACTCAAATGAGAGTGAAGGATGATGCCTATCCTCTGGGAGTAGGGCACTCTCAGCTCTAGATACCTGAACCTCTTCATTTTGGACCATGACTAGATCTAATAAGGAGTTGTTTTCATTTTTAACAGTGTTTACTTGATACAGATTATGAAAGGAACATAAAAATGAGAGCAATTGAATGGAATCAACTTCATTTGGCGAGGTTCCTGGCATTGGAGTAGCCACAGAAGACAATCCATCAATGGACCACTGACAAGTGGGAAGATTAAAATCTCCCAGGATACATAAATTATATTCAGCATACTTTTCAGCTAGATTATCTACATTTTCTGCAAATTCGGCATACTTCTTAATGATACTATGTGGTGGAAAGTAGGCAGTTGCAAAGATAAACTTGTTGATGTGGCCAATCTCAATCTTAACAAACATATGATCGATATTTTGAGTCTAAATATTTTTAATTATCAGAATAACCAGCTGCTGCACTATACCTTAAAGCAGAAATGTCAAAACTTACAGATATAAGCTATCTACTATATTTCTTACCACATCTATACATATATAGTAAACAAAATGTGTAAATTATAAACATTTTGGTTTTAGTTAAAACAGGAAATACAGCAAATGGGCTAGCTCCCAAAACTAATAATATCGAGCCCATACATACACATAAAATATTTTCCTTTCTGTTGAATTTTTAAAGAAAAGTGAGAACTTGAAAGAATTAATTAAGTTCTACCCTTTAGATTTATTCTTATTATTAACTATGAAGTATTAAATAACAATTTTTTATGTTGTAGACCTTTATATCCGCTTTCATTATTGAAACAGAAAACAGCATTGTTTTGGCGAGTCCAGACAGGGAAATCGAATTGGATTTACTTTCTGACCCTAGCATAAAGAGCCAGCTGGAAATTGGTTTCAATATTGACTACAAGATTCCCGCAACTAACATACGGACAATGCCCATAGAAATAGAAGAAGAGTTTAAAGTGAAGGAAACTGGAGATTGGTTGGACTGTGCTTCTCGGAATTCTGGAATACCAAGATGGATACTTCTATCGGCCATATTAACTGCTGTCTTGATTGCTCTTTGGCTCAGTTTTTCATCGGAAAAGAGAAGCGGCTCTGAAGATGACATGCATGAAATCGATATTCCTGACGATAAATTGATTTTAACCAATGACGAGTTACCTTTAGTTAAAGATGAAACCATTCTCTATTTTGGACCTGTAGTTTCTGACGTAATTAACAAAGAAGCGCCGCCCAAATACACCGCTAGGAGTGAAGAAGTTTAAGTCTTTTTAAACTATAATTGGTAGCTATAACTTTTTAATTATATCCAGCGAGTGGTAATAATTATTTTTGTCAAAAGATGTTGAGTGAGTGTCATTGATGTGTTCATGAAATTATTATCTTAAGCCAATATTACTATAATTGAATGCCGCCATTTAAAGAATTTTTGTGATAATTTTGTTAACTATGAAAAAGCTTTTCACAAGGAGAGACACAATAAGCGAACTATCTTAGTAAATAATTTGGCAGTAAATAATCGGAATAGTAGAATGATTGATAATTGTATTATAATCAAACAGCCTGGAGGGTGCCGGTTTACAACATCCCTTCCATGGAGAGGCTTATATGCAACAGTGTCTCTTTCAGCGGCTTTGTTCTTGCTGTAAGCCCAATTAGTCCGCTAGCCTTCGACAGCTCAGTAGAGAAACTAAAATGGTCTTTCAAAGTTGCTTTTATCTGGCCTGTTGAATTGATATAGTGAAATAAAACAATTACTTGTTTAGAAAGAAACTGTAATTGAAATAAGAAAGGGCAAGAACTAGAACTTATAAAATTTGAGTGTGTAACTTATCGTAGGAACTTAATTTGAATATTACAATTTGCGAACGAAAGCGAAAACACCATAACACTTATTCACATATTACGGCTTCCCGGCCAATAGCGTAAACTGCAACGTGGAGAATCCTCTCCGAACTTTAAAATATAGATGTTAGCCCTACGAAAGTCGCTAAATCACTCGCCCCGCTGGAATATTTTTTTGTTTATGCATTTTGAAAAGCCGGTCTGTCGTCACGTAGGCGCTGTGGGCGGGGATTAACATTCTCAGAAACAAGGTCTAGGTAGACTGGATTTATTTAGTAGGTACCGACGCGAAAATAGAATTATTTGATACAAAATAGAATTATTGGTTTGGATATATAGTTCTCCAACACAGCCATTATAACACTGGAAAAATGGGTAAAGGTACTGAATATTTGGAGCTTCTTACCTTAGCATTAGATGCTTTAGAAATATGTTGCAGAGGAAAGTATTAAGGATCATGAATTGAATGAATCACCAATGAGAAAGCATTCAAAAGAAGGACACAAAAAAATGTTATGACACCTAAATCTCGGTGAAATGGGTGTTTCTGTTTTTGAAAAAGATGATCCTGGTCATCTAAACTTGTTAATTAAGCTGTTAAAGTGATTGCAACCTAAATTACTTCTTTTTTTAAATTCAATATAAAGGTCAAAGTTGATATAGACCAAAAAGACATAAGATGCATTGAAAACTTGTACTGGCATCAAACGGCACAGCTAAAAATAGACAATTCTATATCTAAGCCCATACATATAAGAAGAGGCGTTCGACAGGGATGTGTGCTTTCCCCTCTTTTATTTAACATTTATTCAGAAGCCATATTTCAAGAGTCTTTGGAGGATGCAGAGATGGGAATCAAGGTGAATGGAGTATTGATCAACAACATACGATATGCTGATGATGGTGTCTTAATTTGTGACAACATAGTCGATCTTCAACAACTTGTCACTATAATCGGAGAATACAGTGAGCGAATGGGACTAGAGATTAATACCAAAAAGACCAAATTCATGATCATCTCCAGAAACTTGCATGCATTTGAAAACTCCACCATAACACTGAATAGTAAATCCATAAAAAGAGTGAGTAAATTTAAATACCTGGGATCGTGGCTTTTTGAAGACTGGGCATCGGACAGGGAAGTAAAATGTCGTATTGAGCAAGCTCGACAAGCTTTCGTAAAATTCAAGAAGGTACTGACTTGTTCTGAGTTCGATCTTCAACTGAGACTAAGGTTTACTAAGTGCTACGTATGGTCAGTGCTGCTATATGGCGTAGAGGGCTGGACACTCAAAACGAGGGATATAAACAGATTGGAAGCTTTCGAAATGTGGCTTTATCGCCGTATCCTAAAAATACCATGGACAGCGAAAATAACAAATATAGATGTCCTTAAAAGAATAAACCAAGAACGCCAACTTTTCGAAACCATCAAGAAAAGGAAAACGGCGTATCTAGGTCACATCATGCGAAATGAAAAATACCAGTTCCTCCAACTTATAATCGAGGGTAAAATTGAAAGCAAGAGAGGAATGGGACGCAAGAAAATGTCCTGGCTCCGAAACATAAGGCAATGGACAGGGATTAACGACATACAATCTCTGATACATATTGCAAGAAATAGAGAGTTATTGGAAAATGTGATCGCTAACATCCATTAGTGGATTTGCATCTGAAGAAGAAGATAAAGGTCATAGGACCTTTGTATTAAATCCTTTCTTTTTCATTAAATTTTAGCAAAAACTTTTGTATTCTAGATAAAAGCCAATGACGTTTTATGTGTTTAAGGGACTATTACTGTCTAGAATGTTAAAAAATGGCACATTTTCAACAATTTTTTTTTTGTATCTTATCTATTATATGTGGCAATCAAACTTTTTTTATATTATTATAAAATTTTTGAAGATAACAAATGTTTTTCCGTTGTTCTTGTATTTTAAAGGTTACGCCAAAAAAATTTTTTGTCTAAAAATGACTGCTCCATAGCATAGATGACCGACTAGATCCGGAGATAACTGTCTGCCAATTTTAAAAACGTAGTTTTTCTCAAAACTTTTAATCTTTGGATCTAGCTGGTAGATGTATTTGGTTTGTTTTGGTTTTCTCTATAAAAATTTACCACAGTTTGACCAAAAATATTAATAATTTTCTGACTGAAAAAGTTAAAGATCAAATATTTTCAAATGTCCGCCATTTTGTTTTTTTTAAGAATTTTCAATCTTTCTAGTAAGCTATCACCCAAGGGCATTGCTTAAATCATTCTCTAATTTTATGGTTCAGATTTATCGTTTCAGAGATTAACTGTCCGCCATGGAGCAGTAGTTTTTGGCACCATCTTTAAAATATAGAAACAATAGAAAAAAAACAAGAAACATTTTTTGTTATCTTCAAAAGTTATATAATAATATATGAATTCTAGTTGTCATTATATAATATAATAAATAAGATAAAAAAAATTGTTAAAAATTTGCAATTTTTTAGCATTCTTCACCGTAATAATTCCTTAAGAAATTGTCCTGACTATAAAGGTCATAATTGGCTGATATCTCCTCAAATCTTGTCCCATCTTCTTTGTATGTTCAACCCGTTGTTTGGATGAAGCTCGCTCCAGCGGCAGTCAGATTGGAGCTGAGTATTACCAATCACTTCACACAGAGTCCTTTATTTTTTTTTCCATTGCCAATGGCACCATCAAATTCTCACTTTTGGTATTTTAAAGCAGGTACACATTTGGATTTAAGGAATTCTTCAATCTTGCAAGACTTTCCTAAGAACCGAGAGGTACAGACCACCCTCAGATTTAGAAAATTACAATTCTTCGGACATTTTATGTGATTTGAATCCAGATATGCTCTCCTTCAAGTCATCCTGCAAGGAAAAATATTTGGAAAACGAGGTCCAGGAAGAAGAAGAATATCTTGGTTAAAGAACCTCAGAATCTGGTTCAATACAACATTTGTGCAGCTTTTCCACGCTGCTGCAGATAAGATAAAGATTGCCATGATGATCGCCAAAATTGGTAATGGATAGGCACATCAAGAAGAAGAAAGACTCTCCTCTTCGGTTTTTCTCAAGAAAGTCCTGTGTGATGTTAGAGAAACTGCTTCAGCATAGATTAATCCAAAGTACCCGTTCATAATTCGTCTTTATATCGAAGACTACAGTGGGGCATCTTTTACGAACTGTATTTCATTATCTGATACAATTTTGTCAGGTAGTTCTTGGGGATCATTGCTGTTATTCCCTATTTCTATTAGAGCAGTTCTGTAACTTATATCGCCAAAATCTTTTGACGGGGAAATTACATATCTGTGCCATATTTTGGGATCAACATGTTGCCCCTAATGTTCCTTAGCTTATTTATTTGAACTCTTATGTTAGTTTTTGTACATATTTGGTCTTTAGAGAGCTGTCAATATAGATATAAGGCCTAATATGAAAGCGAAGATCGAATACTTGGAAATGTTGATCTACAGAAGAATTCTACGCATGTCTTGGGAATTACACAGAACCAACCTGTCGATTCTGAAAGAGCTTCATATAAAACACTGGCTATTAAAAAAAGTAAACTGAGCATACCTAAATTACTTCGGTTACATAGCCAGAAGAACGAGAAATATGGAACTATAGGAAACATATATGAAACATATGAAATATATGAAACAGTCCATCTAGAGTAAATTGTTTATGATAGTTCATGTTAGACTTGCAACTGCCGTGCATCTTTGAGCATGGTAGACCATGTCTGTGCCTTTCGTGTTGCAGCTCTTTTGATTCCCTGGCTCAAACGCAATCAATCATCACGAAAATGTGAAACAGCATGAAGGATAAACAAAGAATCGATACATGTTGTGCATGTCTAATACTATAAGTGTTCTCCTAATCGTTAATTTTATTAACGATAGCTTGTAGATAAAATTTCTGAACCTTCCAGTAGGCTATTCTTAAATTTAACTATCTTGGAATTGCTGTTGATACATTATTTTGGCGAAAATTTGTTTTTTATTTCATGTACACATCACAAATCAAATATAACTATTTTAAAGGCTGTTCTGCCATCTTACAATTGATCTCATTTGTATAATGTTAAGGTATTTTTGAATAACCGGAAAAATCAGAGTTAATACATTTATTATTTAAACTCATAGTTAATTTATGTATTATTAACACTTTCACTGTGGAAGACGTCATATGACGTCTTTCTTATTTCTCAGTCTGTGCGGACGGTGCCATTTGGCCTTATCTTTGTATTACATATGCTATCAAAAACTTCGTTCCGTACAGTAGAACGTTCTGAAATAAAGTTCTACAGCGAAAGATTTTTAAACTAGATATAAATCTAGATTTTTAAACTAAATGTAATTTTTTTAGATGTAAATTTGTTATAAGCTCAAATGTGCCATATACTCTGAAACCAATCAATCGCCATCAAATATTACATACCACTAGAGGAAAGTTACAAAGTTAAGAGTCTTAAGTCACTTACTCGACGTAATTTAATCGCGTAAATTTGCTGGCAAAATTCTCTCTTCTTTATTTAAAACTTACGAAACATTTTATGACGCCGACCGGTTAAAAAGTGAACTTCACTAATGTATTTCAACGTCGGTAAAAAAATGGACTGTGTATTGAACGACCCCGATATATTTTTATCTTCAGTTGTGTTTGTTTTTCCAGTTGTCCAAATGATGGTTTTTAATTTTGATTATGTCGTCTATTTTCGCCAGCAATTTACAAGAACAATAATTGTACACTTGTTTAAAGAACATATCATTTCTCTTGATTATTCAAATAAAATGATATTATTTCTTTACAACTGTGTACTTTATTATACAAAACAAGTTATCAACATTCTACAACAAAATCTCAATATATTCTCTGATCTAATATTATTTTAGAAGAAGAGATTGACATAACCATAAAATTAAATAGTGCACAGCACCACAAAACTATCATTTTAGTGGAATATAGCAATATTAAAAACGTATTTGCGGCATTGTAAAAGACAAGAGAGGTCTTGAGAGGACAATTCCGAATGAACACGATGTAGTCTAGAGGGCAGGACTGTTTTGTGGCGGATCAAAGTCCAGGGAGTTTCAGGGAGTATTCTGATGTATTTTGACCCTCTATGAATTCGAATTTCAAACTTGTTTTTGCGTCGGAACTGACCGGAATTTATTAAAAACAATTTAATTGTGTAAACTAACAAATATAAAGCATTTTTGAAAAATTAAGAAAAAAACATATAAAATAATGATTGGTAAACATTGATACAATGATTAGAACTGGAGGAATTGTAAAATTAATGTAAATATATTGCAAAATTACAGCATTTACGCGATTTTTCACTCGTAACTCGGCTGCATTTTGAGTAAAATAACTTTATAATAACTTAAATTAAAGGAAAAACTTCCAGCTTTAAAACTAAACTTTAGTTATAATCGAAAAGATATTTATAACAATGTTATAACAATTATAAACGGATATTTTTATTAAAAAGGCATATAATTTATTTATAAGGTTTTTGTAGCTACTAAAACATTAGTTTACAGCAAAGCAAGTTACATAGTCGCATTGTGCGATCCAAGACGAAGAGTATTATGTATTAAAAATATGTTTAAATTTATTTTTAAATGCCATAAAGCAGTTTTTTAAGTTCGCCGACCGCCGAAAAATATAAATGATCTCATTTTTAAAAATATGTCTTGCAAATAAGTGAATAATTCTTGAATTTTCGATTAAAAATACTTGAGAAACAATTTACAAACTTAGCTTGGGAAAAATAAATTCTAATCAGTAAAAACCAGTGGCTTTGCTGAATTTCTTATTTTTTTTCGATCATTTTCTGTACTGCTTAATTTAACATTAGGTTTATCTTTTTGACAAATAATTCACAAATTCAAATTAGTGATGTTATTTTCCATACTTTCATAGCACACAGAAACTCTTTTCTAAATTTATGTTCTTGGCGTATAAGTAGAAAGGTAGCCACTTGGGTGCATTTTGACCTTTGACCTGTGCAGTGAGAATAGTACGCGCATAACTCTCATGGTTATATAGTTCTAGGCGTTTGACCGCGCAAGTAACTGCTTTATGCCATTAAAACATATATTTAGTCATACTGAATCAAATTGTTCGTCTTGACAGTAACATCACTTTCATAGAAAGTATCCTCATATTCCAGTATCGTACAGCGAATGCCGCTGTGAAGTAAAGCTAAAAAACATTTCATTTGCTAATCTTGGAAATAAAGAATGCGGAATATGTGAGGGTTTTAATCTACACGGACGTTTAAAAATTTTTCGGAAGATTGCGAAAACTGCATGGAAAAAACATATAAATTCTGCAGAGTCTAGACAACTTTACCAAAATCAGAGCTCCAATCCTGAAAAAAAACAGACTTCTGCAGACTTGCAAAAGATAATGTTTTCATGTTTGAAAACATTTAAAAATGTCTTGTTTATACAGAGGTTTACAACATACTACGAAAATTTTGTTCCATTAAGAAGTCAAAGTTCGTCAAAACCGTTTGCAGTTGTATGCCATGAGGCAATCAGTGGTCGAAAAAAGAAGGATCTTGTGAGTACTTTTAAGACTTTTTTAAAATTTCATAGAGATGCTAAGAAAGTAGTCATCTAACTTGATAACTGTTCCAGTCAAAATAAAAACTGATTTTTGCAATTTTTGTAATGATTGTAAATTTTCCTGAAATTAATGCTGAGACCATCACCCTCAACTACTTTGAAGCTGGCAATACATTTATGTCGGCAGATAGCTTTTATACAAGCTCTAAGAAAGCAAAGTAAAACTTATGACTTCCAAGACTTTTGCAATGTAGTCCAGACTTTAAGAAAGTCTCTAAAAGTGAAACAAATGAATATTTCAGATTTTTATCAATGGATTGATTATACCTCACAAATTAAATTGAAAAAAGATCGCAATCGTGCATGGCTAACGCGATTCAAGTACACTTCGTCAGAAAAAAAAAATGATTGTAAAAATGTTTGTTTGTATTACAAGACATCTCATTCCAGCTCAGAAATGACGGAACTTGCTTCCTTAAAAAACAAAAAGATTAAAAGTATATAGAAACGTAAACACGTGGTAATGGCCCCATCAGTATCTAAACTAATAGGATTAAAAAAAAGAAACTTAATTATTGAAGCAACTTAATGCAATTATTCCAAAAAACAGAAAAAAACTTTTGGATTAATTTGCCTGTGTGTGATGAGTGAGAAACGAAAGATAAAAAATATACAACAAAAACAACTTGTTTAAAAAATAGTTCTGTATTTCCAATATTTTCCTATCAGTTTAAGTATTTATTCTTTAAAACTGATTTTGATTATACTATTTTATGAATTCTACAAGTTTTAATTTATATGAAGCAATAACGAGTAGATATTTGTGTCTTTCCAGATTAATTAAAAACATCTGTTGTAATCTGGCAACTGCTGATTTGACGATTGCCAAATCTATCCCTTAGTCTATCAAAAGGTAATTGCTATAAAAATTTCTAATAATTAACTGCAATTAATCTCCACAGAAACAAATATTTACTCATTGTTGTTTTATATAAATCAAAAATTGCAGAATTCATAACATAATATAAACAAAATGTACTTTTCTAAAGCTTTATCTTTTTATATTTGAAGCATACAGGATCTACATTATAAAAACATGCTAACACTACTATACCGAAATTTTTTGTTCCATGTTTGACATTTGCGACTATAATCAGCTTGTACTTTCGGTAAACTCAACCAATACTACTATGAATACGGTCATTATTCTGTGATTCCCACACGCCGCACTTACCGAAGCATTGTCTGTACAATATATAAACGTTTTGCATTTATTAGTACTAGTACGTTTTAAATTGAAAACTCTGACAACTGACTTATACTTTAATGTATATTATATATATCTTGTGATTTTTCCAGTTATTCTCTATTTTTTCTACTTTCGAAAGTGAGAAACTGTACTGACTGGTGTTGTTTGTTATCGTGCTTGTTTATTATTACGTAATCTTGTAATGTTTTTATTTATTTCTAGGTGTAATATTTACTACTATGTGATTATTGAATTTACCAAAGTAATTAATAAATCGTAAGCAATGTAAAGTAAATGTTGTTCTTTGTAAATTATTGAATTCTCTACAGAACAAACTGTGTTTGAACAAGGCAATTGTTGTTTTAAACTTAGACATAATAAAATTAATTATCTATTTATATTTTGGTGTTTTCTTTATGTGATTTCCACTTTTCTATTAATAAAGTCTTAAAAATAAGTTTTAAGATCAACTGGAGAAGAAGTAATCATCATAGATGCCCCTGTACATTATCACTATAACATTAGAACCGAACCGAACCCTGCCACTGATGAACGAAGACCTGTTAAATCTTCTACTGACCTCTATCGAATTTTGTTAACGTTAAAGCAATTTTTAAGTATCTAAGATTTTTTTATTTACCCTTTTTAGATACTGTTCCGTTTCGCATTTATGTTTATGTCAAACTCATTTGTCATAATAATTCATTTTGTATCTGTATTCAAATATACGCGCCACTGACTAGAGCGCTTCATGGTTTTAGCCGTTGAAGGGGAAGCCAGCTTTTGGCGCGAACAACTTCACTTCGCTCTGAACACTAGGCCAAGTCAGTCGTTATTCTGTATAGTCGGCTTATTTACTTAATAAAAATCAAGTATCAAAACTCTTATAACTTCTTCAGATACTTTTGAGTGCCCTGTTTCAGATACTTTTGAGTACCCTGTATGTAATTTCCAAAATTTGCATCATGTCTAATGCGACTTGAGAAAACAATTTTATCATTCTTTTCTCGGTAATATTACTGCAAGATCGTGCAATTGGTTGTCAACGTTCTAGGAGAACATGACACTTAGAGAAGAAGAAGCTCACCATATTTTTATATGTTCTAGATAAAGTAAAATGTATGTGGGTAGTTAAAAATAATTAATACTCAGTTAAAAAAAGAATGCATTTAACAAAAATTAGTATATTTACATATATTACAACACTTCTAAATTTTCTTTAATAATCCGCAGCTGTGTTGGCCAAATAATCTCTTCGTCCAATGTTTGAAGCCTGTTTATTTTGAAGAGCTTCGAGTTTGGGACAATCTGTAATTCTGTGTCCAAGACCACCACAATAACTGCAACCGTGTTCTCCTAAAACATTAAAAACATTGATAAATGTTTAGAAAAAGCATTGTCATTCTTAATTTCATTTATGATACTAAGAGTATTTTTAACATTACGGCATAAATTCCTTCCTTTCCTCTTCTACGAAGGTGATTCAACTGAACATTAGATTAATCTTGTCTTGGATAGATGACTTTTTACATGTGTGACTTTTGACATGTGTCATCAAAATCATGATGTATGAAATTTATCAAATACGAATTAATTAATAAACGAATTACATGTATACAACTATAATGGCAAATTCATATGATTATATATACACAGACTTCTACATTTATTCGATTTAAACGAACAAGAAAAAAGGATTCTTTGAAGAGTTATAGGTTGGAACGATATTTGTAAGAATGGTTGCCTAGATCTAGTAACTGGTTCTAAATGTAAAGAAGGGTGTATCATAAAATATTTAATGGATATATTGTACATATATTTGTATCTACTGATATAAAATTGATGTTTTGATATAAAAATTAGAGATTCTCTGTGGTTGATATGGTTACCCGATAGGTAAGTTGGCCTGAGTTGCCAATAAGGGTAACCGATTAGTAGCTTGTAATTGACTTGTTTTTTTAAAATCAACTGTTTAAAAAAAATCAAAGTTAAAATTTGATATGGATCTGTAAATAAATTCTTTACTTAATAGAAGATAAGGATTTTCACATTTTAAGAGTTTGACTGTAAAATTGGAAGTAGAAAAGGATCGTTGATAATTAAAAGGAGGGTTACTAAGGCTGATAATGAGAAAATTATGGGGAGGGAGGTTTAATACACAAAAATATGAAAATGAAGGTTGAAAAATCAAAGTATAATAAAGAAAGAAGTTTATTAGGCATACAGTGTGTAGGTAAACGGAGAGTGGAGAATAATTGATGAGATAGTGATGTGTGATTGACATGAGTATTTTATGATGATAATATTCAGTGGAAATAAAAAGAATGAACTGTAAAATTGTATATATTTATATGGGATATATGAATCTCTAGGATGTTGTTAGTTAGTGGATAAAGGTGGTAAGCTAATGATTATTTGTGAAGAGGAATGACAGAATCAGTTATTAAAAAGATTTTGAAAGTCCAAAATTCTAAAAATTTTGAGGTTAGGATTTTTAAAGTTAAAATTCTGAATCAATATTTGCAAAACTCCCCATACATAAATACAAGTACAAAAAGCTACTTATATTGAACTTATTTATGCAATACAATACAGATTTCTTACCTCCCAAAGCCAAATATTTTTCACTTTCTGAACACAGCTCAGCGAGGAATGTAGGAACTTTTTGTTTCGCTTCCATCAATAAATGTTTGAGATCCAGCAGAACTGATTCATCGTTGGATTTGTTGATGAACGTGGTCGCCAATCCCTTGTTACCTGATCTACCAGTACGACCTATTCTGTGAACTAAAAAATAAAAAAATCTTTAATATGTTGTAATTAAACGGGTCCAAAATTGATAATATTATTGTCAAAATTGTTTAGAAAAGACACTTTTCTAAATAAGAGAAACAATTTCAACTTGGGAGTCAGCATAAAATGTAGTGTAAATTGCATACATTTGGCGTAACGATTTATTGCAATATTGAAAAATTTTATAGCTAGTCTTCAGAAAACAGACTCAGCTGGAAACATTTTTAGTTTATCATGACGTCAGTTAAGCTGTCATTGTATTGGTGTTTTCGACTGATGTTTTCGATTAATGTCAAACCACACAATGACAAAACGAATAATATAAAGTTATTCTAATATTACGGTTGTAATAAACATTACAATATTTTTAGTAATATCACGAGAGAAATATATTAACAAGGTATTACCATAATTTTCTACGTCATCAGGCATGTCATAGTTAATTACATGTTGAATATCAGGAAAATCTAAACCTTTGGAAGCTACATCTGTCGCTACGAGTACATCTTTTTCTTGTTTTCTAAAGGCCTCCACAGATCTGGATCGTTCCTCCTGATCTAAAAAGTTATAATAATTAAAACAAAAGAATCTTGACATGTAACACCAAATACTCACCTTTTCCACCGTGAATTGCTACAGCCTCTACTCCTTTTAGAAGAAGATACTCGTGTATGGCGTCGACATCTTGTTTCTTCTCTGCGAAAATCAACACAGGAGGCGGTGTTTTTTGTAAACATTCCAAGAGATATACTATTTTTGCTTCTTGTTTAACATACTCGACTTCCTAAAATATAAGATTCAAGAATTAAGTGGTGTATTATTGATGTGAAACGTCTATTGCGGCGGGTTAAACCACCTAATACGGTAGTGACGCTGCACAAACATGGTCCTCTGTTGTAACTCTTCTACTCCGTGATGTTCGGTTATCTCTTATATACCTGAGATCGAACACCTGACTTAAAGTGTATGCAGTGTTATTAAAATACATAGTTTAGCATACAAACAGACAGCTGTTCAATTTTTCACATGCGAAAAATCATGTCAATTTTTCGCTGTATTAATTGCTATCATTCTACAACAATTACCCTACTCAAACCCCTTTTTATTCCCACTTGAACCCCTCTCCTTTAGAAATACAGACAGTCGTAAGATAGCAAACGGAAAAGACTCTCTTGCCTGTTACCTATCGCTAGGAACAGACGCTCTCTCTTTCCTGTTGACTATCATTAGCAACAGACGTATTTTCTCTACTGTTGACAGCCGCTAACAATAGATATTCTCTCTCTAGCGCGTATTGTTACGCGAAAAATACTACAAATACTCTTTTAAATACTATAAAGACAGAAACCGGTAACCCGAACAGCTTCCCCGTACGAAGAGCAACCGCGAATGAAAGCCTGTAAATACCGCGAGTGTGTAGCAGTAATATTGGTAAGACTTTTTATAAACATGATTTGCTATAATCTGTATAACCCTTTACTACATATCCTAATTAATTTGAACCAGCCTTGTGTAATACAGTCCTCATACACTAAAATTATTTTCATAATTTCACATATGTACACCCTTTTTGTGTAACAGCATCGAATATTAGTATGACCGAAGTAACTGACGAAACAGCTGGCAATATTTAAGACAGTTTTGTATTAAATCAATATATATTTTTGACATAATCACTATATGAAAAGTTTTCTTTAAAAATCTGAATATTTTGTTTTTTATTGTCATATTTATCTCCTTGCTATATAGAGCTTGGTTATTCTACCCATTATTATGCGATTTTCCAAACCACTCATACATTTTCTTGCAATAGATGATCATTTTCTGACAGTTAATGCGCTTTTAGCAATTTACAGAATGAATAGGCCTGCATGTACTCCGGATATGAATCCTATAGAGCAATTTTGGAATTTTTTGGGTAAAAGGATTAGATAACGACAAGTAACGATCGAAAATTTAGAGCAATTGGTCACATATATATGTCAAGATTTTGTGAAAAACTTGAAAACAAGAAGGCATCACACATGCCGAGCTTTATATATTGCTAGAGGAAGCTTTACAGGCCATTAATTAATAAAATGGAAACTTTATGGGATTAATTCTTATCTTATACACAAAATATTAAAAGTTAAATATATTTTATCAATAATAAAACACTTACTTGCACCACATTCATAGAAGCAGCTCCAGCTCGTCCTACATTTATAGTAATGGGCTTTACCAAGGCCGATCTTGCAAAGTTCTGGATTTTCTTCGGCATAGTTGCAGAAAAGAGCAGTGTTTGCCTTTGACCCTGCAAAATATTGAAGTTTTTGGTAATATTTGAACAAAATAATGAAAATGAGTCAGTGGAATAACAAATAAACCAGATGAAGAAGGTAGTTGGTATATTATAAATTTCAAAGGGTTCATTTTGCGTTTCTTTCAGCAATCTAGTTACCAGTAATTCCCTCATGACTTAGCACTCTTAATGAAGTTGCTTTTTTGTGCCTTACCAGGTGCTCAAGAGACTGTTTGCACTTCCAAGCTATTACTGACTCACCAGTTGTAGCTTTCAGAACTTTCAGTACAGCTTGGTTAGAGGGAATAAATATTTTGATCAAACTGAGGCGGTTTTCAGACATCATTGAGTACAAAAATTAATTGCTTGCAATATTAAAGGAGTATATCTAAGAGTTAACTATACAAGGTATTAAATAAGCCAGTGAGAAGGGCAAGATGATGACTTAAGCTCAGGTATCTATTTGATATAGAGAAAGATTTGAAAGAAATTGATGTGAGCAAATGGATAAGGTAGACATTCAATACGGAAGGATGTTTAGAGGCAGGCAAGGGTTAACGGAAAGCTGTAACGTCATCTGATGATGATCATTTCCGAGAGTTATTGATAGTCTAAAGTTAGAACCAATTCACATGATTCCTAGTGGCCATCTTTATGGATTACGTTGTTCTGACCAGTAGAAAATCTAGATGTTTCCAAATAACGCACGGATCATCAAAGCCTTATGGTTTTTGATCGAATGTGAGAAAATGTGGCACCCTCCACAACAAATATTTCATACAAAATGGTAAATACACTTTCCTCTTATTATTATTATTATGTTGTCTGCCTGGGAAGTTTGGTGATACAATTTACTACACATGAAATAGTAGCTCTGAAGATTTCAGCTGATTTTTACCCAGCCATTGGCGTAGATCCTTGATGCAAGAATTCTGTCTTCTCTCCATTGATCTTTTAGCATCTGCTTTTTCTGATCTTTTTTATGTTTTTCGGGACAACTGCCAAATTTAGGCAACCAGAGAGCTCAGCATCATTTTTGTTTGTATGACAGGTTTTTTACTCAGCATACTACCTCTTAATCAGTGTTTACAGTAGAACAAAGTCCAAATAATACTTATCAATCCAATGCTTTGCTTTTGTTTTGAAATTTTTAAAAATAGCCTCATTTTAACCAATAAAACTCTTATGATCCAATTGAGTTCCAAATTTGACAGGTGACATTTGAAGGCTGCTAGTATCTAAATCATATATATTCGTTATTAGTGGCTCCATCTATATTAAATCTTAGAAATTATTGAGAAATGCATTACAAATATACTTAAAAAACGACATAGTAAGGCAGTTACCTTGAGTAGACCTCATATCAACTGTATGTATGCATATAATATAATCTAGGCACTAAGTAAAAAATGAGATGGTTTTACTTACATTAAAATAGGAAAAAATTGTTCGAACGTCCTCCTCAAACCCCAAGTCTATCATTCTGTCTGCTTCGTCCATACAAAGATATCTACACACAGTTAATTTGACGATTTTCTTTTCTAGCATGTCCATTAGACGACCTGGTGTAGCCACCATTATGTGGACACCTCTATAACAGGAAAAATTCAAATATTATTTTTTAATTCTAAGAAGAATGTATAAAAAATACAAATGTGAGAAATTTTCACTTTTATCTTATCTCTTTAGGTTTTTTTTTCTTATTGGTATGTTGGGCTAAGAGTGTGTGATAAATACAAATTATGTCAAGGAACAAGAACCAATGGCCAAAAAAAGGAATGCAAGCTTTATCATGCCGCAACTGATATAGATGTAGCTTGTATTGTTCCAGTCAACCACTGATGATCTTCCTTAAGTATCTATGTCATATATCTGTACTTCTAGCTCTGTCCCATTGTGTTTTACCATCAATTTTTCTAAATGTTTTCATCTCTGCTGTTTCTAACCTTATTTTTGCCCTCTCTGTGTCAGGTTGTTTGTGCACCCATGTCATTAATGGTCTGATGACAGTTTTGTAAATTCTGCCTTTCATTTCTTGCACAACCTGCAGCTCTGTTTGCTCTATTGGTACAGCATATGTAAATTATCTTCACTTTTAGAGAGTAGTATTATTTTCGTTAAAAAGATCATCAGTACTTGAGAGGAATGATATGTTATGTCAAAAATTTCAGAACAATGTACTTAACTTTATAAAAAATAATTTACAAATATAAATAAATAAATTAAAATAAATTGAATGAAAATAAAATGATTTTTATTGTTTACAGATGTGTCTACATACTTTTGAATGACTTCTAAAGCTTCTGTTACAGGAACGCCCCCAATAGCCAAACAGCTTCGTATTAATGGCATCCCATGTTTATTTAAACTGTTGGAATAATGCTGAATAATGTCATAGGTCTGTTTTGCCAATTCTCTGGATGGGCAAATGATTAATCCATAGGGACCTTCGTTTTTTATAAAAGGGAGCTTTACTTCTTGCTCTAAACAGAACATTATTAAAGGTAAGACGAAAACCAAGGTTTTTCCTGATCCTGTAAATGCAATACCAATCATGTCTCTGCCAGATAATCTACAAGAATTTAAAAAATCAATTTTGCTTGAAATAATTTATGAAGCATAAGTTTTGAAAATAGTTTGATATATTGATTTAGTTACATTAAATAGGAAGTAAAAATGGAATCTTTATGATATATAGAATGGTTATAAAAAGGATATATTAAGAGTTTTAATACTTTAGACAGAAGAACAGTATAATATGTTATACATCTTACACTGTGGGTATTCCTTGTATCTGAATGGGTGTAGGTTTTTTTATATGCTTCTCTTTCAATCCAGCAATAATACCTTCATGTAGCTTCATTTCTTTGAATGTTTTCAAGGGAGGTGGTATCTCATCCCCTTCAACTAAAATGCGAAGACTTGTTCTTAACTTTTCATGTGCTTGGGGAGGTTTCTGTAAAATGTATCTGGGAGGATGCCAACTAAAAAGGAAACATTTGTGTACATGACAAATTTGTTTATATAATGCAAATTTTTTAGGGCATTGCAAAAAGTATAAAAGGTCATATATTAAGCATGTGAAGAAATATTTAAACTTACATATGAATTATAAACAAAAAGGAGGTATTACCTTGTTTTTATAGGGTCTCTATATTGTATACCTTTTGCCAATTCAGATACACCCATAAGAGCTTTCTTTTCAGCAACTATTTCCAAAATTTCTTCTTCCTTTTTTAATTGCTTCTCCACAGCACTTACCTTCTTGGCTAAAATTTTAAACATTATAAACAGCTACTGAAGTTAATACTTTAACAAATGTATTATAGAAGATATATCAGGGATATATTATAAAGTATATTTAAGGCCCTATGTTTTCATTTGTTCTCTTTTATAGCAATTTAATTGTCAGAGAAAACTACAAACATGGTAAAACTCTAAATAAGTTAATCAAAAAGATTTAGCAGTACACTGCTAAACAATATATGAATCAATAGAATCAACCCCTCAGAAAACTGAGGGGTTAGGAAAATGATTAGAGAAATGTGTGAAAAGTACAAAAGAGTATAAAAACAAACTGAAAGGAGTAAAATAAGGTTTCAGAATAACCATGATCTCTGAAGTTAACTATGTAATTTAGAATACAATATACAATGACTTTTACCTTCAGCTAATTTCCGTAATTCAGTATGTTGATCAAGTAATGGAATGTTATTCTTTCTTCCCCAAATTTCATCTTCTTCTTCATCTTCGTTTGTTTCGTTTTCACTTGAGGATTTTGGCTTATTCTGCTCTGTTTCTTTTAACTAAAACATAGTATAGCCATAAGATAGGTATTTACAAAATTGATATTCATTTATATACCTGTCCAAGTCGACCCAATTTTAACAACTGTAGTTTTTTTCTTTCCTTAACTGGTACATAGGGGACATAATTATCATCAGAATCAGAGTTACTATTTTCTTCTCGTCGATATCTCTGTAATTTTAAATGTAATGTAACTTTTATATTAGATATATTTAAACATAACTTACTTTTACTGAGGGTCCACTATCAGTCATTGTGATTTACTGTTTTATTTAATTTAAATTAATTTTTAAACTTATTGTTCTCATTACGTTTTATTTATGTTTTTATTTTATCAATAAAGTATTGCCACTTCTCTGCTTCTATTTATTTTATACACATAGCACACACCCACCTAGCAGTGCCAGTTCCATGTTAACAAGTAAAACGACGATTGGCGCATTTTCTAGTGCCAGGGTGCGTAACTAAATATATACTTCTTTTTATGTAGACATTAGTCTGTCTGTGTTTAAATGTGCATTCAGTAACTTGCATACTTTATTGGTTATTTAATTTCACAGCACACTCCCACCTAGTTGTGTCAGTCCCGTATTAACGAGAAAAACGACGATTGGCGCATAGCTAAGTGCCAGGGTGCGTAACTATATATATACTTCTTCTTTTTAGTTAAACATCAATCAGTCTATGTTTAAATGTGCATCCAGTAACTTGCATATTTTCTTGGTTATTTAATTTCACAGCACACTCCCAGCTAGCAGTGTCAGTGCCGTAGTAACGAGTACAACGACGATTGGCGCATAGCCTAGTGCAAGGGTGCGTAACTATATATACATAGCGGTAAATTCAAAAGGAACTTAAAATTACCTAGGACTGTAAAGTACCATACTGATGAGTATCTATTGATGAAGTAACAAGCAAAAATACATATAATACATAAAAATTTGTATTTCTGCTTGTTATCAAACTTCATTTCATCATTTGACAGTTTGACACATGCTTAGAAAGTGAGGTTATAGTTAAGTATTAAATTTGATCAAAACATTGTATAATTTACTTCATTTATTTATAATAAAATATCTACAATGCCTCACTGTTCTGCCAAGTGTGGTAAAAATGCTATTTTGAAAGTAAGCATGTAAACTGTATGACACATGTTTAGTATTACATATTTCTTTTTTCAGAGACCTAAAACATCAGATGTTTTGTGCAAAGAATGTTTTTTCGAGGCATTTGAAAATGAAGTACACTTTACAATTACTAAAGCTAAATTATTCAGGCCTAACACAACGGTAGCAGTTGCCGCCTCCGGTGGGAAAGATTCGACAGTACTAGCATATGTATTAAAAACACTTAATGAAAAGTACCATTATAATTTAAATCTAGTTCTTCTATCAATCGATGAAGGGATTACTGGATACAGAGACGATAGTTTAGAGACTGTAAAACAAAATCGTGATGATTACGAAATGCCGTTAAAGATTATGTCATATAAGGATCTTTATGGGTGGACTATGGATGAAATTGTTGCAGAGGTTAGTTATTTAAAAATATAACAAAGTTCAGATGAATAATTCCTACAGCTAAATATATATTCATACAGCTAAAATACTGTTAGTGTAGTGTAATTTTGACTATGGTACTTTTTCTTTTCTCAATATGATTCTCAAACATACAATAGGGTGTTACACAGTGTTTTTGTTGTATTTCTTTCCATAAAATAGTTTGTTTTTTAGATAGGAAGGAAGAATAATTGCACATTTTGTGGTGTTTTTAGAAGACAAGCCTTAGACAGGGGAGCAAACTTATTGAAAGTAGATTATTTGGCAACAGGACATAATGCAGATGATATAGCAGAAACTGTTTTAATGAACATTTTAAGAGGTGATCTAGCTAGATTAAGTAGATGTACATCAATTATAACAGTGAGTAATATTTTCTATTTGTTTTTAATGTTGAAATTATTTTATTAAAAGTTGTCAACATATTTTAGGATAGTGGAGATGGTATTCCTAGGGTCAAACCTTTAAAATATTGCTATGAAAAGGAAATAGTGATGTATGCATACTTTAAAAAATTAGTCTATTTTTCAACAGAGTGCATTTTTGCACCCAATGCTTATAGAGGACATGCACGAGTTTTGCTTAAGGATCTAGAAAAAATTGACCCAGCTGTAATTATGAACATTATACATTCAGGTATTTGATATATTTCTCTCCCATCAATAGTCTGCTTGGAGGTTTAACTGTAAGCTTTCCATTTTTCTCGCCAATTGTAATTGTTATTGAAGTACATTTTAAAACATATTTATATTTTAGGCGAGACCATAAAAGTAAATGAAAGTGCAAACATGCCAACTCTGATGAATTGCACACGTTGTGGGTATGTGTCTTCTCAAGAAGTCTGCAAAGCATGTGTTTTATTGGAGGGTTTGAACAAAGGATTACCCAGGTTGGGTATTGGAAAATCAAGTAAGGTCAAGAGGATATTAAAGGAAAATGAAGAGAAAGCTAACAAAACATGTATAAAAGATGATCAGTGTGGTGATAGTGAAGACAAAAAATGTTTATGTTCAGGAAAACAAAATTTGAGGCCAGTACAATTGGATGGGATTGATATAGAGGATTTAAAGATTTAGTAATTGTATTTTTTGTAAATAAATATTGTTTTTATTAAAGTATTTATGTTCATTAACATATTGCCTGCCTTCTTAGTGACAAATAAAAATTTCTCTGCATACCAGCAAGGTATATTTAACTGAAACACTGGCAGATGGGATGCAATAACACTATCATATAGACTGAGATAACACCACAGTCATATTAAAATTCTCGGTTAAGGGGCACAGTATTTTTGAGGTTTTTTTATTGGTAAAAGCCCCTGATCTAGATAGCTCTTGAACACTCTTAATGGGTGGCAGGCTCTATTCAGTCTTTTTGTTGTCTTTTGTATTTGTTCCCCCCAATTCAGATTCTGGTCAATATGAATACCAAAAAATTTAACTGATCTAGCAGGTTGTGTTTTGTGAGAAAAATGAATTGTATCTGGAAACTGTTCCTGTGACTGGCTGGTTCAAAAGTAGACAAAAACTGTCTTATCAGTATTAACCGATTTCCACTGAACCACTGTTCAGCCTTGCTTAGAATTTGCTCTGCCACTGTGAGGAGTGTTTCTAAAGTTTTTCTCCAGAAAAGCACATTTGAGTCATCAGCGAAATTTACAATGTTTGAGGAACTACTAACCACCGCATTTGGAAGGTTGTTTATGTAGACTAAAAAGAGAAAAGGCAACAGAACAAGCCCCTGTGGTATGCCTAATTTTAAATTGATTGGTTCAGAGTAAACCTTACATCCCCTTTTCTCCAGTCATACCTTTTGCAACCTATCTGTGAGAAATTATTTTATCCATTTTAATGCCTATCCCTGTATTCCATAAAGATGTAATTTTGGTAATAAAGGAACATGATCTAGGCTATCAAAAGCCTTAGATAGGTCCAAAAAAGCACCTGGTGTTTTCATCTTTGCCTCTAGTTTTTCTATAAATTTTTATATAAAATCATAGGTAGCTGTCTCAACAAATCCTCCTGCGAGAAAACCATGCTGTGAACTACTAAATAAGTTGTTTGTAGTAAAAAAATTTTTATAATCTGAAATATATTGCTTTTTCGTATATATTTGAGAATTATGGAAGAAGGCTTATTGGTCTATAGTTCTCCATCTTAGTAACATCACCTTTTTTATGTAGTGGCTTGACAATTGGCAATTTTAAATTTTGAGGAAATTTATCTTGCCTGAAAGAAGCATTAACTACAAAAGAAAGAGGAAGAGAAATCTCTGATGAAACATATTAATTAAGTTTGTTGATATTTCATCATAACCAGAGCTATGCTTGTTTTTTAAGAGATTGAATACAAGAGAATCAAATATGTTAAGATTTGTAAAAATATTATCTATACAGGATTTTTTGTTACCCTCAAGCAACATATCTAAGTTAAAATCACCAGCCAGAAAAATGATGGAGTCTTTGTCAACTAAATCACAAAGTATTTGGTCTAAGTTGTTTATTAAAACTTGTGGGTCTTCTGTTTGGTAGATGGATAGGATTACAATATTTTACAAATAAAGACCACATCAGCTTTAATTTAGTGTAGTCAATCACTTGGTTAAAACAAACTATCACACAGAGAGGAGATAGGTCTTTGAGAAGTCAATTTGGACAGGTATCTTATCAGAGCATAGGTATTTATTATTTATTTATGTACAGGCATTACCTTGTTTTATATATTTTAATATTTTTTTAGATGTATACATAGTAAGTCATAGGAACAGGAGGTTTGGGTCTAAAGAAACAAAAGGCATATTTACACTTGAATTTTTAAATTTTATTTTATATAAATACAACAACAAACCTAATAAAACCAATTTTTATATGTACAATAAAACAATAACAGTCACTTAATATTTATGCTACATAAGCAACATTCTTCTTCTCTATGTGGGATCGACAAATTGGACAAAATTCGTTAATTCCTAATGCACAATCTTCACACAAGCATACATGACCACAAGGTAATAGAATTATCTAAAAAAAAACTTTAAAATTAGTATAAGATTTTGACACAAAATACTTAATTAACTGGATAATTATCTTAAAAAATACTTTCTCTAGGACCTCAGTACATAAATAGTTTAAAATGTGTGTTTGACAGTCAAATAAAGGCATTAGAGCACAATGAAGTAAAGAGAAAGTGTTTCTCACTCTTTATTATCATAACATGAATATAAAGAAAGAATATCTTCCAATATCCTTTTTTGTAGTTGAGAAGAAGCAGAAAAGTGGTATTTTATTCATAATGAAAGTGTCAAAAAGATATTTTAGAGGTATTATAAAGAAATGCATAATACTAACAAAAGTAAAATAATAATATGCTTACTTCTTTGGGGTTCTCCTTACAAACTACACAAATTTGATTTTCATTTAAATTTTCATCCCTAATTTTTCTCCTCCTTTCCTTTCTGGACAGTTCTAATTGTGATCTTTGTTGTTCTTGACTTTCCTTTTCTGCTTTTATCCTTAAATATTTTTTAACTATAAAACCTGATATGACTATGCCAATTGATCCAAACACTATACACATAATTCTATAGTTTGATTTAGAACTATTAAGTTTTTTTAATAACGAAACAACTCCCATATTTGTTAGATAAAATGGTCCACCCTCTGTAGGGGGTTGCAGTTTTAGATTGCCATCCTTTTCAGAAACTAGTTCACCAATTCCTTTAAAACATAAAAACAATGTTTGACTTCTTAATGTTTAAAAACTATGTAAAAATATACCTGTTATTACACTACCAGTTCTGAGCATTTTTTCTGTTGATTGAATCCCCCTTTGACGAATTCCAGCGAAAAAGCTCCAGATATGATCAATAACACTAGGCACTGTTGGGTGAAAATTATCAGAAATTACATCCATATCTAGAAACAGATATTTAACCTCTAGAAAATGCCAAATAGATCAAGTAAAATACAAACCTAAAACCTCAGCACCAAGTGGATCACAAATTTCAATTTGGATACCTCTAGTTTCCAAGGCGAAAGGCATAACATTGTGAACCTCTTGAATCACTCTTTCAGAATCTGCCCAAAACCCTGCTGTACTTCTTTGGATAACATGTTCTTTAATCTTCAATACCTGAACTACACCAGTCACTGTAGGGTTTGCATTGCTTACTATGGGATTTCCTAGAGCTTTGACTGTTCCTCTTATTGCCACATAGGATAACTTATGGTCTGGATGAGTTTCTACAATTTCTTTAAGGTCTTTATTTATTTCTAAATAGGGAGCACCTTGTATTAAAGCCATGGCATTTTTCTTTTTGTAATATTGCCTTATACAGACAGCTAAAATGATGGAATCTACTCCCAAGGCAATACTTTCTGCCAAGTAATCCATTGTAAAAGTTTTGTTATGATTTCACTTTTGTTAACTTTTAATTGTAACGTTATAATTTTGTACTTTGAAACTATTTTCAAACCAATATTTTGAAGACATTATTACATTATCCAAAATGTCACATTCAATTACAGAGTTACAGGATAATTAAACCTAGATTGGTAACGAATAGCAAAAGTGAACGCACGTTTTTATTTGGCACCCTTCCGCTTGGCGGCACTGCTAGACTGGTTTCTGCGAATTGCTTGTCACTTTATGTCATTAGAGTCAAAGCACAGCACACTCCCACCTAGCTGTGTCAGTCCCATGTTAACAGGTAAACGAGGATTGGCGCATTACCTAGTGCCAGGGTGCGTAACTATGAACTATATATACATGCGGTAAATTCACAAGCAAGTAAAATTACACCTAGGAAAATCAATATAATCCTAAAATAACAAAAACCCTTATTCCATACGATAATATGAATATTTCTTCGTATACTATTTGGGTTTTCTTGTTTGTTGCAGTTATATTTATTTTATATTACACTAAAATGCCGAAGTGTTAAAAAAAATTAAAGAATAAAATCTTTATTTATAAAAATGTTACACGAAATGTTATATGTATGTGTTACAAGGCATATTATTAATACAAGTCACCTACAAGTGTAGTATAATTTAGTGTTCTTAATGTTGTGACACGAACTTGTCAGTATTTAAATAATTCTTTTGTTCTTCTAGTGTCAAGTTGTATGTGCAAAAGCCTGGTCTTCTTACCTAGTCATGGTAAAAACCATCGAGCAATAAGACAAAAGAGGGAATCTAATCGTTATAAAAAGGAGACCAAAAAAGTGGCCTCTGATGGCGGACACATCCGGAAATGCAAAGGCGCTAAATTTAAATTTTCCAACATTTGTTAACAATAGCTATAAAATATTTTTCAGACTAGAAAGTTTTAATAAATATTAACGATAATAGTCTAAAAAGTGACATAATTGGTAAAAAACTACAATATAAATAAAATTTCATGTGACAGTTGGGACAAACAATAACATAACCAAACTAAATTTGACTTCTTAAACAAGGAAAGAGACTGTCTATCCTTGTCTAAAGTGGCCTCTCAAGATGGCACTTCCTGTCTATCAATATGTTTACCCCTTCTACCTTTACATTCCCTCTTTTGTCTTATTGCTCGATGGTAAAAACAAACTTGGAACGGCTGTTCTCTTAATTCTCATATGTCCAACTGATTATATCCTCCTATCTTTAAAATGACTAGCGTATACATGAAAAATTGTTATAGTTTCTGTCTAATATAGAGTTCTTAACATCTTAACAGCATTCAGCCATTTATCAAACATATCCATATAATTTCGTGGAAAACGGTATTGCTTGCTAGTAGTATCCATGCAATCTGGAACACAAGATCTTTTTTGGTCAGTTTCTCATGTTTCCATTGTTATTCCATTTAATGTGTTCTATTCCATAATTAAAAATCGTCTAAAATTGTACCTTTTTACGCCATTTATGAAAAAATAAAACAAACAAAAATGTTATGTCCTATTCTTCTCAAGGGAAGAAAGACTGTTTGACTTTAATGACATTATAACACAGTTTAATCAAAGAATATAGACGCATCTATGCGTATATATTCTTTGGTAGAATAAAACTTATATTATTTATTTATGGAATGAAACAATCATAGCCGAATGACAACCCAGAACCAGATGACAAAAAAAATAGACGTAAAGACAGCAAGAAAGCCGATCAGTAGGAAGGCCACGAAAACGATGGAACATGGAAAGACAACTTACTGGAGGCACATTGAAAAATGGAGTCATATCTACATAAAAAGAAGAAGTATATATAGTTACGCACCCTGGCACTAGGCGGTGCGTCAATCCTCGTTTTACTTTTTCATACAGGACTGGCAATGTTAGGTGTGAGTGTGCTGTAAAATTAAATAACCAAGAAAATATAATTTGGCCTTGTCCATCCAAATAATCAAGATCAACAGTCATCATCTCGTATAAACTTAGCTTAACCGTTGCCTAGCAACGTCTGACGTTTAGTTAATTTGACAGTTCATAAACAATCCCTAAACAAATTCGCGGGATATACAAAAGCATTTTAAATATTTTTAAACATATTTTAAAACAGTTAAATAGTTTTAATAACATTTTGATATGGCTGAAGAGGAAAAAAAGAAGGAAGACGATTCAAAAAAAGTCATTCACACCTATCCACTCGTAAGGGTGAGTCATAAATTATTGATTAAACGAACTAATAGGGCTTGTCTATTTTGATTAACAAAAATGTTTTCACTTATTTATAATTGTTTTAAACTAAATCTCTGATTTATTTTAGCATTCTGATATGCCGGAAGAACAACGTATTGAATCAGTGGAATTGGTTGTTACTGCATGTGAAAAACATTCATCAAATAATGAGGTAAATTTTATTATTTTTTAAATTGCTCTAAATAATAGAATTTTTTTGTAGGCAGCTGCAAAAATGATAAAAGAAGAGATGGATAAGAAACTCGGTCCTCCATTTCATGTGGTTGTTGGGGAAGGTTTTGGGTTTGAAATATCTTATGAATGTTCCAACTTACTGTATATGTTTTTTGCCGGTACTTTAGCCATTGTTATATGGAAGTGCTAGTATTGAGATAGGTATCTTATTTTGGTACATATTTATTTAATTTTTTAACGTTATATCCTTCCAATTTATAATAAAAAATAGTATTTAATTACAAAGGGTTATTATTGTTGTAACAATAAGTTGTTGAATAACTATTTTTAAAATATATAGAATTATGGGATACTAAACCGATTTTTGAAAGTGTGACATGATTTCTATATAAATATAAGGAATATTAATTGCATTGTCATACTTTTATGTCTTTGGATGTTATCAGAGCAACGATTGCTTGTGGAATTTGTTTATTGCCCACACAGAGAGTTTGGGTAACATGAGGAAGAGTTTATTAAATAAGATAACAGTTAAAACGGCGGAAATAGACTAATATGGTGCATGGAAGGAATGAAAAATAATTTTAAACATCCGAAAATAAATTTCAGGCTAAAGACTAAATATATTGAGTGGGGATTGGTTCTGTGTGTATGTAAGTGGACGGGGTCTTATTTGCTAGTTTACTTGTGTTTGATTTCTACTTTTCTTTTTTTTTCTATAGTTGGTGTCCATAGAGTTGGAAGACTTTGGGCACCATCTCGTCTATTTCAATTTTTTGAATATTTTATTCAATTTTATTTTTGATGCCCTTTGCTTATGACTTGTTGCGCTAGGGATGACGTGTTTTCTTTTCTTTCGATTGCGACTAAACTGTGACAAATCGTGCTTCGGAAATACCTATTTCAATTGAGCTAAATAAAACTCATCAATTGAAATAACAATATATTTTTATTTTTGTATAACTAGAGTATATAAAACATAGTTTAATTATGTATAAAGCTGTGGTATTATTTCTATTAGTGGTTCAGTCAGCAATAACGGTATGATAAAGATTGTCTCAAATGTAACTTAGAAATTTTATCTTACTTTGGCACACAGAAAAAGGCCTGCACAATTCGCATTATTTCACACGAACTTTGTTCCAGCAAACTTAATGCGCACGCGCCAAAGGGGTGTGTACATTTTCGGAGTTTTGTTGGAACAACTATATAGTGAACATTTTGTTGCCTAAAATATTACCTACATATTGAAAAACGTGTTATAAAAATATACTTCTAACCTATTGCTATTTAAAATTATTCAATACTGAAATAGTACATTATGATACAGGATATATAAGAGGATATTTTAAACATGCACAAAGATTACAACAGTATAATTTTTAATGAGCAATTAAATAGAAAAACCATTTGTCATTTTATTATACTTGCATTATATTAAAAGCCTGTACTTGCGGTACAGATCTTTATAAGCCACAGTCTCTTTGAGAACAGTTGAGGAGGTAATTTTCATAACCCCACATGCCCAAAAAAATATATTTTTTTAATTAGGTAAGTTTCTAATTCGTCATTTTAAAATGCATTGCCTGCCATGTTTATTGCCGATCAAAAACACACATTTCCAGTTATAATATTAATTTTAAAGTAGGTGTTTAAAGCAAAACCCCACATCTGATGTGTGAGGTTATAGCAAAACCCCACATTTTTTATTCAGCCATAGAGGAGTAAGTATTCCAATCACGTGACTTAAATACATGGTTTTGATTTGATTGTTATTGTTGACAGTACGAAATCTTAACAGGATAGTTTCAGAGAAAAAATATAATTTAATGTTGGTTTGTGATTAATTGTGTGAAATTAATTATTTCTTTCTAACGTTTAGTGTGCTGCTGAGGCAGACATTCTCACATAGTGCGGCAATGGTCTCTGGGTTGTTTACTTTCTGGGGTACAATTTGTGACATAATATTTATAGTGCAAGTATAATACCGTTTACCAAGGTTTTTTTAATGTCTACGGACGCTTTTAACAGAAGTGTAATAATTATTTAAGTAAAAACATTAATGCAAAACAAGGGTAATAAAGGTTTCATTCAGATACTATATACAAATATTTATACAAAGAGAACATTTTAATAAAAACTTGTTAAATTGATTCAGACCAGTCTTAACAAATAATCGAATTCCTATTAAAATTAGTAATGATCAATCGTAAAGAGTAAATAAATTGTGACTACATTTCCATGCATTAAATAAATGTGTCTTAATTTCTTTAAAAGTTTGTGACGAAATCAATGATATATAACATAATAAGGCTCTATACAACAGAGATTTGAAATATGACAATCTAGGATTTGACAGATGATGTCACCGAAAAGAGAATGGACCACAGGAGTGATGACATACGTCAGTGTCACTTTCCAAACCATATTCCAAACAAACCTGGTTTAGCGTGGATAATTTGTATTTCTCGTTATTTTTTCATTTTATAGAATCTTTCCGTTTATTGCAATATTTAAGTATTCTGATAGTTACTACAACAATTTTACAAGGTTGTGTAAATAATAAAGCACATTGTTTTATGCTAATAGCAATAAAATGCATGTATCAATAAAGTAAGGTTACAATTTCTTTATTTAAACTTTTAAACTATATTTCATAGAAATAGAACTCTGAATTGTGATGGTATTATCGTAAAAACACTATACCTACAAGAAAAAGCAGCAGAGGAAACAAAATGTTCTTTATAGAAATTAAAAAGTCTTGAGATTTGACATTTCAACTTTTGTTTGGAAAGTAATAACAAAGTAATAATGTCAATGTGACAGTCGTGACGTCACACTCCTGCGGTTCATTGCTCTCAGTCCGTCTTCCAACGCACGTCATCTGTCAACATTTTAAGCAAAACCAGGTTTCTTTTCAATAGTCGTCGAAAATAAGAAAATATATGCTGTTTATGTAATTTTGCATGTTACTGTTTCTGCAGTAATTTAGGCAATGATAAAGAACCATAGGCAAATAATTTTTCCACCGATACGTGAGTGCTGGTGAACCAGTAGATTTCTACACACCTGGGAGACAAAGCAGTGCGAAAAAAGGCGAAAATCTACCCAAGATGGCTGGAAAAGTAATGGCAACTGTTTTGGTTATTCACATTGATTACTTGAAAAACGCTACAATAATAACTAACGTATACTACGTGACTCTATTGAACTATTTCGACTCTGAATTGAGAAATTTTTTTCTGATTTCCCACAAAAGAAATATTCAATCAAGACACGACATCCGCCTATAAGGCGATGTTTCATAGACAAAATTGAGATAGACCAAATGTGATACGAAATGATCAATTAATCACAGAAATCACCAGATCGTTTTGTTTTTTAATTAAACATGGATGTTGCTAATTGGAGGTAAGTTTTTTTTTAATTACAAATCAAATGTGGGCGTTTTACATGATTTGCAAAGTCATTGCTTTACTTACGTGTAATTATAGTGGAATGTTGCTTTGAGTTTTATGTTATTTTCTTGAGCACGGCCATCTTTGTTTTGTTCTTTTAAAAGGACAGTAGTAATAAGCACTACAAAATGGTTATTTTTGAGAAACCTGTAAAATTTCATGAGTTAATTGCAGAATTTGATACAGATGACATTCCAACGCCTCCTGATGGTATAATTATTTTTCCTCCAGACAATGCAAATCTATAACAGATTGCGATTCAAGAGAGGAGGATGTCACAACGATATACCACTTACCCGGAAGCTAGCTGAGAAATGACGTGAGAAATTTTCGACAATCAAGATCAGAGTGGAGAAGAGTCGGATTCCGACGACGATGACGTATCTCTTGCCACAATACGCAAAGAAGAAACAAAACCTTTGATTATTTTCGAAAAACTAGGATCTGCACCCTGGCTTAAAGGTGATCTCTACCAGCATCCTGAAGATGTTACTGGAGACCAGAAATCGAACCTAAACAAAATCTGACACCACTACAGCTCTTCAGGATATTTTTTGACGACAACCTATTCAATATGATAACAACATTTACCAATACATACTCGGCACGAAAAAACTTGACTAATGATATTACAGATAATGAAATTATCTGTAACATAGCAATAGTTTGGACAAAACAGACAAGTTTGCTAAAATACGGCTATTGTATGATGCATTGAATAATTTTTTTTAAATCACGCCCCTTTCGAACAAGAACATAGCCTAGATGAAGCTATGGCACCATATTTTGGCACGAAACAATTTATACGAAACAAACCCATTCGTTGGGGTTATAAGCTTTGGATGGGTACTCTCGTCTAGGTTATATTGTATGGTTTACACTGTATCAAGGAACTCAGTGCAAATACCAGCCTCATACAAAAACCTGGGTCTTGGTTCGTCGGTTGTTTTGTCTTATGCACATGTGCTTCAATCACGCTGGCCAAAAACAAGATTCCACCTTTTTTTTATAACTTCTCATCCATGCATCTACTAAATGAGTTAGAAACTAGAGGTCTTTTCGGTACAGGTATAATAAGGGACAATGGAACACTAAAATACCCCTTATTCGCTTCAACAGCTATGGAAAAAAAAGGAAAGAGTAACTTACAATTACACATTAGATAAAAACGCTGAAATTGTGGTTAGTCGCTGGCACGACAATATTGTCGTTACAATTGCATCTAATTTTTGTTCATTAAAACCACATCACCTAGTCAAACGGTTTTCCCATAAGGAGAAGAGACACATTTTTGTTTCTCAGCCAAATATGATAAAGCAATACAATTCTTTCATGGGTGGCGTAGACCGCTGTGACCAAAACATATGGTACCTCTCTATAAGAGTTGTAGAGAGTTATAAGTATAACATATGGTTATAGACCTCTCTATAAGAGGGAAAGAATGGTACTTTTCGCTAATAGTACATGGAATTAACGCGTGGCAATTGGACCGAAAAGACGGAGGAATCTTTGATCAGCTTGAATTTAGAAGGTAAATAGCTTGAAGCCTTCTGGAAACCTACAAAAAAGATACCAAACGCGGCTCAAAAAGACGGAATTCCAACACGTCCAATCATTCAAGATATGATGGTAAGAACCATTTAATTGTTTTATCAAGAAAAACAATCTCGTTGCGGACTTTGCAAGAAAAAGGTTCAATTTTTGTGAGAAAACTGTAAAATAACATTACACCCTAAACAATGTTTTAAGGATTTCCGTACTTTGTAATTATTTTTGTATTAATAAAGTTTTACTTTCTAATATATACTGTTTCTTACTGCTATCCTTTCAAAAGAACATGACATAAGATACATTTCCTTATATTTTCTTTAAGTAAAGATAAAATTTAAAAAAATAGTTTCAGTAATATGTGGCTTAACACAGAAGATCGAGAGGATATTATCAAAAATTCAATACTTCAATAGTCTTAAAACTAGTCTAAAAACAATTTTTAAAAAAGTAAAATATCTAGGATTATGAACAAGTTTGAGACAACCACGAAAACATTTTATGTACAGGCTTCGTAAAACGAACAAACTACGGTGAAATATTAATATTGTATTCGATCATTATATAGGGTACTAGTATAGAATAGGGAAGCATGTTTCATCAAACTGAGATGCTTCTGCTTCAGTAACTGATCAACGTAACTATTTAGGCATTATAATTACATTAAACTAATGAATTTTCCATGGACTCAGTATGCGCGTTACACAAATATTTGCAGTGTTGCCATAATTGTACAAAGTATAGTTTCTTATGAAAATAACAATTTCATTTATGTAGTCTGAAAGACAGTAAGTTCCGCCATAAAAAAGGTTCAAATTGTTCTTTCTACTTTACCTTTTTAGCTCAGTTTAAAAAAAAATTCGCATATTTATCATGCTTTCCATTCTATATAGTTACCTTACATTATTTAAATAAAACAAGACTATCTACGTATCTAAACATTGTACTCTTAATTTCTTACAACCAGTATCAAAAACGGTTCAAGATAATATTTAACTAGAATGGTCAAGAAACAGTAAAATACGATTAGTAAATACACAAAACACATTAAAACATTTCAATATGGCCCCAAAAGACAAATAGGAAGCTAAATAGTGCCTCATACGAACACGTTTGTTAAAAACACAATAACGAATAAGTACAACTGATATAATAATTAATTTTATAGAATTTATCAAATTTATAATAAATACAATGAAACAATTGTTTAAATAACAGTACAAATAGAAGAAATTCGATGTAAACAGCGGGTAATAATTTATCAAACACAAGAAACATATTTTTTGTTGGTAATATTATTTATAAACAAGTGCGAGGGCGATCCGATACGTATTTAGCCTTGCCGACCGATGGCGCCACTATCGCTGACACAGTAGGCATCTCAAAAGATCGTGTGAGTCAAATCCTGCATGAAATTTTGGGCATTAAAAAAATGTCGGTGTGACAGGTACCAATGAATTAACAACACCGACCCCTTCGCCGTCGCCACGGACGAATTGAGCTAACTGCTGCTCCATCCACCGTATTCTACAGATTTGGTCTATTGCGATTTCTATTTGTTTCTAACTTAAAAAAGTCATTCAATGGGCAGAAATGTAACTCAAATGAGGAGGCCATCGCCGCCATGAAGGCCCACTTTTTTTTCAGAGGGGTATCGAGCTAAAAGAAAACTATGTTGAGAAATAAATCGCCACTTTTCTAAAATTTTCGTTTTTCTTCGGTAGGCTTGTCGAATCGCCCTCGTATATCGCACATTGATTCGGGTTTTAAGCTTTACAACTCACATGGTAGACTAATGTAATTGTAAATAAAATCTATCGTTTTGACAGGACAAAATGTCACAGGAAGACGTGATTGAAAAGTTTGTAAAATGAAAACATATTTTGTCAAAGTAAAACGTGTAAAATGCGGGATTGGTAAAGAAAATCTATTTTATTGCTTTGGAAGGTTGAAAGTTAAGTTCTTATCATGTCACAACAGAAAGTCAATTGTTAAAGCCAAATGTGAAGTATCACTTGATTGTCTGGCGTATTTTATAATTGACAATTGACATTAAATGTCAAGGTACAAGGTCACCAAACTGACGCTATCTGAACTTTACATCAAGACAATCGTAATAATAGTTTTAAATTTTTTTAAATATTTTGGAACGAGGAATAAGATGAAACAAAGTTGAAGATATTAATTGAATATACGAGGTCCGTGCTAAAAGTGATTAGTGATGACCTTCGTTCATAACTTTACGACAAATCACCAAAACAGTAGTAACTCTTCACAAACTTACCGCACTTTTTGTTTGTATTCTCTTTTCAGCGTTCGTTACATTTTGTTATGGATAAAATGTCACAAAAGATCCACGCAACGAGTGTGTATCAACTTTTGGTTTAAACTCGAAAAGATTTGAGCAGAAACTATTCAAATTATACAAAAACAGACCCCGTGAGTCTGTTAACAGTGAGTTACATTCTCGTAAACCTTCCAGCACGACATCGGAAAAATATCGGACAATCGGATAAATACAGAATGTATGAGACTTGCGACTGAAGAAGACTGTATTTGACTGTACGAAAACTGGCAAGCGAGCTAGGAATTCCAAAAACTTGTGTTTTTATTGAGAATATTTCAAAAAGATTCGCTTAGAAATCATGAACAACTTTGTTTGAATTTGCTTAAAAAGATCATTTTTGACCAATTGAGCCGTAGGCTATGATCCCAAAAAAACAGTCTTCATAATGGGAGCGTCTTACAAGACATTTAGACGACAATTATCCCAATTTTGGGAAAAGACGAATGGTTCCTTCATCACGACAACAAATTCATCCAAGTTGGTGCAACAGTTTTTGTCAAAACACAAGATTAATGAGCTGCGCCAGTTTCCTTACAGTCCTTACAAAGCACCCTGAAGCTTCTTTATGTTTCCAAAACTGTTTTTCTATGATCACACTGGAAACTCTTCCAAAAACTGAATTTCAGAACTGCCTCAGTGATTTAAAACACTGATGAGGAATAGGGATTCCTTCGAAGAATGCCACAAGCTGCTGACGAAGAAAAAAGGATGGATTATGAACGAAAATAGGGTACTGTTGGAGTATACCTCATACTACATCTGGTTGTAGCAACATGCATCCAGATAGCGACGACTGTTTTTCGAATTGAAGAATTCATTCTATTCTAGAGAAAATATTTTCGGGGGACTGTCCCCTATCACAATGGGGACACGTTTAAACCACTTTTTCTTGATTCTACAAGTTGAATTGAACCTCAGATCTATTTACCATTGCAAAATATGTGTGATGAATTATGCTGCTGTAGTAATCATTCTCTTATTTCTCTTAAAAAGGATCTAAACCTACCACACTATGCTTTAGAGTACATTGAAAAATAGAATAAATACTTTTTTACGTTAACAATATTAGATTTAAATTTAGTACTTTAACACGCTAGGCACTTATGGCAGTTGTTATTATATAAAATATAAAACAAAATACTTGGTTTTCCGCCTAATAGTCATACGAATAAAAATATTTAAATCTCGACCAGTACTATCAAAAATAAATAAGGGCTAGTGATTAGAAGAATATTTGGTCACTATATCTTTAGTAAATTTGGCAAGGTGGAAGGCGATTTCCCTGATATTTCCAAAATGGAGTTCCAAAGATTTGGTGTCGTTATTTTGATTGGAGGTTTGGAGGGCTGAGCATTCGGGATGAAGTCTTGACACCAACTCTATCATCAGTTTCAGTCGATCTGCTTCTTGTTCCTGTAACAAGTTTTACATTTGATTACAAATATAAAGTAAAATATATTTCTAAAAAGAGCTCAAATGAGTTATAGTTGTTTTTTTTAAAGGAACCCTCCAGCAAAGCCGTGGTGGAAATTGAACGAATTTATGGTTAATGACATTGAAAGGCCTTTCGTCGAATAAGAAATTTTTATGATATCTCACACACATTTTGTTTTATTTAAATTTAAAGATAAGATTTTGGCAAGAATACATAATGAAACCATTCGACGATGATAGAATGATACAAGATACGAGGTCTCGGGAGACTGAGACCTCGGAAACCCTGAAGAAGACATCAGAGAGGATCTCGAAAGCTCGGCGCAATGAAAATCAATGCGGTTCAACCCGGAAGACTGGTGAGTTTAATATTAATTTTTATAATAATATTAATCTTAGCTCTAGCTCTATTAATATATCTAGTTCCTTTTTAAGGATTGATACTCTAAAATATTTAATGATATGTCCAAAATTATCGATGTAAGTGAGGCAGATAAGATAACATACATTTCCTCGCATCCAATTACATACATCTACTGTAAAAACTATAACTTACCTTTGGCAAGAATGAAGCTAACCTACATACGGACACTTTAACTTTTTCGGCACTAGACACACATTCTTCTTTATCGGGTTCTTGAATGGCTTTACACAAATGTTGAATAGTCCATGTGATTTGTTCAGTACACTTTAAGATCGTTTCTCGGTTCTGTGGTGATGAATAAAGACTTTGGGTACCTCTAGCGTCACCGTGTTTCATCTAAAATATTATTCCATATTACTATATGGCAAAAATTGCTCATTGTATGATAAATAAAATACTATAACCCAAAATGGTTACGGGTTAATGGATCTATGGAACTATTTACAAGGTTATAGCTCTTTGATATTGTGACAACCAAAATAAAAAATAAAATAACATAGGTGACTTACTTGGTTCTTCATTGCTTGCCAATTTGACACTTTACCGATACCTTCTCTAGTTTCGTACATACTAGTTGGTCTTTGAATGCGTTTGCTTCTTCTAAAATCTATTTCATCGGCAGATACGCCGTTACTAACTGTCTCGTCACTTCCTTGAACCTGAAAGGTACAATAAAAAGTATGCTAAATATGTATTAAAATTCTAACGTTAATGTCATAATATCAACCCTGAAGCATAATTTTGATATTTTTTTATTTATTTTGAGTATACTACACTCACCGGCAAAATTAACGGAACACCTTAAAATTGGGACATGTTAGATGTCTCGAATTTCCTAAACCTGTTGTCCGATTTTAGTGATTTTTTTAGTATGTTATAGATATATTATTTAAGAATATCGATGTAATAATATTGTTGCTAGACAGGTCAATGTCATTTTATACCGGGTGTAACAATCCTACTGTGTTTTTTCCTTAAAGTTCGGAACACCCTGTGGAATATTCTAGCATATATAAAATATTGAAATTAAAACTTAATTATAGCCTCAGGCTTTCTTAACATTTTCTTTTTTGATTCATTTGCTTATGTTTGATAATAAAAAAGTTAGGTACGTTAACAATTAGCCATGTTTTTCATCAATAAATCCTCATTTTCTGCTTAGTTTAAAAACAAGCCTAAAGTAGGCTATGAGAAGTTAACAATTTAATGCACACACCGGCAAATTTAAAGGAACCTGTTATTAATGCAATATTTCTTTATATTTGTATTTTATAGACTATATCTACATAGCTTTGAAAGCTCCTTGTCACAAGAAAGTCTTAAATGTCAAACTGTCAAATTAATTTGTTTATTTGTATTGTGTTTTACATTTTACAGTCATTCTGTCTGTTTATAACAAGTACAAACTTGTATTTAATTGAGCGCACAATAAGAAAGAGACTTAAAGAAGCCGGTCTCAAGTCATATGTGCCAATAAAAGCTCCCAAACTCCAGAGACACTATCGTTTAGCACGACTACAATTTGGTCGAGTACATCAAAATTGGAATGATAACCACTGGAGTCAAATTCTCTTTACGGACGAGAGCCGTTTCTGTGTAAATTACATCGACGGTAGAGAAAGATTGTATTAACGCCAAGGAGAACGAAATGCCCCTTTCAATTTTCCTTCAGCTTGTTCCCCAGACCTAAACCCGATAGAGGATATGTGGGACATGCTAGGCAGAAAACTTAGGGCACGGGTTCCTGCTATTCAAAACAAAGAAGAAGTCACAATTGCAAAAGATTGAGGAATGGGAGAGGCTGCCCAACAACTGATCGATAGCGTTATCAGAAGTATGAGAAGACGAATAACTGCAGTTGTAAGGGCTCGTAGGGGAAACACACGCTATTAAAGCCAAAAAAATGCATAAAAAACAATTTAAGTTCAAACTGTACAATAAAGTTAATGCTTTTAAAATCCGTATTTTGTTGAGTCTGACATCTTTGTGTTTTCTTCTTAAACAGGTTTTATATTGTACTACCATTATAATATAAATTCAAAATGTTTCACCAACATTCGTATTATAATATTATCTAAACAGTATATAGACTAGAGAGAAAATACTCAGATTTTATGGTTGTTCCTTTAAATATGCAGGTGAAACTAAGAAGAAAATGAGCATTTACTGATGAAAAACATGGCTAGTTGTTAACGTACCTAACTTTTTTATTATCCAACACAAGCAAATGAATCAAAAAAGAAAATGTTAAGAAAGCTTGAGACTATAATTGAGCTTTAATTTCAATATTTTTTATATGTTAGAATATTCCACAGGGCGTTTTGAACTTTAAGGAAAAAACACAGTATGATTGTTACACCCGGTATAAAATGACGTTGACCTGTCTAGCAACAATATTATTTCATTGATATTCTTAAATAATATACCTATAACATACTAAAAAATCACTAAAATCGGACAACAGGTTTAGGAAATTCGAGTCATCTAACATGTCCCATTTTTAAGGTGTTCCGTTAATTTTGCCGGTGAGTGTACATTCAAAGCCAAGGCAAGATCGAGTTCACACCGTTCGATGGGTGTGTCATGGCGTCACAGATTGTCCTTGGTTAGAAATTGATAAGTCACCACACGCCCACCGATGGGTGTGAACTCGAGCTTTGCTTGGTTTTGAATGTAGTATAGCATGACAAATTATCAGCAAAAGACAAAAGTCTTCTGATGAAGACAGATAGTGAAAAGTGCAAAAATCTCGCCTGTAACTAGTTCTACAAATGTTTAAACTATAAATACTAACCTCTGCAATGAACTCCAAGGAATCAAACCCGCTATCTCCATTTGTTCTGGACGTCAATTTACCTTCAGACAATCTACTCTTTAGGTCAGTATTTTCCGTTTGCAACACCTTTACACACTGCCTCAATTTCATTACTTCAGCTCGAAGATCTGTGATGGTATTATCAGAATTCTTCAGCTGCTTCGTAAGCTGCTCCAGAACTTTATTCGTTTTGCTAATACTATCTAGAGATACTATACTGTCTTTATCGCTATTGCTGGTCGGAGGTTTGTCTGATTTTGGAGACTGAAACAAAATCATTGGTTTTAAAATGAAAAATGCAAATGTTGATTTGAAGATGATAAAATGCTTACCAAGATATGAGTAGAAAACATTTAAGATATGTCAGAAATTTACTACGACTTAATTAATATTACGTAAATTAAAATTACCTCTTCATCTGGAATAACAGCGTAATCGTCATCAGAAGCTACAGAGTCATACAGAGGATCTTCGTCTACAGTTGACACTTCTCGTAGTTGTAATATATTACCTGAAATTTTTTTATTAAATGAATTTTGTTTGTTTTTTGTGCTTATTACTATTTTTATGACTATTATGCTGATAGATAAACAAGAATTGTATTAAGCCACTGACAATTGTGTGAAAGTACATAAGATTAGCCCCTTGTCAGTTTCGTGAAGTCAACAGTAAGTTCAATTGTTCAGTAAAGTGATCTCAGTTAATCTTTATTAAAAAGGAGAATTTTATAAATAAGTTATTTGTTCTTAATAAAGTTCAGTTGATTGAAAAAGACTTTCATATGTACACAATCGAAATTTCCTTGAAGCAGGTTCTTGAAAAAACCATTACAATAGTAAAAGAATCGAACGAATGAACAGAAGACTTAGGGACCTAATTATTGATGCATTAAAATGTTATTTAAAGAAGAAATAAGATACTTACTTTTATCAGATACCATCTGTCGTCTCTGTGTATCAACTAAAATATCGTAGACCAAACTTTTTAGCTCGGGAGTCGAGAATCTAGCTAGTTTTTGTCTTCCTTGGTTTCGTGTAGTAGATAACGTGTTGTCGACTGGCAGAAAAGGAACGTCGTTAAGGTCTGTGGTGTCGGCACAGCTAAGCCAAACTGCAAAATTTAATTATGCCTTTATTATATTGTACCTAATTAATTTAAATATCCTTATTACCGTCATAATCTGTACAATCAAAGCTGTACAATCCCTTGTTGGTATTATGACCAACGTATGTGCATTTTAAAATCATATTTTTGAGGAGTATTGTTTATATTTGTCCTTTAGATATGTGTATTAACTGATGTCAATTTTTTGCCATATTTTCCTGCTGCTGTATCAGTCCTTATTAATGAAGTCTTTTACATTATAATGTAAGTCTAATTATAATTATAGTATCTAATATGAGTGAAAAAAAAAAACACATTGCACCAACTTTGATCTTTGTTTTTTTTTTCTCTTAGTATTTTTCTCTTAGTAATTTTTTGTTACTAATTCAATCTTCTTCTTACTTCTTACTGCTTCATTCCTTGTAAGCCCTCCAAATGGTTGTATCCTTTCCTATCTACTCCTCTTTTGATTTCTTGTAGCATTAAGCTATTACTAATTCCATAAGAGGATTTTGAATCCATAAAAAGTGTTTTTTGGTCAATTTGTCAGCTATTTCGTTCTCCTCCACTCCTTTATATACGGGAATCCCACGAGGATAGCTAAATTTTCATTACTACTTTTTTTAATTTCTCTAAGGTATTCCCTAGCACTCTGTATCTAGTAACATACAATTTCAGTGTTCTGATGGCTGCTAGACTATTCCTTGGTGATTATGCCTGACATTTTTTGTCCAAATTTAATTCTGTACCTCAGAATAAAAGTGTATTAAGTCCAATTATAAGCAAAACGGGATTATCAATGAAATTGACTTAGAATTAAGTCCTCTTTCATATGCTACTAAAATCTAAGCCCTATCTCAAATAATAACAGAGATAGCTAATTTTAAACGATATTAAGTCCTTGTGTCTTCTGGTAGAAAAGAATACCAAATGTAATAGTACACTCTTTAGTTTAGCATTTTTGGTAATGACAATATTATGTCCAAGTTTATTTTTAAGTTGAAATTAAGTCCATACTTTCCTCTCACATTAATACGCAACACTGTGTTAAGTCCCTACGTTCCAACAAGCGGCCAAGGGAAAAACGGTTAGAACGGTGAATAGTCGACCAGCGCGAGTAGAGGTGATAGCACTAATGACTGTTTTCTCACTGTCCAACTGTTTACACATCTTTAACGACGATTTCTGACTAATAGTTTGAGTTTGACTGTTTGTAGGAACAGACGTTAGTTTAAATAGTAAAGTTTTCAGAGTAGTTTTTAACGTGATTTCAGTTTATTTTAATTTTAAAAATGAGTAGCAGATCACAGAGAATTATTTCATTAGTGAATAAAAATGAATATAAAAACATTCTCGGAGAAAATAACACAAATCATACAGGTAAGAAAATTTTAACCTAATACATTATTTATACATAATACCTTACTATGATACGCTTAGATTAGCTTCGAAACACAAATTGAACTATATAAGAGGTAGTTACTTAAGAATATCGTTGCCTCACATGTTAGATTTAAATTAGTTGACCTAAAATACATCGTAATATTTTTCTTAACGAGGATATTATGTCCACAATATTAAGCATCCAGGCATCAAAGTTTGAACTTAATACAGTATTTTTTAAGTCCAAGCGTCCAATTCTGGACTTAATACAGTATTTTTTAAAAGAGTACTGGACTTTCATTCCATCAAAAGAATTAAAAAAACCAAAACATTTTTACACGAATGATATTATCTTTTCTTTTTATTCTCATAATGTTTATTGGTATTAAAACTGCAGACTGGCTAGCACGTGAATACTGTGTTCATTACCATTTTGTTGAAGTTTGTAGTAGTAAATAATTTACAGTTCTTACAAAAATTTACTTTAAAGATTTGATTACAATGATTATTGTAAACAAGAGATAACATGTATTCGTTATTTCAGACATTACAAAGACGGAAGAACAGACTAATCGTACCTGTAATGAAACAGAAAGAAAAAACTCAATAAATATTGCCGACAGGAATGTGGAAAAGACTGGAATATTAGTTGAATTACAAGATATTCTAATAACAGGTAACTAATCTCAGTGCAGATTATTTTGAACCTTAATTTATTGATAGAAATCTCGTTATTGCCCTGCAAATTTGGAAATATTAGAATGTTCATTTTAATGTTGTAGCTGTTAACAATAAAAAAAAATAAGGCTTTAATGTTTTACTTTTTTAGAATCCCCACCGACAGAAAATAATGTTTATCTTCTAGACAAAGGAATAGAAGTAATAAACTCAATAAATAGCAATATGGAAATTATTAGCTACTATTCGCTCCTAGCACCAGCTATGTTGATACAGTCAACAGCATGAAATTTGGCAAAGCACCTGAAGGATGTGAGGAAGATGATTTTAACGAACATACTGCAGAAAAGGAGAATTTACCAGCAATCGATTTCGAAGGTAAAAATGGAAGTTAAAATATTTATAATATATATAATATATAAATATATAACCTAATTAATTCTGAAATATTTGTAGGTCAATCAAGATTAACTCTGCCTAGCTTCACACAAAATGAAGAACAATTAATGGAAAGAAAGGGTAACACTTATAAGGGGGAAACAGAATTTGAAGAAGACACTGACGATAGTACAGCGGACCCCAACTATGACAGCGAGAGCGATTGTTTTGCAGACTCTGATAGAATGAATGAGACGATAAATGCAAAACGAATAGGTAGGAAAAGACAAAGACAAATAGAGAATTGGAAAATAAGTAAACAACACAAAAAAGTTGTTGCCGGACTAGAACACACATCCAAGACGAAACTTATACCTAAAAACTTAATAAAACCACCGTGTAGTTTGGTGTGCCGATTAAAATGCAATGAAAAAATTTCTGAGCAAGAAAGGAGAAACATTAATGCTGCTTTTTGGGATGCATCCAAAGACATAAACCATAAACGTCAGTTTATATCATCGCATATCCAATTGGTACAAACGTTTAGAAAAAGATGTAGAACTGGTGCAAGAAAGGATTTTAGAGCCCACACACGACAGTATTATTTTGACAAAAATAATTCCATGGTACGTGTGTGCAAAATATTTTTTGTTAACACTCTGCATATTTCACAAACTTTTCTGTTCATGTTAAGGTTCCTGAAGCTGTGAAACAAGAAGTTCGTGATCATATTATGAAATTCCCTGTTGAACAATCACATTATTCGCGAGAGAGATCGAGCAGAAAATACCTGGGAAGTCACCTTACTATTGCAAAAATGTATAGACTTTATAAAGTATAGTCTAAAGAAAAAAATACACATGAAAATCTGATTGCCAAAGAGTGGTTGTATAGTTATATTTTTAACACAGAGTTCAATTACTCCTTCAAGTCTCCAGATAATGATACTTGCGATCAATGTGACTTATTTTTAGTGAAGCTACGTGAAGAACAGAATGATGTTGAAAAGGAATCTCTACAAGCTAAATATAATGAACATTTGGAGAAAGCAACAAGAAGATACTCTTTAAAGAAAGAAGATAAACTATGCACAAAACAACAAAATTCTACAACAATTATGATATGCGTCAATTTACAAAAATGCCTCCCAACACCAGTGTTAACTAACGCGCAAAGCTTTTACTCTTTAAAACTTTGGACGTATAATTACACAATTTATGATGCCACTAATAATGCTACTACTTGTTTGAGGTGGGACGAGTCCAAATCAGGACGCGGTGCAAATGAAATGGCATCAGGATTGCTAAAGTGGGCATTATCACATGTTAAATCTCACCAAAAAGAAATTATAATATGGTCTGATAACTGTCCATCTCAAAATCGAAACATGGTTATGGTTATGGCTTATTTTTATATATTAAAAAAATTTCCAACTTTGAAAACCATTACACATAAATTCTTATTACGTGGTCATACTCACTTAGAAGTTGATGGTTGCCATTTATTAATTGAACGCGAAAAAAAGAAGAGTGCTGGTTTTCAAATAATGTCTCCCTGGGACTGGCAACAATTAGCCAGAATGTGTAGCATAACTAATCCGTTCGAGGTGATTAATATGGAGACAAGTGATTTCAAGGATTTTAAACAATTATATAGCAAGATCACGTCTCCATTTTTGTCTAGAAAAAAAAAATGTGGATGGCATGGATGTCTCAATATCAAAAATGGTATATTTACAAATAAGGCAGAAAAGTATGGAACACTGTATTATAAAACTATCAAGAAAAGGAATTTCAGGCAGTCAATTTAATTCGAACTGGAAGGAGAGTCGTATTTCCTGAGGAAATACAAACTTTAAGGGATGATAATAATCCAATATCCGAAAAAAAATACAAGCATCTTCAGACACTATTGAAATGGGTTCCAAAGCAGTTGCATGATTTTTATGTCAACCTAAAGCATAGCAGCATACATGAAGATGATGATAACCACACCCAATAATTTGTGTTCATTTTGTAACTTACATTGAATAACTACAATATCAGTTTCATATTTTCTATTAAAGCTTTTTCATCAATAAAAATGGTAATTTTATTTTGTGCTCTGTTCAAATAATAACCATAACTTGTTTGGACTTAACTTTGGAATTGTAACATAATATTTATGCTTATAATGTTAAGTCCTTAAAATTGACTTGGTATTAATACAAAATTGTATTATGTCCAAAACCAAAAAAATTATGAATTTTTGACAAATCAGTATTTGAATTTCGTGCTTTAATTACTTGAAATTCAGTAGTTGATAGATCATAGATTGCCAAAAAAAATTGGTGTCACATAGGGAGAAAAATACTAGGCCCTAACTTAAAATTTTCACATTGATAAATTTCAAACCGCTCTCCTGAAAAATCGATATTTTGGACTTAGTACACTTTTATTCTGGGTACAGAATTGGGTGCATCTTCTAATAGCTGAGTTTGCAATTAAAAGATGCTTGGTATTTTGGCCAAACTTTCTGAGGATGACAAATCCGAATTATTCACTGAATATGACATTATCCAATATATACATCAGGGTATGATCATATTAATTAATATTTTACTGGAGAAATGCGCAAGAATATATATTAATTCAATATTAATAAAAAATAATTCAGTTTTAGTGGTGTAAGTAACTACTATATATAAAATGTATAAATGTCGCCTCATGCAGTACAAAAATACACTCTTCACTTTTTAACATAATATAAATAAATACCAGTAAAAATGATTCCTAATACTATCAATACTTACTAGCTTCTGTCTCCCTCCTATCTACTTCATCATATACATCCATAGCTAGTTCTTCAAAAACATGATTACTCAACTAAAAAGAAGATTATAATAAACAGTATTCTATTAAAAATTATATATTTTGCCACATAAAAATTCCAACCATTTTTAATATTCCAACAGGCAAGTTGTCTAAATACAGTCTTGGTATTTGAATCCGTAGAACTTATGAACATGTATTGAACAATTCTTATAGAAGCAAACCAAACTTGAAAATCAAATTGTTATTTTTATGATAGCCGTGCAATGCCCCTGATAGAACATGTTCGATAGACAATTCAAGTTACAGGTGTTCGAAGGTCTGAAATAATTCCAAAGAACTCTGAAATTGCTACTGAAATCTAGGAGTGAAGCGAAAACATATAGATACATTAAATTGTAGAAAGACAGTCGATAACACACATGTATACAGTTAATTAAATAAATTAAAATAAAAATTACATTATTATACTCTTCTATAAATCGGATATATTCATTACAAGAAATCTCTAACATCTCTAGAGAGACCTGTAAGAAAACCATTTTATCTTGCTTTCTAAAGCAGGCTTCTACAGCCTCTATCACCTCTTTGCTAGAAGAAAATTTATGACTTCTAAGATATTTTTCGACAGTTTTTTTGACAGATATCCATAAATATCTAGGAATTACCCAAAAACTTATAATTGTATAAGATATAGGTTATTATTTTCTTATTTTAATGAAATAATGACTAAATTTAATCAACAACAGAAAATACATTATCAAATACCTTTTGCAGCTTGGTCAGTGATTGTGAATTTGATTTAAAACCAGTCTGTGGTATATAGAAATGAATTCCATTTGTGTGATCTGGTTTCCTAAGCGACAAGTAATAGCTGAAGGTGTCAGTGACTTCATATTGGCTGTCTGTGAGTCGATTTACTAAATCTTTATTTGTTAGGGCTCTGAAAATACACAGATAAATAAAAAGTTCTTAATTAAAAGATATTTACGTTTACCTTGCATAATCAATAGGCGATTTTCCTTGACTGTCAGGGCAAGATGGGTCAGCTCCATACACTAACAATAATTCCACCTGTAATTTCTGATCGGATTTAGTAGCAACATGAAGTGGAGTGGATCCCTTTTCCTACAATAGTTATAGTATGTTATAATAATCATTTGATATGTTTCAATCATCCTGGTTGTAACTATTAATTGTCCATTTATAATTTACTTCAGTTATATACAAGCATTATATTCTGAAAGATTAACTGGTTTAGAAGCTTTAGTTTTGAAAAAAATCCCGAGTTTAAAGTGAAGACACCATTTTCGAAATTTCTCCAACAAATCTCAATTTTTTTTAATATAACTCAACCAAAAATTTTTTTTATAGATTTAAATTTTTTTATTTCTATTAACTGAAAATTAAACAGATATGATTGTTTAAAGATTGTATTCACATGCATTTAGCATTTTAGCACCATCTTCAAGCCTTTTCAGCACAACCATTTTTAAAACCAAGGGCTCAAAAAAACCTTTAAACAATCATATCGCATTTAATTTTTAGTCTATAGAAATTAAAATAAAACATCTTTGGTAAAAAAAGTTGGTTTTTTACTTAGTAGCTTAGTATCTGTTTGATACAAAACAGATACTAAGAGACAACACACAATGGACAATATGTTAGCCTTTTTTGTTGTTGAAAGTAAATTCTTAGACACTTGAAGCTTGGTATATATCCCTACTGGCATAAGGAATAACCTTATTGGATTTGAGATCAATTGGTTCTCTTCCTCTTTTACTTCCTCCCTTCTTCCTGGAAGCGGAAGAGAAAGACCAAAAGAGATGATGGGAGGCACTTAAGGAAGTCGATGAAGGGAATTAATATAGGTATGACCTAATATACACTTACATAAAAATTTAATTAGGTAAGCTGATTCCACATAGCGTTAAAGGTGGTGAAAATGATGATGAGATCTTGTTATTCTGTTTCCTTGAAGAAAAAGTCCTGCATACTTGAAACTTGGTTTGGAGGTTCCTGTTGGTGTAAGGTAGAAGCCCTATTGAATATGGCTTCAACAGGTTCTTTTCATCTTCTCATTATAGCTTTTCTTGTTCTTAGAGGAAATCTTCCAAAGTTTTGAAATTTAGTCCACAGGTTCCTCTTGTTGTATAGAAGAATAATACTGAGTTTGTGGTCAGCAGGTTTCTTTCTTCTCCTTAAATTCTTATGACTTTCTTTTTTTCTTGAAATAAATGCTCCATAGTCTTCATACATAGGTTACTCTTGGTGTAAAAAAATTAATTGAATTTCAGGAATATTTTTCTTTGGTTCTTTCTTTCTTAAAAGAAAGAGTACCGAAACATGGTATATAATTTCCTGTTAATGTAAGCAAGAAAACTAATGATTTTGGATCAAACAAGTCTTATCTTTCTCATGTTGCGATGTCTATTCTTTTTTTTTATTGGAAAGTTCTAGATTTTTGACACTTGAGAGTTTCTGCTGTTCTACAAAAACAAATCTTTAGATGACTTCTTACTCCTACATATTCTGGGAATCGTTTGGTTACATAATGTCACATACAAAATTTTTGAGATGATTAGAAAATAACCTATATACTTTGATAAGTTACTCATCTATACTTGAGATTTCATAATAATACTTAATCAATACATAATACACCCATAATTATACTTACATCATGAAAATAGTTAGGGTCTGCTCCCAGAGCAAGTAGTCTAAATGATGTTTCTAGGTTCGGAGTTCGTACACTAGCATGAAGTTGTTTTCCCAGCTCATTTTCTACACTTATCAGCCCATCCTCATAGTTTTCTCTGAATGCATATGTGCACTGAAGATGTTTTTGTCTAATGTATTCCTGCTTCACACTAGTAGAACAATATTTTAATAATTTTGTATATAAAAACTCTTAATTAATTAAATAAATCTAATATTAACATTACAAATATATTAATTAAGTAGATAAAATCCAATATAGCAACTTATTAAACAACTTTACAAAATCTGAAGATATTCTCAATGAATAAATTCAAATTTATAAAGTTGATTTACTAAAATATCTGAAAATATTCATAGTCTAGTCATCCTGTGACGAACAAGCCTCCTGGACTTTTTTATCTTTTGTATATGTCAAATCTCAACAGTAAATGCACTAATAGATAAAAAATGAGAAAATAAAATTTATTCAGTGAGTAACAATATTTGCAGCCATTTGATTGGGAACTATGAAATTTTATCAATATACCTATTACCATATAATTTCCTCAATAGATAAATAAAAAAGGAAAAACCCATAAAAATTACTAAAAGACAATAAGTAATAGATATAGGAAAAATGAATAAATTTATGAATGAGGAATAAACTAGGGTATGTATTATTTTATATCGACATAAGTAAAATAATATATAAGGCGTTTCCTGTACAGGTACATTATATTATTTGTCCTCCAATTATTCTATTATTAGTCATTACTCATTTTTGTAAATACACCCACATGATTGACACTTGTGAAGATTAACAATAACATAATTATATGTGTATTGCACAAGACTATAATTTTGGTTAAAATAAGACTGAACATGTTATAAAGCCTACAATAAACATATACCTTAAGGGATCTTTAGCATTAGGCTTCTTTTTCATTAACTTTCCTCCATTTTCAAGTAAGGCATTCTCCCAAATGTTATTTGCACCATTATTATTTAATGCATAAACCATCTAAAACATAAATAATGAATTGTCTTTTATGAGCACCAATTAAAAATATTTACATTGAGTTGATTTGGTTGCCATGTACTTTTTGGTATAGACTTGACCTGAGAAATGTGTCTTCCTAAACTTCTGTGAATGCTGCAACACTGAGTACATAATAATATTCCTTTATTAACTGAGGCCCATGTGGCTTCTGAAAATCGAATTATTTGGTAAATTATTATGTGTGTACATACATTGCTAATAAAATTTACCTAAAGCTCCGCAGTCACCACATATTTCCATATTATTATGCTTAGATTTTGCACGAGACATTTTTAAATTGATAAATTGTCACAGTTAACAGATAATATATTTAAAATTAAATAAAAATACAAAATAAACACAATAAAAATATAATTATAAATACGACTACTACACCATTTTTATTTTCATGTCAACTACTAAACGTCAAAATTCTTATTCTTTGTGCATTAAAATAAAACTGGACTTCTAAATTTTGAGACACAGGCACCGCTTTATTTTCTTCCGATATTCAGCCACGGTCCCAGCATAGAACATACAATTAAAAGATAAGTTTTGTTGTACATAGTATTAAAAAAGAAGATTTCCTTTTTATTCTGTTTACAGATTACAGATTATTGTGGCGGCAGGCAGTGTTGTTAACTCTACGGATTTATCTGTAGATCTACGGATTTTCGAAATTATTTAGGATTTTCGGATATCGATCACATTTCTACGGATTTTTCAGCTGAAGCAATCAAGAATAAAATTGGGATTTTTTACTCTTAGCTTTTTATAAAAATAGAATTTTTACTCTTAGCTTTTTACAGAAATAGAAATATTAATCAAATAATTAATTGACATCTAGTCCTCTGTAATGCCGTGAAAAAGAACTCTACTTGTAGCCGTCTAGCACTTCACATTATTGTATGCTTATTTCCTTTTTCAGTAGATGGCAGGAAATATAAAAATGGTAGTTATGGTAAGGTATCTATAAAATAGTAGGGATGAATTTCAATTTTCGTAACAGGTGAATCCCCGGCGCTTAGGGGAATAACAGTGATCTCAGATGGAATGCTGAGATTTACCTCGGGGACTCCCCGCCCTAACATAAATACGAGATCTACTTTAACGATGCAGACAAAACATGTTTTAATTAAACAATAGATAAGAATGTCATTATTAATATGGAAAGTAAAATTTTATACGATCATAAAAAAAGTATTGTCATCATCCGAGGAAGAAGATAAGGCTTAATAGATTAATTGTTGCTTTTATTCGGTTAGATAGGTATTTGATTTTTCTGTATATTTTTTATTTAGATTTTTTATATCTAGTTTTTTATTTTTCTTGGAATATGAATGTTTCTGTTAAATAAATTTGTTGCATAAACAAGTATGTACTCAGTAAATTATTAAAACACCCTACACCTCGAGTCATGTAGCATACATTTTTCTCCATTTAAATTTTCAATTGAATTGATCCTTCACTGTATGCAGTCAGTGTTGCATCGTCGTTCGTCATATTGTGGGAATTGTGGCTGAGACATACATAAAAATTGCTATGTTTCTGTTCTACCACAGAACACTAATCACAATTGTGATTAGTATTCTGTGGTTCTACGGATTTCTACGGATTTTTGAAGCGCCCTCTACGGAAATATTCAGTTGTGGAGTTAACAACACTGGCGGCAGGTTTTGTATTTTACTAACTATTAATTGATTAAGAAAAATGTTGTGAGAGTATTTTAATTGTTAATTTCTTGTTTTAAATACTGAATTTTGTTCTAAACTTTAATCAAAATGAGTGCTAGTGAACTAACAGACTGTTGCATTTATTTAGAAAGTGATAAAGTAACTGAAAGAAAAAAGTATTGCACAAAACTAAATTCTGCCTTGGAAAGTCAAGAATCTATCAATATATTAAACCGCGGAAAATTCGTTTCTTGGAAAAGACTTATAAAATCTTTGCAGAAATGTATTAAGAAGGTATGTATAGCTGTTCACACTTAAAACTTTTATAAATAAAATGTTCTGAATTGTTCAAGGATGCCCAGAAAATATTTGATGATTCCAAGAAAAAGAATGGTTCAAGCAATGCCCCTGCAAATTATTTAAGTATTGAATTGTTTGTTCAAGTTGTTACCAGGGCCGTTAAAGAAGGTAATAATCACTATTTTTTAGTTACATCTTAGTAAATATGGATATTCCAATTGATAAGCTATTATATCTTGTTAGTATCAATTCTTTAACAATATTATAAAGTATATATTGTTATGTAAATAGCTCAACATTTATTTCAGATGAAGAAATAAATATCAATGATTTGGTTAGGTATATACTAGGATGCATGGATGACATCCAGATGAAAAAATGTTATGAAAAACAGTTCATGGATATTTTACAGAAATGTATATTGTCAAATTCAAAATGTAGAGGAACTCTGGAAGAGGAGGATTGGGAAGGTAAGTTGTTTTTTGTTAACATTTATGTATGGTTTGGTTTCCATAGACCTATAATGTTGAATCTGAAATTTATTGCTAGGGCAGTGCTTGTGGAGGAACAAAATTTGCTTTTTCTGACCCAATCGAGCAAATAGGGTGCTTACTTTAAATCTAAGAACCTCTTATATTAACATTAAGACAAAAGAAGGATGAAAGTAGATTTCTTAGAAACCAATTTAATCCTAATACTAATTCTTACCTCAATGCAAATGATGTCAGGCATATGAATATGCATGCTATGATTTACATGCTAACAAAATATAACTATGTTAATCTAATTATAAAAATGCTGGCTGAATGAAGCAGTTGCTTTTATCAACTGTGGTGTGATCACATGATCAAACTGGCCTTAAATATATGTAAAATAAACTAAAGAATTTGGCTTCTTTTAATGCTTATTCCCAGACAAAATTGGTTTTAAAGTCCCAACGTTCCAACTTAAATTACAGCCTTTTTGCTAAATATTTGAATGAGGTTGGTATTCACAATTTTTAATTGTCTGTGTGCAATATTTGTCCATTTCAAGAAAAATTCCAGGTAACTATCCAAATATGTGTCAAGGATGGATAAATGTAATTTACACACAAGGACAACACACACTCTTGGAAGTTAACAGGCTCTATTGTAAAAAGTGAAGCAATTGTGTGAATATATGAAAATATATTTGGTAGTATTTTGGCTATTTTCTTTATATCAATTATATAAAATTCTTTTGAACTGATAATGAATAGAACTTTTATATATATTTTTAGAAATATACTGTAAGTTGAAGCGTGTCCTAGAAGAATATAATGAGAATTTAGTGGTGTCTCACAGTTTTATGACTCTAATTAAATACGGTCCAACATGTGGGCTTCCTCCCAGGCTACTGAGAAAGGAATTTGACTTTTTGACAAAAATTTGTCAAAAAGTAACGCTAAATTCACCAAGATCTATTCAAGAAGACATCATAGAGACTGCTCTTGAGTTTTGCAAACATGTAAGTGTTCTTTTGTTTTTACATATATTTATCAGGCAGCATCAGCAGCATGCATGTGTATGTATATTTTTAGTCTACATTATTTAGGGAATATTTAATTTTGTTATCTTAAAATACTGTGTACTTAACCACTATTTTGTATATTGTAAATTGTAACATTCAATGAGGTTGTCCCTGTTAAATAAATAAATAAATAATACCTTTACCCTTCTCTAAAATAAAACTTAATTTTTTAGACTGCCAAAGATAATCGTGTATCATGCTGCAAATTTGGAGAAGAAATATTCACATCTTTAGCAGATATATATGAAATGAATGGAAAACCAGAAAAAACAAAGGTAATTTTTATTATATATTAATAATAATGAAACATTTGATCATGTTGATCAAATGTTTCATTATGACTGTATCTTTGATCATGTGTAACACTTATTGTCCTTTGTTCAATCTCCATCCATGAGAGTCTTCACAATTATTTTCCAAACAAGATCTGTTTTTTAAATTTGATTGATGACAATATACCTACTATTTAATGAAATCGTAGGTACCACGGCCAGTGTCAGAATTATAGTTTATTCGTCTTCCGGGTTTGGACCGTGTCATTTGTGAGTGACTCAAAAGTGGGTTCATCTCGACGTTTCGCTACAATTGTATGTAGCTTCTTCAGGAGAACAAAGAAAAAGAAATCAAAAGACAGGAAGATGGGTAGTTAGCAACAGTAACTCAGTTACTCAACGCAACCAGAGGCGAATTCTAACTACCAAGATGGGCATTTGGTCACAGTAACTCAACTACTTAACGCAGCCAGAGGTGAAAACCAAATGCCAGGACAGGGATTCACGTCCAACTGCTCAGAACACTAACGCGTCGAGAGGCGGGGAGTGAATCCCATTCACTCGGATTTGAGTCTTCTCTAACTTCTAACTGGTCTTCTTTAACTATATATGTTGTATTTCTTTAAAAAAACAGCTTTTTAATGAGTATTTATAGCATGCTGTGGATGTTTTCGAGCACTTTGAAAGTTTTTATTGAACTTACAGTAATTTTTATTATTAGGCTTTAGATCACCGCTTTTTTATTTCAGGAACTGTTAGTGCAATTTTTTCTCTTCCAAATGATAATCCATCATCCAAACGGTGTTCCAGAAGGCCATAGCGCAGCTTATGCTTATAGCTGGGACAACTGGAAGAAAATCATAAAAACTATGTACAGTATAATCTCAAAAGAAATTAGTTTGTATTTTAAGTGTTATCAAAAAAACAGTTCCTTTTTTAAACAAGAAAACGATAGGACGAATGTATGCTCAGTTTTTTCCAGACTTCACGCGGAAACAGTCAAACAGGTAAGATAGTAATAAATTTTGAGAAGTTAAATAGAAAAAATGCCAAATAAAAGTAAAGACTTATCTATAGAGCGTTTCACAAGTTACCACATCTACTACTACTACTTGTCGGTTTATAACGTTCTTCGCAGTTTTCCGACTTCCAATCGCCACTTAGTCCGGTTGTTCCATAGGTCCTCTTCTATGGTCCTCTCTCTCAGTTCTTTATTATTCCTTCGCTCCAACTTTTTCTCGGTCTACTTCGTTTTCTGTTTCCTTCTAGTTGCCATTTTAATATTCCTTTTATTATTCGTTGTTCATCCATTTTTTGTACGTGTCCGAACCAGATAAGTTGTTTTGTTGTTAGGTCATCAGTGATTATTCATTTGATTCCCATTATTTCTCTAATGCGTTCGTTTGTAATCCTTTCTCTTCTAGATCTTCCTGCAGTCCTTCTCCAAAAATACATTTTCATTGCTTTCAGCGTTGCCAGTGTTCGTTCTTTCATTGACCATACCTCACAGCTGTATAAAGTGATACTTTTTACTATAGTCTCATATATCCTCTGTTTACTTTCTTTGTTGATGGATTGGTCCCATAAAATGCTGTTTAACATTGTGATGGCTTTTCTTCCTGACAAGAAGTATAATGACTCCTCTATCGACAGTCTAGTAGCAACACGTGCCTGACAGTTTTAGCAACACCAATCTGCATAAGCTAAATGTTCTGTTCTTAACTGGAACTAAAGTATAGCAAGGTGATTAATAATCTCAAAACACCAATGACTGTTTTTATTAATATTAAATGATCATTGAATGTGAAATTTGTTTGTTTTATCTATTTTAGCTATTCGTGTGTCCAGATTTAGACGTCACTATGTCAATCGACTGTTCGTATCCATCACAAAAAAGGCAAAAAGTAAATTTAAGTATGAGAGGATTGATAGATAAGATTCAAGACACCAAAAATTGGTTGTGGTAAGTGTTTTCATTTATAGATAATTTTGAATTATTTAAATTACTATCCAGTATAATTTATATTTAAAATGTAACAATAAAACACTGAAAACTTTGTTTTCAAACTTCCACAAAATTTATTTTAACTATTATCACTACAGCTGTTTCGGCTGATAGCCTTTCTCAAGTGATCTATTTTTGGCATGCGTTTACAATTTATAGTCTCTAATGAAATAGGTTGAGGAGGGGAGAACTGTTTGTCTCAAGTTGGTCATTCAGAATTATATCTGTGTTTTTTAATTTATTGATTTCCATAGATTCTAACAAAGATAGCTTAAGGCCTTTATTTTGAACGTGAAGAATTTTAAATTTGTCATTGAAAGAATGATTATGATCTAGAAGGTGAAGTGCGTATGTCGAATCTGTTTTTCTATTCTTGAAAGCCTTTTTATGTTCTGCTATACACACTTCACCTTCTAGATCATAACCATTCTTTCAATGACAAATTTAAAATTCTTCACGTTCAAAATAAAGGCCTTAAGCTATCTTTGTTAGAATCTATGGAAATCAATAAATTAAAAAACAGATATAATTCTGAATGACCAACTTGAGACAAACAGTTCTCCCCTCCTCAACCTATTTCATTAGAGACTATAAATTGTAAACCCAAGCCAAAATAGATCACTTGAGAAAGGCAATCAGCCGAAACAGCTGTAGTGATAATATTTAAAATACATTTTGTGGAAGTTTGAAAACAAAGTTTTCAGTGTTTTATTGTTACATAAAATGAATTTCCATCAAGTAACGGTCGAATCCATCAATTATATTTAAAATTTTGTAAGTATGTGATAAAAAGTGTAATTATCAGGTATTGGTGAGAATGTAAATGGACCTTTATGGTTTACATGTCGTTAAGTTAAAGGATCACTACAAGCAGAGTGATCCTTTCCCAAGCTAACATGATCCTTTTCTAACTTGGCTAAACCGTACTGAAGACGACCAATAGTCAGAAATACGTATATACGGTTGTCTTCCATCTTATACACATTTTATTATATATTATATAATATTTCGGATTTATTTATTTTTAATTCTTTAGGATACATCTTGTAAGGTGCTTGATCCAGATTCATCCCAGTGTTATACAAATAGATGATTACGTTAGTCTCCTAGAAATATTGTCTTCGATTCAAATTGAAAAGAATGATCATGACATTGTCGAAAATGTATATTATTGTTTATCGACGATGCTGCACATGGAAAATAGTTTGGAAATAGGATTCCACCAAGATAAATTAACAAAGTTGTGGAAAGTTATCGGAGAAAATACTACTAGGTATGTATTAATACTTTAACTGTAACAAAAAAAAGTTATATTAAACTTTTCTTACAAATTTTAGGTGAATCCGTATTTTTTGGCGCTAAAAAGAATCTTTAATAATTTGAAGAGAACGAAATACCGAAAGATATTAAAATGATACATAATTGAATAATACCTTTTATCTAATTCTTATCTTCTAATAGTATAGGTCTATACAATCATTTCAGGAGTTAATGCTTTTGTAATTTCTTTCTCTTTTCTCTGTAAAACTTCTCAAGTAACTTTTACTCTTATGCGAGGCACTCTGTTGTTCCCTATGAAGTGACCAACAGTAATCACCCATTATATTGGTGTTCCAACGTCCCTGATATCGTTTCTCCATCACCTTGATATCCTAGTGGAATACATCGCCTTGTTATTCACTGACATCACCCAGATTTGTTTGTGAACATTTCACATGCATTTTTTTGTTTGAGCTCCTAGTGTGGTCGTTTTTATGAAAACTATTTTACACCTAACTGAATTGTTTTTTTTTTATATTTTTTTATATTTCTATTTTTCACTGTATATGTTATACCATGTGTTCTTGTATTATTTCGCAGTTATTTCCTATGTATACATAAGTGACTTATTTATATTGTGACATGACATGTAGTGTTTACTATGTAAAAATTGTCAATAAACGTATCTATCTACTATATCATGTTATCTGTTTAAGGGCATTTGGCTTAAACCAACACAAAGACGCCACCGAAGCTCTCTTAGAGGAATTAATCGGCAGAGGCATAGTAGACTTCGAGGATATTCTTCCAACGTACCAATCTGACGTAATTAACTTATCACTACAAAGCATCAGAACATACAATGCTGGTTTACGTCACATGATATTAAACAACGATCTGCAGAAGAAGGAGTGTATAATGAAGAGCGTACTGAAACCCCAGAATCATACAGGATGCCACTATCTTCGTAGTAAAGATACAGCCGCATTCTTAGTAAGACTGATTTTAAAGCAGTGGCAATCGAAAGACCAACAGCCAAAAAATGAACCAGTAGACATAGACGAGTATGACAAATTAAAAGAAATTTATTTCAAATCTTTGTTGGACGAAGAAACTTTGACATTAAAAAGTAGCATCAAAATTACTGACATTAAAAATTCACCAGATATACAGCGAGAATGCGTTACTCTGCTTGCTACAATGGCTACAAATTTTGTAATGGATAATGCGAGTGTAGAAGTTTTGCTTAGTAAAATCGTGCTTTTGGTGAATATTGCTAGCTGCGTTACGGAACATCAGATAATGTCCGAAGAAGATAGTAAAAGTTGCTGGTTTGGAATTTTAAAAAGACTTTTCGAAGCTGATAGCCTTAAGGAATTCAATTTAATCGACTATAAAAGCGATAGAGAAATTAAGAGACTTATAGATTGTGTTAATATCCTTAATGAGTTATTTTCGTTGGATGTTGCTAAGTGGGCAATGGATAGTCTGAAGGAATTATGTCCGTTTGAGTTGTTACGCAAGCTTTTTGTGGTTTTAAATAATCTACAAAGTGGTAAGTTAATATTTTATCAAAAACTGTATTAACTAAATTATTTTTATCGAATACATTGTGGTTTATTTCTCTTTATATCTTATTTTATATCGGCAACACTGCTACGGATGGTGGACGGAGAACAAGATGCAATAAGATAAGAAAAAGAATTATTAATATTTCAGTAAGAAAGAGTCTGTTTGATAAAATCTTGGTCTCATTTTTTCCATTAATTTTAAAAATAATCTAACTGGACACAAATTTTCGTTTAATGAATTTCTTACCAGCCATTTGTTGCTTGCCTTGATTTGTTTTGGAAAAACTGCTGTTGTATTCAGTTTGGTCCGTAAATTCTCCAATAACATCAAATTCCTTCTGGAAAAAGTGAATCTTGCAGTTTACGGCCTCATTGCCTCTCCAAGCAAGTTCAAATGAGCAAAGGTGAAAAAATAGTTCTTCGGTGGATAATGCTTTTGAACTGAGTTTTCTTTTTTCTTGAACACTTTGAAGCTGTCTCCGCTTGGTATCTCTGGCCAATCTTGCACATTTGAAAGATATATCTGTGAAAGGGTGAATTTTTAGAACAAAAGAGTCAAAGTTAGAAAAGAGTCAAAGAGTTAAAAGTCAAAGACTGGAACAATGCAGTAATAGTCTCGTTACACAAAAAAGGCGATATTACTAAATTAGAAAATTATAGACCCATCAGCCTCTTGACACATATGTACAAACTCTTTATGAAAATCTTAACAAAGAGACTAACATCTAAACTTTTTAAAATAGCCACTTACGTACATTATAATTTAATAAAATTCTGCAGCGTAAATGTTCATTTGCCCAACGTGACAACACCGCGTCGGCACAGTGCACACGTTGGATTTTATAAGCGCTGAGCTCCGCAGTGGCCACAGCCAATCTGAGTCACCCACGTCACAGTCTGCAACTGAATGTTGAATTTGTTACATTGCACAAACGTAATACGTGAAAATCGCTGTGTCAGTTTTTTTATGATAACGTTTACGTACGGCTTATCTATCAAAGGTAAGTAATTGCATATTTTATACAAAATGCGAAGCATTCATCCGCATTATTTTGTTTAGAGACGAATAAATTAAATGGATAAGTTCCTCAAACTTAAAAGAAAAACTACTGTGGAACAACTCATAATTAATGATGATGAAGCGAGCACCAGCGGAGATACTGGAACTTTACGAAGTGGGGTTGATGACAAATCGAAGCGCAGCAAAAAAATGTTGAACCGGCAATATTTGGATGAATATTTGGATTATGGCTTCATTTGGACTGGGGAAGAAGACTGTCCAATTCCCAAGTGTATTGTTTGTGGGCAAACACTCGCTAATAGCGCAATGGCTCCGGCTAAATTAAAACGCCATTTTACTACCAAACACGCTAGTGTAGCTTCAAAAAATAAAGATTATTTCAAGCTACTTTTGGAGACACAAGCTAAACAAGCGAAACAATTTGAAAGGTCGCTAACAATTTCCGACAAAGCACAAATAGCTTCATATAAGGTCGCCGAATTAATTGCTTTGAAACAGAAACGACACACTGTTGCAGAATCTCTTATATTACCAGCATGTTGTGAGACGGTCAAAATTATGTTTGGCAACGATGCACAAAACGAAATACGGAAAATTCCTATGTCGGATGATACAATAAGAAGGAGGATTGTTGATTTATCTGCAGATATTGAGGAAAAAGTTACAAATAAACTTTACAAAAAAAACTTCGCATTGCAGGTGGACGAATCCACTGATATTAGTGGCAAAGCTCATTTATTAGGATTTATTCGATTTGTCGACGAAGGTGAAATAGTCAATCAGTTTTTATGCTGCAGAGAACTTACAGCACGTACAACAGGTCAGGATGTATTTGATTCCATAACGTCATATTTAGAGAAAAAAAATATATCATGGGACTTTTGCGTAGGAATTTGTACGGATGGTGCCCCTTCCATGGTAGGCTTCATAAAAGGTTTTTGTACCCTTGCAAAAAAAGCGAAATGAAAATATCATATCTACGCACTGTTTCTTGCATAGAGAATCTCTAATTTCAAAAACGCTACCAGCTCTTTGAAATCTGTATTAGACTAAGTGGTTAATGTGAATTACATCAAATCAAGACCACTAAAAACCCGTCTTTTTAAACAACTCTGCATCTCAATGGAATCAAAGTATGAATGTTTGTTGCTGCACACCGAAGTTAGATGGTTGTCAAGGGGCAAAGTATTATGTCGAATTTATGAACTTAGAACGGAGCTGTTAACTTTTTTCCAAGAAGAAGGTAATGACACATTTACCACATATTTTGAAAATGATGCATGGTGCACTAAAGTGGCATATTTGGCCGATATTTTTAATTATTTAAATGGCGTTAACTCAAGTATGCAAGGCAAAAATGAAAATATTTTAACATCCACGGACAAGTTGTCAGCTTTCCATAAAAAATTGTCATTTTGGAAGAAGCGCATTTTAGAGACAAATAAAATGGATATGTTTCCACTGCTTCAGAATGAAGGTGATGAAGATAAAGAACAAGAAATCACGCATATAGTTACAGAACACTTATCACTATTAGAGGAGACAATTGCCAGGTATTTTCCATCTCTGAACGTAGAAAAATATGACTGGATAAGAAGTCCTTTTAGCACAAGTAATACAGCCAATTTCCAGTTTTCTCTGAACCAAGAAGAAGAATTTATTTCGTTGTCATCTGTTCGTACACTGAAAATTAAGTTTTCAGAAGTGAATGTTCAGGAATTTTGGATCTTGGTCCTAGAGGAATATCCACTTCTTGCCAAAAAAGCGATTAGTATTTTAATACAGTTTTCAACGTCCTATTTATGTGAATTTGGGTTTTCATCTTTAACAAACATTAAAAATAAGAAACGGGAAAGGCTGCTAAACTTAGAACAAGAAATGAGAGTAGCTCTTTCCCACATCAGACCTGATATTGAGCTAATTTGCAAATGGCACCAGGCACAAGTGTCTCACTAATTTGAAGTATTTACTCATATGATGTATTTTGAGAATTACGCTTTTGTTAATTTTAAAAATGTTTTTTGTTTTCATATTTTAAGTAAAATTTTACAAATTTGAGTACATATAATAAAGTTTATTACAGAATTTATGTGCTAATCCTAATTTGTTTATCAATATATGCATGTTATTGCTTTGGTGCCATTTTATTGTTTATAAAAATACAGAGTGTCAAATCGGACATTATTTCATAATAAAATTTCTATAAGTTCTAATTAAAATTAGGAAATAAGTCATCTTCCGGTATAATAGGGAGTGGTAGAAGGTTCTAAATGTTTTAAATTAATTGAGCCTATCTCAAAACATAATAAATTGGGATTCTCTTACAACCTGTAAGTTGGGTTCGGATAGTAGATAAATTTAATTTTTCTTTTCTTCATAGATCAAAACAGAATTTCCCCATTGCTTCCTAAATTGAAAATCAGTATTCTTCAAGCTTTGTCGAGTTTTGGATGCCTTTGTGGAAATGTATTAAATAAAAGTCAGGAGCACGTTTTAGAAGTATTAGCAGTACCTAATTACAACTACAATAACGATGATGATTATAATTTGGTAAGAATCTTATTTAAAAATATTTAATATATATATATATATATATATATATATATATATATATATATATATATATATATATATATATATATATATATATATTTCAAAAATATATTTAATAGGTGAATTGCGGAGGTTTGATCGATCAATTTTTATTGGCAAATGAAAGATGTCAACTACTTCATAGATTTAGTAGAATACGTTTCGCTTTTATTATTTTTGCAAAAGCATCCTCAGTTCTCTACAAATAGAAATGATCTTAGAAAATAATTAAAAAACAAACAGGGTTCATACTTACACAAACAGTTTGTAGGTTTTTATGATGTTATGAAAACTCTACGTTAACTTAACATTAAAACTTAACTAATTAAACAAACAAAAATGTATGCGAGCACTACAGTTCATTTATTTAATTTTTGGTGATTTTTTTATTTTGACCGAAGGCTTCATTTGGATGTTTTGTTAAAGCGCTTTCAAGGGTTAAGAGGAGTATGTAGTCGACCGCGTGGTCGAATTTGAGATTTACGCCGAGCCATCGCTTTGAAACGCAATTGTAGCATGTGGCAACGTGGGGATCAACATACGAAGACTCGCACAGCAGGACGGGGTTTATTTTATTTTCGTTGCAAACGGACTGAGTAAACCGCCGTGTAGTGAGAATAGGATTATAATATAAAGTAAAATGGTGAAAATTTCTTATAAATAAATTTTAATTTTGTTGAAAAATCCTAGGCTAAATGAATTTTTTTTTCTTTTTTGTAGTAGTATTAACATTTTTATTTTTTAAAGACTTCGTACGTTTCGGCGTAATGCGCGATTACAAAATTTAATTTTTTTTTTTAATTAAAATACAAATATCACATACAATTGTTACTTAAAAATATACTAAAATATAATAAAGGTTGTTTTGTGTGTTATTAGTTTATTTTGAACTCCAGTAGTTTGAGTTTCTTCGCCTACAAATATCTACATTATTTTGTCATCAAAAATAATGTATAATAAGTGAAATGTCTTTGAAAAATAAAAGCAAAAATTGTAATACATACCCAAATGTAATTGTATTTTTTAGGGAAAATTTTTATATTTTTTCTTGATAGGAGCTTTTATAAAAACTTGTATTGACTGTCTAATTTTTCTTTTTAGGTAATAAATATATGTCGCTGTTGCGCGTGAAAAGGGGGACAAGTCATAAAATGTGAAAACGAGAAAAACACTATTTAAAATTTTACAAAAAAATGATGTTTTTTTACAGATGTTTTGAATGATAATCTACTTGAAATTTGTTTTTACATGTACTTTTCCTACATGTATTAAGATTTTTTTTGCTGAGTATTTGGGAAAAAAATATGTTTAAAACGATATTTATTTGACTTACCTCGTTTTTCACAAATACTCACATGATTTACCCCCTTTGTAGTTGAACATAATAACGATAACACAGGATAATGGAAAATTTTATTACGTTAATACAAGCTTACTTAAGTGCTACATATATTTATGTACTAAAAACATTAAACATAAATTACTTGTGCATACAAATCTAGCTACAAGATACTTCAAACTTTTAATCGTCGCCAGAAGTTGATGAATCCGGGAGCACATCAGCTAAGTCTTTATCTGTGGGTAGATTTTTGTAAAAGTCCCACAGTGATTCTGATATATACGGCAGTAAGTCCATCAGGTGCTTTTTCTTTTCTATCGTTATCGGCACAGGCTAAAATATTTACTCGCCTTCTTCCACCCCATCTTCTTATTTCGAACTGCATCAATGGCCTTAGTCATTTTAGACGGACTCCACTTTCTCTGTTCGATCTTCCCCATTTAATTGATTTTTAATCTGTAACAAAATTGAAAATCATAGAAGTGCGAAGTTGCATAACAGCGAAGTTTTAAATTTAAAAAATAAGGGGTTCGATTTAGGCAACTACGGGGGGTCCGGTTTAAGCGACTATAGCATACATTTTAATAATGTCATAATTTTTTAACCACACCATTATATGAACTATATTAGTGAGAAACAATGAGCCCAAACCCTATTATTTAAAATAATATATAGATTGAATAGCTTACCTGCTAATATCTCGAAGAAATAATAAAAAATATAACACAACGTAAAAACTTTCCACACAACCAACACACGTGCAAGGCGACTGGCAAGCAATAAGTGACGTAGCCGGCTTGTGCACTTCACCACTCAGTCATGGAACTCTAATATACCATTTGCACCCATTGCTGCCACGATTTAAATTAAAACGTACCAAGAAAGGTAGGGGTCCGCTTTAGGAGAATGGTCCACATTTGGGCACTTTCCTCTAATAAATATTTTAAAATTTCCGATTTGTATGCCTAAATAGTTTTTATAAATTTGCTCAGATTTTTTTAGTTTGGAGATTGTCACTTTTGATGTCATTTCAAAGATTGCACATGCGCAGTTGACGGATCGGGTCCCTGTAATTAATCGCTCCTACTTTTTTGGTCTCCTTTTCATAACGATTAGATTCCCTCGTTTGTCTTATTGCTCGATGTACGCGACCCATGGTATAATTAAAACTGTTTTTCACACTACTTTTTACACTTAGTCTCACACAATGAACAACAGAAAATTATTAATTAATATAATTAAAAAGAACACAACAACTAACACAATATACGAAAAAACTAAAAATCCCGACAGCCAACTCTGTAATCGACGAACGTAATTTGGTGGCACGCGCCAGACGATAATTATAATCAAACTGGAATATATTCTTTTCTAACATCAAAAACATTAGCCAGACAGTGCCGCTAATGGCGGCTCCCTCACATCGACGTTGTCAGATCCCCTGGAAAGTTCGAGCGTCTTCTGATTTGGTCATTACTTTTTTGAAAATTTTGAAGCATGGAATGTAGGACTTACATTCATTTTTATTGAATACATTATTAGTTCATATATTAAGAAAAATCATATTAAACGCCGCACTGTTGCATTTTTTTAAATAAACGTATCATTTTCAAATTAACAAAAAAAAATTTGGTTTTTCAAAAATATAAAAACATAGCGATAAAAAGCCTTTTTTTTTGAAGCAAAACCCAAAATTTTATTTATTTCAGTTAAGCCGTTTTCCTTCATTTTTATGCCCCGTTTACTCATTTTTATGGCTGGTACACAGGCCTCTTAAACCACACTAGTATATTTTAAATACAGTATTGCCCAAAATAAACAGTACTGAAAGTGAAACATAGATGTCTCTTTGTGTGCGCTGTCATATTCAAATTAACTAGTATATACCTGTCAAGTAATCCTTAAACAATCAATTATTAAGGCCTAATTGTTAAAAATTTTGTTAAGTACAGAGGAGAAAGTGTTTCTTGTGGAGCATTATTTTCGCTCATAAGGAATCGGCCGACGTAATAGTGCAAGTCTGCAATACGTGTGTGATCAATTCACACAACGGTTTAATAAACGTTCTTCAAGTAATGCTGTAGTTTTGAAGGTTGTTGAAAAGTTTAGAAATACGGGTAATGTATTGTGCCAACGAAAAGGAAACTCAGTGCGTCCCAGGGCAGTTAACAACAACGATAACCATGAACGTGTTTGTGAGCGAATCTTGGAAAATCCGAAAGCCAGGCAGACAAGAATAGCTTTTCATCTTAGCTTAAAACGAACTTCCTTGCAAAGAATCCTGAAGGAGCTGGATGCATTTTCGTATGTGATTCAGGTACATCAATAATTACATCCCAGGGATTGTCACAGTAGAGTGGAATATTATGCCAGAATTCTTTAATTACAGTATGAAAATCCTGAACTTTTGAAAAATGTATAGATTTCAGACGAAGCACATTTTCATTTGTCAGGCCATGTAAATCGTCGCACAAATCGATTTCTGCACTTTGCCAGATCCGATGAAGTTCAAGAAGTTCCTTTACATAGCGTAAAAGTGAGTATCTGATGTGCAGTTTCGGGACACGGAATCATTGGTCCATACTTTATCGAAGAAAATGGTAGGCAAGTCATATTTAATCAACAGAGGTACATACAAATTTTAACACGCTTTTATCCCTGATCTACGTCAATTTTGTCGTGCACGTAATTTGGCATTTCGAGACCAATTTTTTCAGCAGGATGGGGCAACTTGCCATACTGCTATCGCAGTTCGTCAATTTCTTTAGGACAGTTTTCATTTTAGGATTAACTGACTACTGACTTCCCCTATCCTGCACATTCTCCAGACTTAACATCTCCATCCGCATACATTTGGGGCATGGCTAAAACTGTCGTTTTTAAACGGGCACCACAAACCAGCAGTGAGTTAAAGGATGCCGTTAGGGCCTTCTTTCGCGGATTTGAGACAACCTTTATTCCATAACATTACGAGAAATATGGAATATCGGTACATGTTATAAAGTGTCAATAATATGTATTTTTTAAAACAATAAAATAATTACAACTTCAGTACTGTTTATTTTGGGCTATACTGTATGCATTCAGTGATACACGTAAAGTATCGCAAGAAAATCGCTTCAGACACATTTTTACCTAACATGTACCTACATATCGTCGTTAGGAATGAAATACCTCCAATGTGCAAATTTCTAGTAATTCAGATTTTAAACGATTCTGAATCGCTATGAATAGTTTTACAGTCTAGAAAAATATCCAATGTGCGCACCGATTCCTAACTTCCCTAATGTATAAAAATGCATTACTCCAATGTAACATATTATTAATTGTTGGACTGAAATAAATCCAATGTGCTTAAAAAACACATTGGAGCTATTATCTATTATAATATCTGCACATTGGAGGTATTTCATACCTTCATCTGTCAAATTCCTATCTTCAAATCTTCTCAAATAAGCTATTTACCAGTGCAAAATGAGTGTTTTCAAGACAAGAACTAAAATAGTTGTACAAAATTCATAGGAAGATCGGCAAAATTCTATCCAAGCTTTTGCTCCTATTGAAAATGAAATTTATAATGAAAAATCCAAAAACAGGTATGTAAACAAATTCACTTCTACGGTTAGATATATTTCATCTCATTATTGCTTAAATTAAGTAGGTAATAATTATTTTTCCTTTTTCAGTTTGCCTGCAGCTACTATATTCTTTTTCTTCTTCTGGTAGCACTACAACCCGGGGTGGGTCTTAGCTGACTGCACAACCTGCTTTCATCTCGAACGGTCGTCCATGATGTTTAAGTCAGTGGGTAGCCCCATTGTTCTCAAATCTGACCATATATTATCTCTCCATCGCATTCGTGGACGTCCTAAGGGCCTTCTCCCCGTCGGGACTTCTTCCCAGATTAACTTGGTAAGGCGGTTATTAGGGAGCCTATGAACATAGCCAGCCCACCTTAGACGTTGGGATTTAATCTCTTGGACTACGTCGCTAGCACTATACATTTGTTTGACCTCGGCATTTGTTCTCATTCGGTATTGGTTAGTATTCGGATCGTGATAGGGACCGAAGATCTTTCTGAGGATTTTTCTCTCAAAACATCTGAGTTTACTTTCCAGCTACTATATTGGAACAGGAAAAAGGCAAAATTTGTTTTTTGGCGATGTACAACATATTACCAGACGGAATGGCATGTCAGTTAAGGAGCGATGTAACCATATTATAACGCCAAAATGTTTAAAAGAACACTCATTTAGATGTTCTTTAATTACGCAGGACGATAGACTACGAATTTTTAAAAAATTCTCGACATTAACATCGTACGAACATAGAAGCACTTATGTTAAAAATCTTGTTCGGGCAAGAGCAGTGCAAAGGCGCCGAAAAGATACTCAAAATTCAGACAAACGGTCCAAAAGAAGAGTGCTCGTGACTTTTTTTGTTTCTAAAGACGGAAGTTACCTCAAGGTATGCCGAGTTATGTTTTTGAACAAATTAAATTTAGTAGAAGACACAATGAAACGATGAGTTTCAAGTGAGCCAGCCACTCATGAAATTGATACTTCTAGTGAAAGTCTACAAGATTCCAACATTCAACAAGATTACTCCAAGAAAAATAAGACAAATTTGCAAAGAAAAGAATGTTATGGAATGGTTGCAAGATATTCCTAAAGTTCCTTCACACTATTGTAGAGCATCTACTAGCAGAATATATGTTGACAACAGTATCATAACAACAAATTACATGTACAGACTATATAAAGAATGGTGCGATGAGAGAAAGCAGTCAGTTGCTCATATCAAGTTGTTTAAAGTTGTTTTAGAAGCAGAGAAAATTGGCATACATAATAAGCAAAGGAAAGATCAATGTGATACGTATGTTGCACATAAAATGAAGACAATAAGTACTGAAGATTATGATCAGCACATGTCAAAGCAAAAAGAAGGAAGACAGGCCAAAGAGTTATTAAAAAGTAGCGCAAATTCTGAAAAATTGGTTCTCACAGTTGATATTCAAAGTTTCTTAACGTGTCCAAAAGTATTAGCTTCCCAATCGTATTATAAGCTCAAACTCCAAGTACACAATTTCACCATTTATTCTCTAAATGAGGAAGATGTCCAGTTGTACGTTTGGCATGAAGCAAATGGTGGAGTCAGTAGCAATGAATTTTTATCTTGTCTTATAGATTATATAAATAATATTCGAATAAAATCGAAAAAGAACTCTGGCTAGTGCTTTAAGTGATTCAGCAAGAGCAAAATTCCTTACAATACAGCAGTTATATCTTGAAAAAGGCCATACTATGATGAAAACAGATTCAGTTCATTTAACTTTGAATCATTACTTTCAGACTCCAATTAATTCACCGATGGATTACATTGCTAGAATGCGTCTTGCTCGGCCAAAACATCCGTATAATATTAAAAACGTAGATTTTACGTTCTTTAAAAAGTACGCTATTGATAGTAACTTTCGTTCAATAAGACCTGGAAAAAATTGCCAAAGATCCGCAAGTTGTAGATATAAGACAATTAACATATTATAGTCTCAATGGAGAGGTATACTACACCACTGATTACTCAGATAACTGGAAGCTACTACCACACAGAAGAGAAAGCCAAGACCTGTCGGTTTATGAAAACTCGCTCTTCAAGACACCTCCTGAAATATGAGAAGACAAGTTCAAACATCTGCAAGACCTCAAATCAGTTATTGAAAAAGATCATCATCACTTTTACGATACTCTTCCTAAAATCAACAAAAAATAATACTTTCGGTGGTGTTCGTAAAAATATCATACACTGATACTACATGTCGAAGTTTGTTTATTTAAAAGAAAGATAATACAAATCACTTTACTGTTTATATGACTCTTTTTCCCCTAATAACACCAAATTCAAGGTGTATAGTACTATGACATGCCATACACAACATTTGAAATTCCTGCTATGTACCGGTTCAATCATTTATAATTTCTCCAATGTGCGCGCTTGTAATATTTTTTTTATTAGTTTAATGTTTTGTACTGATTTAAGGAATCAATTTCACCTTAATATCAATATCAATCTTAGTTTGGCCAAAAAAATCAATTACTAATTTAATACAATATAAAATAGCGTTATTTAACTGTTTTTTGTGTCTCCTGTAAAATTTGGATATTTTTACATTGGAGATATTTCATTCCTAACGACGATATATTCTTTTTAAATCGCAGATGAATGTAAAAAGATTATATTAGTAAACACAAACGATCTATTCTTTTTATAAAAACATTGTATTTTCAGTGTGTGTCGTTCCTGAAAACAGTAACGTTATCTCAACCAGGAGTTTTGACGGATGGAATTCTCGAAAACGTCTTACAGTGCATTAAAGAATTGTGCTGTGCGAGATATCAGGATAAGCCAGAAGATATTCTACATATATTACATGGTATGTACTTAATTTTTATACTTCAAGTAATTGTTTATAAATTTTTAAATATATAAAACAACATTCATACAATACAATACGAATAAAAAAAAGTGGAACTGTAGGCGGTACTATAGACTAGTGCGGAACTTTATACAATGTTTTCTTATAAATCAAGTAATTTTGTATGAACTGTATTAACATCTACGTTAATATGGTCTTCAATTTCTGATGAACTGTCCTCTTCTAGCGCAAAATCGGGATCTCTATCGTCATCATGATCAAATCAAATCGTCATCATCGTCAAATTATTTATTATTTCCTCAAGCTCAGCTTGGGGTAAGGGTTTTTGGTAACGTTCGGATATTTTTGTGACGTTGGGTAGTGATGTCAGAATATACAGGCCATACTCATTATTAAATTAGTTTGTCACTTTCTATTTTAACGTTTTTTTTTTGTTTTAGGTATGTTTCCTCATATAGCTGAATGCGAAAATATGGAATTTAAAAATTTATCTATGTTACTGCTAAAACCTTTTTATGACAACATCAAAAGAAATGGACCGAATGTGCAGTTGGCTCTTCTTAATTGTCTCCAAAAGCTGTGTGAGGTAACTAAATTTTTGTTTTATAATATTGTAATCTACTTGCAATTGAAGGCATTACGCTGATGCCTCTATTGTTATTAGTTGATCTCGTGACTTAAATTCCATTCACTTGGAATTTTTTTCCTCCATATTTCAAAAACTCCATTTTTCCCGATCCAGGTGATTGATTGTTTTTGTATTTTTTTAAATGATTTGCTTGTATCTTCTTAGGCCGTTGGCGAACTTTTATCAAAAAATATCAAGATCTTTAGACTCGTCATGAAACAATATATACCCCAGAAAACACAGAAATATGGGGTGAAACTATTCAAACTGTGTTGCGGGAAAGGCTGCACTTGGAACTTTCAGATATACGCTGGAAAAGAGAGGAACATGGAAACTTCAGTTCCTACAAATGTGGTTATGAATCTTTTAAGAAGTCTTCTAAATGTAGGTCGTACAATTATTACGTATAATTTTTATACAAGCCTTGAATTGGCTAACCGTCTAGATATCCGTGCGCATTTGCTGAGAACTTTGAGGGCAAGCCGCAGAGGAAACTCTAAAGACGTTCTAAGTAAAAAACTTAAAAAGGCTGAAATTTTTGCTGAAAAAAAATGATAGGAGTATTTGTATCATAAGCGTGATGTAATGATTTTATCAACTAAGCATACTGACAGTTCTAAAATTATTTAAAGATTCACGGGCCCTATAAGTAAACCAGAAGCTATAATAGACTACAATGCTGGCAAAGCTTCAATCGATTTGTCTGACCAGATGGCCAGTTATAATTAACTATTGTAAATGTGCATGTAATTTTCAAATAACTATCAATACAAACATTACAATAAGCACGTTTCGTGAGATTGTTGTCGCAAACTTACTAAAAGGGAGTTTAGAAGCTAATAGACATGCTGATGTCCCACGGCAACCGATTACAAGAAAAAATATAAAAAACCATACATTGTTGAAAAAGTAAGGAGAGGCTGCTGTTGTAAGAAAATATTGTAGAGGATGCTACGAAAAGAAAGTTAGAGGGGAGATACCCAAAACTAGAGTAAAAAAGGTTACGAAGTACTGTACAGACTGCAAAGATCATCCTCATTTTTGCCTTCCCTGCTTCAATGAAAAACATTTAAAAAATTAATGCATTACATTCTGTTTCTTTTACTTTCTTTTACTTTTACTTTTTTATTGACCATAATACTTGTTACGCAGATTATTTTAAATAAACATTGATTTATTATGTTTTGCCTGATTTCCAGTAATGTAAAATTATTAATTTAATATGGAAACTCACATAGTCGTACACGCCAAGCAGTCATATTTCATGTGCATTTTAAATGGAAGCGGCGGTCAGAATAGTGTTTATGCTAGATTTATTGTCAAATGACGCAGCACCCTATATGACCGCCATTGCGCGTGGGGATAGTCGCAGTGAACCTGTTAATAATATTAAAATAAAATAATATAAAATTAAAACTATTGCTCCGTGCGTAGACGATAAGAAAGCTATGCTTCTCCTCCCGGTCACTCCCGGACTACCACCCCTTTTTTTCTTTTAGTCTCTTCAAGTCTTCACTGTATTTCTCGAGATATTTATTCTTGAGTTGTTCCATACCAAGTGTTTCTATTGCCGTTTTAGTTACTGATTTTTTTAGATGTTGATACATTCCTGTTGGGGTCCATGCTTTGTTTTTAATGTAAGAGTCATTTCTATTTTAATGTAAGAGTCGAACATTCAATTGTTGTAGTTCTACTTTAAATCTCGTATTTCTGAAGCTTTCCAATTTTTCATCACGAATGGCACAATGGATTATGGTAATACAAGCCCCTACCCATATCAGTTGGCCCAACGTTAGATTAATAAGAAGATTAAATTTTGCAGAACAAAAGCGTAATTATATAAAATATTTTATATTAAAATATTGTATAAAATAAATATAACCATAAAGATAATGTTTTTAATAAATATTATTAAAAATGCCATATTAATTAATATGGAAACTTATAAAAACATGCAGAGTATAATTTGTTTATGGTAATCGACTTACACTGCAAATTTCATAGGTGGACCAACTGTTATGGGAAAGGCTCGTATATGATGTAATAATAAGAAGTAACCATTTTATTGATTTAATTTTATGTTTAGCTGGATCCGTACAGCACGTTTGCCAAGTGGGATAGCACCGAAATAATACGATTCGTACCGGATTTTTTGATAAGTGATTATCAGGAAGTGCGATTTAAGTCAATCGATGTCTTGGTCACTTACTACAAGAAGAACTCCGATACTAGCAATATTGAAGACATCCACAGACAAGAAGAAATATTTGTGAAAGTTTACGAAATGGTAAGTTATTGTTTCAGATAGATTAAGAATATCATTTATTATCATCAAATAAAATTATAAATTTATACCGATTATTTATATAAACTCACCTGGTTTCTGGGTTAAACCGTGTTAAATTTGAGTACACCGAGCTTTCGACTTCCTCTCTGAGGTCTTTATCAGGGCTTCCGGGATCTCAGTCTGTTTACGTGTACACTGTTCACTTCACTGCTATGGTGCTTGTGAGTGAAGACTCAGCGAATTTAATTATATCAGAGAGCTCAGCAGATCTACTTAATTCGTGACAAAGGCATATTTTTTTGGAAACAAGTGTATTAATAACTGCATTAATTTGTGGACGTGGGTAATAAAGAATTGGCATGCAAGTAGCGGTTGGTATGGGTGGGTTTTCCGTATTCATGTTATATAATTATATACTAGTATTTTTAAAGAAATCCGAGGTCAAATAAAATTTATGCAGTTATATACAGGGTGGTGAATCGTCAACGGGCCATAGGAAACTCAATGGGAAATTCTAAATTGTTGAATTCCTGCTTCCCTAATTATTTTACACCAAAAGTCATGGGAAACTATTTGTAGAGGACTCAAATATGTATCGATAACAATTGTTAAAATTGTTCTACGACTTAAACGTATTCCAAAATTTTGCTAAAATAAATACATTTTTCAGGCCACCCATAAAAGTTAGGCCAGACGTCGTGAAAAAAATGTGTATTACGTGTTGCGTTTTGTCATATTGACATAGACGTATAAACACAGATGGACTCAGTTATTTACATAAAATTGTGAAGTCAAAATTATTTGAATATGTCACATTCTGAGCACCTTTAAGTGTTGTCACGTTTTGTTTTAAAATTTCTTATTCGCGAGTCGCTGAAAATATTACTCCGTATTTTATACTCTACAGGTGCTATCAAACCAAAATAATAATTTATTGGTTATATTAATATATTTAATTGTAATCAAAATATCAAGTGTGCACATAGTATGCATTATCATTTAATAATAGCGTATAATAATAGATATCAATCAATTATTTTATATGTAGAAGCACTGAAAACTATTTATAAATGGCAACGGTTGTTTACATTTCTCTGTCTTATGGATCTACGTCAAACTTCAAATGCTGTTCCATGTTTGTTTACATTTTATAGTAAATGAGGAAAAAGTGATTTTTCGATATTTTGGCTGTATTTTGAGTGATATTTGTGAAAAGTGAAATAAAATAAACGAAATATTTACATCCCGATCTCTCGATTCATTTGTAAGTACATAAAATTTACATTATTTAAGATGAGGAAATGAGGAAGCGTGTTTGTTTACATTTTAATAGGCGTACCATTGGGTTTATTCATGTTCATTAATGTATTGAATAAGATATGAAATTCATGAAATTAGTAGACATTTATAAATTGTAAGTAGACATCATCTGATTAAAAAAGATCTGTTTAGTACCTTTTTAATTTAATATTTCTCATGGATACAAATAAATTAGTGAAATGAATAAAACTCATTTATTTTTCTATGTAGGTTTCCAAATAATATTGACGATCGAACTATTTGGGTAGCAAATTAAGGAGAAAACAAAAATTTTTTATTGTAGCATTATTTTGATACTATTAAAAAATTAACTTGAATTCAACTATATTTAATTGTATTAATTTTAAAGCAAATTAAATTGTATTTTAATTTTTCTATAAAGACGTGATTTGTTAATAGTTAAACTCTCGTTTTTTTTTAAATTCTTTGAACGTGTTTTTATACATTATTACTACTTCCAATTTTTAAAATCTGAATAATTACCCGCGAGTAAAAATTCAAGCACGCTTATACTAATTGCGGAAGCATCACATTCTATCTAAGCTTCAAAACATTGTGTGTTAAAGGTATCTTATTGCTGTGTCCATCTATGTTTATACGTCCATGCATATTGACGTTTATAATATTTGACAATATTTAAATCAACCATATTATATTTATCTATGATTTTAAATGGCCAATATTTTTATTTTGTGATTTATTGTTTAAAAAAATATTAAGTTGAATAAAAAATGTACTCAGTTAAGGAGAAAAGAGCAATAATAAAAATGTTTTATTCATGTTTTATTATAACATTTGTTATAGTTTTATGTTTAGAAATGATCATAAATTATTTTTAGGAATAAAGATCACAGTAACAGTATATTGGAATTTATTGAATTGTTGTATAACTTAATTTAACATGCAATTAAATTTTAGTGTATTAGAATATCTTACGTTAAATAAAGATCCGGTAGTGACAGGAAAAGGTTCGCGCTATTGCCTGAATACAACATTATGCGATTTTTCGTCAACTGAGTACATTTGATTATATTGATCGATTTATAAACAATATAATTTATTGTTCACAAAGTAATATTGTTCAGTAATAGTAGTATTTAGTAAAATTCATTGTTTATAATTTAATCATAAAACAAAAAAATTGACAATTCAAATTGTCAAACATCTGACATCAATATGATAAAACACACACGTTATATATTCTTGTATTACGTGTGGCCTAACTTTTAGGGGTGGTCTGAAAAATCTATTATATTTTTGCAAAATTTTGAATTACATTTGATTCGTAGAACGGTTTTAACATTTGTTTTTAATTTAGATTTTAGTCCTCTACAAATAGTTTTTTATGACTTTTGATCTAAAATAATTAGGGAAGCAGCAATTCAACAATTTAAAATTTCCCATTGAGTTTCCTATGGCCCATTTGACGATTCACCACCCGGTATAGGAACCTTCGGACCTTTTGTCGTCGGAAACCCTTATGAAATCTATGCTTTTGAAATGATAACCAGACAATCCTATTGAATTTCGTGTATAGTCAAATATTACTAAATTAATTGATTGTTTATAATAAAGAAGTAAGTTTTTGTTTGCCCAAAAGTGCATACATACTTTGAATTAGTACTTTTCAGAAACTAAAAATCTATTTTTATCTATTTAGAGTGTATCTGTCTTTAACATAGACGAAATAACGACAAATGAAAGAAGAGTAGACGAAGTCATCTCAAGAACAGCTAGCGTACTACATACTTTCGGAGAAATAGCAACAAACTGTGATAATTGGATTGAAGAAAGTATGTATTCGCTGATGAAAATAGCATATACCAAAAATATCGGTAAGTCAAGATATTTTCTAGTAAATACACTAAAAGTTTTGCACAAGCAATAGAAGGAACATTATTTTTGGGAAAAATCAGCTTAACTGTTTTTCAAATTCGCCTTTTATATCAATACACTCTTAAATTCGAATGATCCAATCGTCTAACAATTTATGTCAGTCAGAAATAGGTATCATAAAAATGAGATTTTTGTATGACTTCGACCGTCTTAGCTGGGGTCTTAAACCATTTATCCTATAGTTTGTTTTTGATTTTCGGAAACCCGAAGAAATCACACAGTTCGAAGTCAGGTCTGTATTCAGGATGGAACACCAAATCTATGTTTTTTTTTGCTTTAAAATACTTGGATTTTATACAAGCCTTGTGAGAGCTGGTATTATCCTGATGGTCCCATCACACCAATCTTCTCGACTTTACAAACCTAACTATGTCCTCCCCCTTAACAGTTAAAGTTTAAAATTAGTTTTAATTCTCCACCAGATACCTTTCCCCACCGGATCGTAGATATCTCGAAAATTTTTCTTTCAAAAATTCGAAGAGAGGACTGATCTGCTTTTGTCATGAACCAGATTTCAGCAGCAAATATGACAAGATGTCTTGTCAACGTTTTGTATAACTTAATTTTTTTTTATTTCTTTTTGTGGCATTTTTTTGACATTTTATGGTTTACTTCTCAGCCTTATAATTTTTTTCTGTACTTCCTTTAAGCTTTGCTGATCTGCGGTTCCATTGCCACAATTATCAAACTCTGTCCTGCAGCCTGCGGCATGCATTTCAACGTTCAGTAGGTCCTCGAAATATTCAGGCTATCTGAGAGTCACCTCATTTTCTTGACCGAGAATTCTTCCCACTTTGTCTTTACATGACTTAGTCCTTGGTTGAATTATGTGAGTCATCCCCTTTACCGCGATGTTGAATTTCCAAGCTTCATTCTGTTGGTTCAAACTATCAATTTCCTCAAGACGTTTTCTTCAAAGCTTTCTTCTTTTTTCGCAGTAGTCTATTTGAGATCATCCGCGATTTCTTCTCGCGTTGCTTTTTGTTTTTTCTACACGGCATTGCTTGTCGCAAAAATTGCTTATACTTTCCAAGATGTCTTTGCTGTGGACCAAGTTCGCCTGCAAATTCTAAGCCAACTTTTCTTAATATATCGCTATGCATTCTGCATCTTTTAGCTGCTCTACATTCCATTTGTTTTTATCCTTCATCATTATCTACAGCAGCTTAAGTCTCCCGGAAAAGCATTAACGCTATATAGTGATCCTAAAGGAAGTTTATAGTTTTTAAAGTACGTACGCCCATTGCAGACGAAGAATGCTTTTAAGACACTAAGACATGGTCAATCTGATTCAGTAACTAGTTCCGGCAACTTATAGTCTACTATATCATGTGGTAAAATAGATTATTAGTCATAAGAGTTTCATAAGAGCTTACTTGGTGGAACTAGATAAAGAAAGGCCAAATTTCCCCAGATTGAGGAAAGTTTTACTGAAAAATGTTTGTACCAGACACACCCACATACACTACACTGCCTATGTCTCCAATTTGCCTTCATTTGCTGTTTTATAATTATATATTGAAGATTATTTCTCTGAATTCTTATTAAATCTTATAGGGGGCACCCACAGTACCAATAAAATGAGCTCAAAATACATTTTCATTTTAATAATTTTGATCTACATAATTATTTATTTGTTTTAGATTCGCTGGACAAAATAATTAAAATTATTAGTAAACGAAAGTTTCAATACACCGAAGGTAACATATTAGAAACATATATTTCCTATATAGTTCAAAAATGGTGCGCCGAAGGTTATTCGTTCGAAAATTTCCACTATACACTGTTTAACTGTTCCACGAAATACGAATTTTTCAAGAAATACTTTGCCGAATGTGCTCCAATCTTGATGACGACTGACGCTGCTGATGATATTATAAAAGTTGCTAAAGAACTTGTAGCGACGGATATGAAACTTGTAGAGGTTTGTTTTTAATCTACTTTTATTATTTTTATTAACGTATTTATAAACATCGGTACGTGGTGTTAATCTTAAATTTTACAATTATTTTATCTGATTCGCTACTTGTTGTCTCTTTTATAAGGTCTGGTATTGGTGCACTTGTTAATTCAGGAATATCTTAGATGTTTATAATAAATATTGATTATTTTTTCAGCAAACTGGAGCAAAAATATTTACTCGTATAATATGTTCCGATCTAGACAATATGACAGCTGACATATTGGTCAAAAACAAGAGCTTGCTCCAGTATTCCAAGGTAATGGAGCATACATCTCTAAAGGATGCTTTACAAAACAATTTAGATCAAATTGTAGTAGGAATATTGGATTTTTTAACTGACGAAAATGGTATAGAGTCTCATTTTGGAGAAACTGTCATATTTTTCGTAAAGCATCTTAGTTCGGTTGATGTTAGGAAATGTTTTAAATTTGTGGAGGTAAGTAAATTCGTTTTTCTACTAGTATATTCTTAAGAAGTGTGTAAGGAAATCATTATCAGCGTGCGAACAATCGCAATTAGAGCTGCTATGTAACTTGTGTATGCAATTATCTGATTTCTTTCAAATACTATTTTACAGAAAATAAGATAGTATAGTCTAAAACACTTTTAAGCCCGTTTTGTAACTTTTGTAACATATACTAAGTGACATAGAAATCCGAACACCCAGTTTAAATGATTTTATTTCAATAAAATTTGGTGTAATTTATTTATCTTACTGAAAAAAACAAGTGATAAAGTTTTTAGCCTTATCAGTTGGAGATTCCGGTTTTTATACTTTTTGTTTTTAAATTCACTAACAATCTAAAAATGAATATTTCAGCCGCAGTAAAGATCCAAATTTGGCGGATTGTGGTTCTTGACATTCTTTACGATTGGTTACGATGCCTAGAGTACGGAGACCTGTACGATTTCGTCAACTTAGTGAGTTTGATAGGGGCCGTATAATGGACTTCGGGAAGCTGGACTTTCTTTTCGGGAAGTTGCAGTTAGAGTGCAAAGAAGTGTAGACACCGTGGTTAGGTGTTGTCAGGCATGGCTTCAAGAAGGCCGTACGCAAAGAGCAAGGGGCACTGGACGCCGCCGTAGAACAACAGACCGTGAAGATCGCTGCCTAAGATTATTGGCCTTAAGAGACCGTTTCTCCACTACCAGCTTCATTGCAAATGAATGGTTTGCAGAACACGGAAGACCTATTGGCATGCGAAGTGTTTACCGACGAATGAGAAGTTTTTGCCTGTTTTCATACCGACCACACTGGGTCCTCCCTTTAACTCCAGAACACCGCCGTAATCGCCTTCAGTGGTGCAGAGAACGGTCACTCTGGAATCAGGAATGGAACAGTATTGTCTTTAGTGACGAGTCTCGATTTTGTTTAGGCATGCACGATGGTCGAGCGAGGGTTAGAAGGCGACGTGGTGAAAGGAGGAATCCACAGTTTTTTGTTGAAAGACATGTTCATCACACTGTTGGAGTTATGGTTTGGGGTGCTATAGCTTATGGTTCCAGGTCACCTTTAATCTTCATCAGAGGTAACATGAACGCGCAGCGTTATATACAAGAAGTTCTAGAACCCCACCTTTTACCCTATCTTGACACCCTGGCAAATCCAACTTTCCAACAAGATAATGCCCGACCACATGTTGCAAGAGTCACAATAGACTTCTTTCAACATAATGATGTTACATTGTTAGCATGGCCACCAAGATCTCCCGACTTATCCCCAATTGAGCACGTGTGGGATATGATGGGTAGGAGATTGCTCAATTTGCAACGTCCTCCTCAGACTCTACAAGCACTTCGAGAGGAGTTGGTGGTTGCCTGGAATGAGATACCACAAGAGGACATTGACCACCTGATCAGAAGCATGCCTAGGTGCGTTGGAGAATGCGTAACACATCGGGGTGCATCCACACATTATTAAAGGTAAAAGAGCTTTAAAGCAATGCAATCATTTTGAAATTTTAATCATTTACTTATTGTGCTTCATTAAGTACTTATACAAATTTTTATTGAAATAAAATCATTTAAACTGGGTGTTCGGATTTCTATGTCACTTAGTATATATAGGAGAGTTGTTTTTCAGTCATGTAATAAAATTCATAAATAAGGTCAACAAAGTCAAACTTCATTTGAATGTATTTGGTCTGTTTTAAATATTTTCAAATGTCTGGTGTATTCTATTATGGAAGAACAAGCAACTTAATTACACGGTATTAGAGTACATGTGCGAAGAACCAGCGGATAGTCCAGGATATTCTTTTTCGTCCTGGGGCCCTTTTTCTTTCAATTTTGTCTTGCAAAATGCGTTGGGGTAGCTCATATCTACCTTGATTTCTCATAGTTTTATGTCCCAAGTACTACAGCTTACTGCCCTTCACGATGACCAAATCCGCGGTTGTGTTCATCTCCTGTAGTACTTCTTCATTGGTGACTTTGTCTGTCCATGGTATCTTCAGGATCCTTCTGTATAACGATAGCTCAAAAGCCTGAAGTTTTGATAGAGTTTCATCCTTCAATGTTCACGTTTCTACTCCGTACATAAGCACTGTACTTTGCCTTTCCGATGCGACATTTAATCTCCTGGGTATTGTCCCACGACTCATTGTGCTCCGAGTACAGATTGAATATCAGTGGTGAAATTATTTACAGTGCTTCCTAAGAGAAGACTATATACATGGATGTCTCCTTCACATACAGAAAACCACATTGTCAGAAACCAGATAGACTTGTGGTATAATATAAAAAAACACATTACTGAAACTAGCTCAAGAAAGTTTGATACAACATAGGTCAGAGGCTAAAAAACAGTGGATGACAGAAGAAATACTATTACAGTTCGAAGAAAGAAGGAAATATAAAGGAAAAGATCTACAGAAGTATAAAGAAATACAAAGAATAATTAAGGAAACAATCAAAACAGCTAAGGAAATCTATTTGATGAGACAATGTAAAGAAATAGAAGAACTACAAACAAAATTTGATATGAGAAATATTCACAAAAAAATAAGAGGAGTGACTGAAATGGGTCGAAATAGACAGCAAGGACACATAAAAGACAAAAAAGGAGTACTACTAATAGATTTAATAGAGAAATTAAGACGATAAGAGGAGTACGTTAAGGAACTTTTCCAAGCTAAAAGAGGTGAAATGCAGAAAATAAAAGAATAAAATCCTTTAGAGAGACAGAAGATCACGATAGACGAAATCAAATATGCTATTAAAAACTCTAACCACAAGAGTAGCTGAAGTCAGCATTTATAACCATCCCTAAAAAACAAGCAGCAAAAGAGTGCCCTGATTATCGAACACTGAGCCTCATGAGTCATACTTTAAAAGTACTGCTGAAAGTAATACATACATATATATATATATATATATAATATATATATATATATATATATATAATATATATATATATATATGCTGTCACTATTTTTCCGGGTTTGACTCCGCGTTGTCAAACCCGGAAAAATAGTGACAGCACATATAGCTCCCGCGGAAACCTCAAAACAAACATATATATATATATCTATTATATATATATATATATATATATATATATATATATAATATATATATATATATTATACGAGAATATACGAAAGGCTAGAGGAGGATATTAGCGAAGCAGTTCGAGTTTCGAAATGGAATGGGTACTCGAAAAGGACTATTTGCCATCAACATATTTATTCAGCGATGTCGGGTGTAAACGTTGATCTATAACTTGTGCATTGTTGATTACGAAAAAACTTTCGGTAAAATAAAACATGAAAAACTAATATCAGTACTTATGAACAAGCGCATTGACAGTAAAATCATAAATATAGTGCAAACATTATATTGGAACCAAAGTGCCATAGTTCAAATTGATGGGCAACACTTAGAAGAGATGAAGATCTGTAGAGGAGTTAGACAGGGATGTGTTTTATTGCCACTTTTGTTTAACTTATATTCTGAACTGTTTCTGACTGTTTCTTGTATGATAGTCAGACTTTCCTCTATAGTTCCTGCATTTCAGCATTTTAGTACCTTTGTGTTGAGGTTTTCACTCACCTTCAGTGGAACATTGGGATCTTTCAGTTTTCTAACATCATACTTCTTCATGGACTTACTTGTAACCTTCTTCATTCCGACTTTGAAATTACCTACAACTGGTGCATGATCAGCTGTTCCTATTCTTATTCTCATGTTCATATTATTATTCTTATTTACTAGCATGTAATCCTTTCCACAGAATCCTGTGGAGATTTCCAGGTGTACAATTTCCTTGGGTGTAGCTTAAACCAGGTGTTCATGGTCTTGCTTAAACCAGGTCTTGCTTTTTCGACCTTTTCACGACTTGATTAATGCTGTGGTATAGTTCTTCTACCTCTTCTTCTGTTCCTTCTTGTCTTGCTTTCAGTTGTATGAGCATCACTCTTGCTGAGATTGGGATAATGTTGTCAACATATTTTTCTATTTCTTTTGTCAATATAATGCCGACAGCAAAGTCATGTTTACTGTTATCTGTTCAAGAATCGTTATTACCTTATTATTATAATAGACCTTACTTAATAGTTTATTACTCAGTGTTAATTAATTTAATTCGTTTCCTAAGTCGATGTTCATTACACTATTAGTAGTAGCGATCCCTTAATTTCAATTTAAAATATGTTTTGTTGGTTTGTTCTTAAATGTTTGTCTTTATTTTTATGTGTCGATGATTTTATTTAATATGTTTAATGTTCAAACATGTTTTGATCTTTTTTTATGTTTCAGACATTCCTTTGTGATAATGAACCACTAACAAACTCCTTAACAAGCTCGAATCTCTCTAAGTTCGAAAATATCCTACTTGAACTTAAGTGTAACATATACAAGAGCGAAGTCTTCATGGATAAACTAAAATATCTTTACGCTTATAGATTTTTTGTAAGCATGATCATAAACGAGCTGAAATCCGATAGCTCCTGGAGATACTTTTTTATAAGGGACGTGATAAATACATTGTTTAATATTATCGACATCAATAAAAACTGTACAAGGATTGAAACCGCAACGTGCAGATTGCTAAATAGCTTTCTGAGACAGCTTTCTAAATTTTTGACTACTTTTAAAGAGTTCTTTCACGATACTGTAAGCTCATTGAAAAAGTTTTACGTTACCAGAAGCAATATAAAGAAATACTGTAAAGAACTGTTGGTATTTTTGGTAGTAGACAACGCTAGACATTTTGAAGAACAAATTAAAACCTTGGACAGCTTTCCTGATCATGAGGACTTCCAGGAAATACGAAAAGTACAGAAAAAAATAAAGTACGGTGACAGTGATCCCGGCGTGGAGGAGGAAATCGAACAGTTTCTAAATCACAAAGACATTTTAACCAAAGAAGATAGTTTGCATCATTTGAGGGAAATTTTGTGCTATCAAAAAGTTAAATTAACCGGATTATACGACAGATTGCAAGATATTAGATTTTCTGAGGATTGTGAGCAGAGTTTGGTGCATAGGTTAGTCTGCACGCTATCCCAACTGAGTTATTCAACGGACCAAAATGTGAGTAACCACAATAGATACAAAAATGATTTTTTTTGTCTAATACAAGTTTAAAGTGCTATATTGACTAAAATACACAGTTTGTATTTTAGTAAATATAGTAACTTATGTCTGATTATTGAATATCGATGAAAATTTTTTGTGTGTAGGGATTACTTAATGTAGAGACCACGTGTACTCATTTTTGTGCATGCAACTTTTTCTTCTAGGTTAGTTTTGAAGCTGCAAGATGTTTAGGTGAAATAGGTCCGATCAATTTACAAACTTTAGTTTTGCAAGCGGAAAAGAATCTGGTTCATGTTCGACATTCTCCATTTGAGATTGTATGTGGTACCAGCATTTTCTTGTTAACGAAATTCCTTATTGACTGTGATATAGATGTGATACGGAAAGCTAGTAAGATGTTATATGTGGCATTAGAAACCAAAGAGGGAAAGAAAACTGTAGGTAAGAAAAAAATTTCCTTATTTTTATATAATGCAAGTGAAAAATTTGACTCAAAAAGTCTAATGTGCACGAATTAAAGGAAAATATGAGAAACGATTATCTTTTAGCAACAATTACGTAAGGAAAGTTTTGTATTTGCAAGATCGTAGACTTGGTATGATTTAGTTTTTAGTATTTAATAAAAAAAAAACAAAAGGTAGGCCGGGCTAATACACTGCAGTTAGTTCTTCTCCATTGATCTTTTTGCGATAAAGCGATAAATTTTCTACAATATGACACCGCCCCTGTCACCTTGGGATCTGCTTCTGCTTTCTTCTTACAGCCTCCGAAGACAGGAAACTTTACCACCGCAGCTTTAGTGTGAAGACAGCACCTAACTTTTTCAGAAACCGGATATTCATCCTCACAAGGTGTAGGTCTTCTCCAGCATCTGACTTAATAGAATTACCTTACGAGCCAGATTCCCTTGGGTGTTCCTCTGGATGGATTGTTGTACTCGATCGAGCTTTAAAAACTTTGTCAAGCTAAATCCTAGCCTGGCTAGGGACAACACAGATCGTTCGACTGCACGTCGGGCCTCACAGTTATCAGTACCAGTTCCAGATTTGTCTCCACTAGTCTTCAGAGTTCTCTTTTTGCGTTAATAGGCCTACCGTGGTACCCCCTAGAAAAAATAGATGTTGCTTTAGGTGATATGTAACTGTAATCTTATTCCTCCTTAACCTAGGTAAGGAGGAATAAGATTACAGTTTCATCTTTATTTTATTTCTTTACAGTCGTAAAAATATAACATTGAATAGGTGATGAAGAAATCAAAGGGTGACAATGAGAAGAAAAATTGTAGGAAACATTCTAAAATAAACCTATTTTTTTTGTAAATAATTTGTAGAGTCTAACACAACGTCATTTTCAGATGATGGTGCTGATCTCGGCTACGGTCCTATAAACAAAAACTACATAATTCCATATTATCCAACAACATCTTCTTCGCGACCTCAGAAAGTTAATGTTGATATAAATGCATTTATAGAAAAACTTGACTCCAACGAACTTTGGTGTCCACAAGAGAATGTTAGCCATCATTCTTGGATAAACTTATTAGTTTCGAGTATGTTAGAGACTTTTGTTGGTAATCACTTTTTAAAAGGACTTACAGAAATTTGCAACGCTAAGGTAAGTTATTTATATGATTATTGTTTTGTAATTTGCTGTTACACAAACTTTAAGTGACTTTGTTAAACAGTAATGCCTGCTAAAATCATTATGTTGCGCAAAACAATTTTCTTCATTAATAAATACACAATTTTTGTTATTTCAGGTAGAATTCTCTGAACATCTGTTACCACTTATAGTGAATTTATTAGTGTCGATTGGACATAGAACAGTAATCAATATATTGTCCAAAAATATCGAATACTTTTTCTCTGAGCATTGGAGATTGACAGTGCGAGAAAGCACAAAAGAAGAATTAATCGCAGTCAACAAAAAATCTGTTAAGTGCATGCTGAATGTAGTGAATTATGTACGCTTAATGAAAAATTGCAGTGTTTACAAATCCAGGTAGGCTTTAGAGTTGATAGTTTTTTAAAATATTACGTTCAATGTCAATGTCATCGTGTCAAACGTCATCTTAACTTTACTTTATTTACCCTATAATCGACAAGATTAGCTTGCAATTAGCAACTAGCTCTTTAGCTGCAAATAAAGTAGTAACTAATCTCGTGCAATCAGATCTATTAGCTTACAGTCTTATCGATCGCGTCTCATCTTGTTCTAATGTTGGCAAAGTGATCAGGAATGGAATTAAAACGTGTTCAGTGACGAGTCTCGATCTTGTTTATGGACTGTGACCGTGGATCTTTGTCACTGGTGCGGCATCATTAAATTAAAGAAGATAATTGATGAGATCCTCCTCCTCTATCTTTTCTCTTTCTTAAGGATGTAGTGGCGTCATGTTTGACTATTTCTGTCCAATTATCTCTCTCCTGTGCGTGTTGTTTTGCATCGGAGAATGAGTTACCTGTCATGTCCTTCCTCTGGATCTTTTACTCCTACTTTACCTTCAACTATCATTTGCTCCATGCCTTCTCTTATTCTAGTTATATATCCAAAATATATCAGTATATTTTGGTTGATAGTTGTGTTGAGTCTAGCTTTTATGTTAAGTTCTGCTAGAATTGAATTATATGTACGATGGGCAATCCATGGTATGCGCATTATACACTTTGAATCGGCTTTTTTTATTGTCCAAGTTTCTGAAGCATAGTGGCGATAGGAAATATCAATGCTCGAACAAGACGTAATTTTGTGATTTTTGTGATGTCAGTGTTCTTCCAAATTTTTGTGAGTTTGACTTTTGCCAATATGGCCTTTGTGATGCGTCGACGAATCTCGTCTTCGCATCCTCCACTGTTATTATCCGTTCACAAATTGTTGATAGTACGAAATATGTCTCAAAGTCATCAAACGGTCGTAAAATTTGTATCATCATAGGCCTTAATGAGGTGTTTATTTTTTTAAATTAATATTAATATTAATAATGTTTTAATACTAATATATTTAGCAAAAAACAATTAAAACTTTCACGGCTAATGTTGGCAATTATATTATATTAATAAAATTAAGAATTTAACAATTAACAATTTTGTAAATAAGAATACCTTGTCTCTTTGGATATTTCAATACTAATCTTCGCGTTTTATCACTTTACTAGAAAACCGAATTCATATCCGAAGGTACTATTCGTTGCAAGATAATTAGGATGGAATTCCCCAGATTTTTATAAATAATGGGTATAAGATGCGGCTTTGGCACGTGCTGTCTGTTCAGTATATTTTCGAAACTTAACTTGAAAGGGTGAAGTGATTACGAACGAAAACAATTTTTTTGTTTAGTACGTCTTTTGATCGCATGTAATTTACAGCTCGTCGGTGTTCCCGCGTCTACGGCAGTAATTAGCGTCTCGAATATTTCTTTTGCGAATTATATGCAATGCGTGAGTGATTTTTTATTCCATATACCTACGAACATATACGTACCTTTCGCTCGTGCTCGTTTTGTTGGATTGTTTGTGATGGCTTCATCATAACGTATCAAGTTTACACCGGTACTGTTGCGTACAGTCAGTATGTCTGTCTATTCACCAAGAGAGGACTATTGTCTTGAATGTTCACGATGCTCTGGTTTCTCAGAATCCCACAAACACTGTTCGCAAAATAGTCGAAAGTTGTGCCAACATGACTGGCGTAGGTTAGTCAACTATATATAGGTTCCTATCAGAAAGAAAAAAAACACGGTATAGCTAACCCAAACACAAACGAACACTTAAAGAGAGGGAAAAAACCTATTGAAATTGATGAATTTGCCAAAAATGGTATTCGAAGGAAAATTCATGGATTTTTTTTCAAAAAAGAAATACCAAACCTAAACAAAATTTTACAAGAAGTTAGAGACGACCCGGATTTGCCTCATATCGGACGAACTAAATTGTGCAAGTTTTAAAGAATTAAATTCGGGGGAGAAATCAGACCGAAAATCACTTTTGATTGACCGGGAGGAGATAATATGTTGGAGAAGAAATTATCTAAGATCCATACGAAAATTCTGGGCTGAAGGAAGGTCAATCTTCTGCCAGGATGAAACGTGGGTAAACTCAGGTCATACACTAAAAAAATTTGGTCAGATAAAAATATATTAAGCTCCAGGCAAGCTTTTATGGAAGGTTGGTCTACTGGTATCTCCCCACCTTCTGGTAAAGGTAGTAGATTAATAATTTCTCACATTGGCAGTGAAAAAGGATTTGTTAAGCATGGTTTGTTGGAATTTCAGTCCAAAATCACAAAACACTATCACGAGGAGATGACAGCTGATGTTTTCGAAGAGTATTTTGAGCAGATGATTGAACACATACCACCAAATTCAATTATAGTATTAGCTAATGCGCCTTATCATTCACGACTAGTAAAAAGACTTCCAACGACTGCGTGGAAGAAACAGGATATTCTTGACTGGCTGCGGAATAAGTATCTGGCTTACGAAGATGGAATGGTAAAAGCAGAACTTGATACATTTAGAACACTTTGAAAATTTTGCCAGGCGACATTTGGCACCTTTTCCCTTAATTAAATAAATGTATCTTTTTCAAATGGCAAGAAACTTTTTATTTTTGAATAAAATAAAGAAGTTTTATTAAAACAAAAATACAATTTAAAAATATATTTATTTAATTCAAATAAATGTGTCAATCATATACTCTACGACACTGGTCGGTCATCTGTAACCAAAATACCTTCGTAATCGAATTATAAGGTGGATTGCTGTTCCTTCAGATACAAGGTCGTTTAGTGACAAGAATATAATCTATTTCGTTCTTGTATCGTCCTCCAAGCGAGACTATGTTGATAATCTCCGCGGATGATCTTTAAACATTGTGTTTGCTATACTAAGATCCATATCGATGGCAAATTTAAGGAACCGTTTACATCGTTCATTTCGCTCGCCTAAACCATGCTCACCTATCGTTCCTTTCAAATGGTTTAATTTTCAATTGATGAGATAGAGACCGTCTAATCGTCGAATAAGTTATGGTTGTGCATGAAAAACAATGCTGTCAGTACAGGTTACATTAAAGCTGTAAAAGTCCTATACTCAAGATGTACCAGCGAAGTCAAAGTAGGCAAGACGTCTGCAGATTTTCGGATTGTGGCAAGTTTTGTTCACTCTGTATATCATATTAATTTCATAAGGCTGTTATTTACTACTTGGAGAATTGCCTCTTAAAATCTTCGCAGTCTAAAAAGTCTCTAACGAGATTGGTACTGTCATTCTTTTATTTTGTTTTTCTCTCTCAATCCCGCATGAATTTTAAAATAATATCGGAACGAAATAGGCGAGAGAAAGTCTTTTATGGTGTCGTGTTTACATTTACTAGTACATTTTACATCATATTTCTAGTTTTTTTGTAATATACATAAAAATCTATGTTATTTAATATCCATTTCAGATCACTCGATGAACTGACAGTCAATAATCTTAAAGTAGCGAAGGCCGCAGCGTTTTGCGCCAATCATTTCTGTGCCCTGTACTATTCGGAATTATGGTGTCAACAAATCGTCGAAAATCTTCAAAGTGAAAACCCTGTATATTGTGAACAACGTTCTACTATGATCGATTTCATATACGAACACGAGGAACCGGAAGTAGGGGAGACTTTACACAATATCTTAAGAAATGTGAGTATACATTTGTTTATTGATTGTAATATTCACTAAACGTAATCTTAAAAGAAAAGTTTGCATTAAATGTATTTGGATATTTAGAACAAAGAAATTAATCCAATCCAATACTGGTTTAAAATAAAAAGATACACATAAAAAGAATTAAAATTCTATTAACTGTGAAACATACAGTTAATATAAAATAATAAAATACAATAAATTATATTGAAACGTAAAATACATACACAAAAACTGTAAGTTTTTATACATTCCCGTTAATAATTAATAATATTCTTAATACTAATAATATTGGAAAGAAGAATGAAAATTATATTAGCAATAAATAAATAAATAAATAAACAATGAAGTTGACGGTAATTAGTTCAAATGTAAAATAAACTTCTGAGCTACAGTTTAAAGTTAAACTTCCTCATATTCTGTTTCAGACGAATTGTTATACGATCCAGGATGAATTATTATAGGTTCTATACTGCTATCTATTATATGATCAAGACCCACACATTTTTCTCAATATCCATAACGTGATTAATACATTTTTACCAATGTTCAGTCGTTACTTCGGATATTGATTTATGAAAAAGATTAGTAACATCTGACAATTTAAAAGTTGTATTATTTCGAGCAATGTTACCTTTAACTTCGGCCTATACTAATTCAATCGGATTTAGCTCGCAATTATACGGTGGTTAGGCGAAGTATTTCAATTCCTCGTTTTTTGACTATCTTCTCAGTAACACATTTTTATCATTTTGTTTATTAATTTTAGCAAGCTCTAATAATTCTGCTTTTATCATTGTATCGTCAAAGATTAAATTCTTAGAAGTTAACCACATTGCAATTCCATCTTTCATCCATTGAGTAGTTGGTAAACGTTCAACTAATCTAGAGTGGTAACTTGCATTGTCCATCACAATAACTGACTTTTTAGGTATGGATTCAATCATCTGTTAATAAGTAAACTCTCCTTAAGAAATCCATTCATACTACCTATATGGATAATAATTAATCGTCGACCTTTACCTATTGGTTCCTTAAAACCAGTTAAATATCCTTCCAAAAATGCTTGTCGACATGTTTTTATAGTTTTGTCTTTCCAAACTCTCCCTTCAGTATGCCCTTCATTAAGCCACGTTTCGTCTAAATAATAAATGTTCTATTTTCTGTCCTCATTTTTTTTTATTTTTCCAAGGTAGTTTCGTCTCCAACACACAATTTCTTCGGAATCGATAAGCATTGACTGTCTGCCAACTTTTTCATACTTAAAGTTTAACTCATGCAAAATTTTCTTGTTTCTACTTATTGTGAGTAAATTGGGATCATCGGTAATGACTGGTAAAACGTTATCTTAAGTTGATATTTGTTTGTTAATAAAAATGAGAGGACCATTTTACGAATTACATTTTTGAAAAATTCATCCACATTCACGTTCGACAATTTTGGTCGTCCTGTTCAAGGTTTGGGTGGGGCTATACCAGCTGATTTTTTCTCTTTAAAAATGTTATATACAGTTGATTTGAATATCCCATTACTTTAGACGAAATTTCAACTATACTATCAACAGTATTGGAAGAATTAGATTGCTTAAAATAATTGTAGAGATTGAGGATAATACTCTTTTCGATAAGTGATAAATGATTCAACTTTAATTTTTTAACTGGTGTATAATCACATGTTAATTCCATATTCCATAAACTCACTCTCTTGCAAAGGTGTTAGATCTCTTAACTCGCTAATAATCGAGTGAACAGAAATATTCTGATATTAATGAATGACTATTTAAAGACAATTAACCATTTTATTAATAATTGGGCTTCCAAACAATATCGAAATTTCTACTATTTAAAATAGCGTTCACATTTATCGGAAACCATCTTTCGCTAATCGACTTTTTCTATCTTAACTACCAAGAGACCATTAACTAAATACTTTTACACAGAACAATAGCTTTAATGAGTCACACACTTAAAACATTTTTGAAAATAATTCACAGCAGAATTGTTAAAACTCTTGAATATGAGATTAGTGACACACAATTTTGCTTTAGAAATGGTATGAGTACAAGAGATGCTTTGTTCGGCTTGAATGTGCTGGCTCAGAGATGCATGGACATGAATCAGGATATGTACTTATGTTTTGTAGACTTTGAAAAGGCATTTGATAAAGTTCAACATAAAAAGCTTGTAGATATATTAAAAAGCAAAAATATTGACAGTCGTGATCTGAAAATTATATCTAATTTATATTGGAATCAAACTGCCAAGGTAACAGTTGACAGCCAGTACACCGAAAATATCAAAATACAGAGAGGAATCCGCCAGGGTTGCGTGCTGTCCCCACTACTTTTCAATGTCTACAGTGAAGCGGTATTTAAAGAAGCGCTCTCAGACTCAATAGAAGGTATATCTATCAATGGAGAAGTTTTGAATAACTTACGTTTTCAGACGATACAGTAATAATTACGGATAACAACAATGATTTACAGAACGTAATGCAACGCCTTAATGAACGCTGTCATGAGTACGGACTGAAGATACATTTAAAGAAAACTAAATGCATGATCATGACTAAATCTGCACATGCAAATATCCAATTGACTATTGAAGATACTGCAATTGAGAGTGTTAATAACTATAAATACTTAGGAACATTGATAACATCAGATGTAGACCAAACCAAAGAAATTAAGACACGTATTGAAATAGCACGTACATCATTTATTAAACTTAAAAAGTTTCTTTGTGGTTTGGAAGCTTGGACACTAAAACAAGTTCATCTGAATAAGTTGGCCGCCTTTGAATTTTGGTATTACAGAAGAATCCTACAAATATCATGGATTCAAAGAATGTCAAACATGGAAGTAACTAGAAGGATAGGAAATGAGGCGGAAATAATATTAACTATTAAAAGACGAAAACTTGAGTACTTGGGACATGTGATGAGAGGGCAAAAATACGCATTATTACAACTTATTATGCAGGGCAAAATACGAGGAAAGCGAAATGTGGGAAGACGAAGAATATCCTGGCTTAAGAACTTAAGGGAATGGTTTGAATGCAGTAGTGCAGAACTTTTTAGAGCGGCAGTCAACAGAGTCCGCATAGCCATGATGATTTCCAACCTTCGATAGAAGATGGAACTTAAAGAAGAAGAACGTCTATTACCAGCTGAATAATCCTTAGCCTACAGTTCTAACAATAGCAGGTAACTAAATTTTACGATAGTCCATGTGACGTAGAAAAATTTCTAATATCTAAATAGTCAAACCCAACGTAAAATAATCTAAAATATTGGCGTTGTACGAAAAGCACACGTACTACAATATGCTTAACAATTTAGTTTTTTTTGCTGAGAATTTACTACAGCTTATTTTTCTATACTATACTATACTATACTATAGCTTTCTAATTGGGATCTTTCCCAAATCAAAGTTTAGGTGAACATAAATGATTTTTTCATTAAAGTATCGGTTTAATCTTACGAAATGGAATTTATTCCTTAGGATTTGTTTGAAGCCAAGCTTCTATACTGGAGTTTTATTAATTTTTATTGGAGATATCACTTCCCACATTGGAGATTACTTTTAGAACACATTTCTAAATCATTATTTAACGTAAAAAAATGAACTTTTGATATCTGCAATTGTGATTGGTAAGTTGCAGGATTGAATGATTTATTACGGGAGTGGTAATTATATACCAACTGGGTATGACTCAAAACTGCGTAATTTTTTATGGACTTCTGAAGAAAAACTCAAATTTTAATGTTTTCTGTGATGGAAACTAGTAAAAGTGCGGATATGTGCACAAAGTTAAATTTTATGTACATTTTGCTACATCTAAATTTTAAAAGGTCTAAAAATTTCATAAAAATCACTTGTCTTAATAACCAGATGGATGCAATCGTAATAGTCAGATCGATGTAATGATGCGGCAGCGGTAAAGAAAGCATGCATTCTCTTTTTTTATTAGGAAATTTCTTTTGAAGTAAAATTCGGTAAGATAACCCACAAAGTCGCATCGACACACTGTTTTGTCTTTTATTACACCAAGTTTTATAATAAACTCATGCAGATTCTGTGTGTTTAACTACTAAAGCTAAAACTTTAAGCTCACTAAACACACAGCAGCAGTTCATGAATCAAGGTTCCGAACTAATGCCAGAAATAAATGTAGATGAGATTAGACAAGTGTTAAGAAAAATGAAAAATAACAAAGCCCCAGGAGAGGATGGAATTGTAATAGAAGCTATCGTAACTGGAGGGGATATGCTATTAAATCAATTAAGGAAATCGTTTAATCTATGTTTGCAACAAAGAGAGGTGCCCAAAGAATGGAACAATGCTATAACCATCCTTTTGCATAAAAAAGACCAGATTTTTGTCCAAAACCAAACCTAACAATGAACAAGAAAGGACAAAGAATTGCATTTATAAAATACCTTGTGAATGCGATCAGTTTTATTTAGGTGAATCATCAAGGCCATTAAATGTTAGAATAAGTGAACATCAATCTTATATTAAAAATAGAGAATTTGATAGATCTCAAATATGTAAACACGCATGGGATAATGAACATAGGGTTCAATGGAATAATTCAAATATAGTCCTAAAAGAAACGGATGGTAAAAAAAAGAAAAATCAAAGAAGCGGCTCTAATTATGCTAAATGAGGCCAATTGTGTCGCAAATTCCTCGGCAGAATGTAGTAGGATCTGGTTACCAATATTGAAAGAGGAAGTTATTAATAAGAAAATACCAGTATTAGTAAGTCAGTAACATATGGAGGATACATCATTTATGTTTTTTAAATAACGTAACATATAAAAATCAGAATTTTGATGTTTCTTGAAGGTAAACTAAATTCACGAACAAATACTTACAATGTCGGGATAGTATTATGAGGTTTTTTTCCTGGTTTTTCCCTCATAATTTACTATGGAATCACTAACAGGAGAATTTTACTGTCATCATGTCATGTGTTTGTCTTTTTAAAGACG